CAGTGTTATTTTGTTTGAGAGTGCTGGAGAAAAGTAAGTATATTATTTTTTATTAAATTTTAGTTTTGTACTCGTAGTTAGCAAAGATAGATAAATTACGCCAATCATGACTTTAGTTATTAGTAGTTAAATATTCAATCATGCAAAATTACACGAGTACTCCTCAATCGTTTCTTTTTGAAAGTTTTAGCAATCGGTAATATAATTACAGTGCAATCTCCGTAATTCGAGCTAATTGTTGCAAGAAGATGTTCGAATTATGGAATGTTTTCGGAAAAATCAAAAAATATTTTCAATATACAGCTGCTGGATTTTCTGTCTTATTTAAATAATTTAATTTTGCCCACAGATGACTGATGCCATGTCCGAATTTAAAAAGAAATGTAGACAGTACAGTGTTGATTATTTGAAATTTGGCTTCATTCCATCATTGCCGGACAAACAATCGCCTATGTGCCTTTTATGCAACAAAGTTTTGGGCAATGACGCTATGAAACCATCTAAACTGCAAGATCATCTGAGAAGATGCCATCCTGATAACACAGAGAAAGATTTGAAATACTTTCAAACACTCAAAGATAAATTTCACTGGACAGAATGTTCGCTTCGCGTCACAAAGAAATGATGATGGTTTGCGGGCGTCTTACAATATCTCGTTACTTATAGCAAAATCTGGAAAACCGCGTACTATCGGAGAGAAGTTAATTTTGCCAGCCGTTGAAGAGGTTTTAAAAACTGTTTTACACAAACCTGCATCTGATATCATTAAAAGAATTCCCGTAAGCAACAATACTGTTGAAATGCGTATTGATGAAATGAGTTCTGATATTGAAAGCTTCTTATGTAATTATTTGCAAACGACCCATTTCTCTATACAACTGGACGAGTTAACTTTATCTGATAATGCAGCATTATTATTGGCATATGTTCGTTTTATTATGAATCAAGAAATCTACGAAGAACTGCTCTTCGCAAGAACTTTGATAACCGACACTAAAGGTGAATCAATATTTCATGTTTTGAAGGATTACTTCATTGAAAAAGCAATTCCTTTATCAAATACAATATCAGTAGCTACAGATGGAGCACCTGCCATGGTTGGACGTTATCGTGGATTTATAAGCTATTTAAAACAAAATGTGTCAGGGGTGTTAGCAATATATTGCGTCATCCATCGACAACATTTAGTTGCTAAAAATTTGATTAGGTATATTTACTGGATATCAGATAAAACTTCGAACTCCACATCCTTAGATAAAACCTTAAAAGCCTAGCGGCATTTTGCGATGACTCAAAGGAGAGGAAATTGACGCCAAAAAAGTATCTAGATTACCGTATTTCTAATAAGTATCGTACCTTTAATGGATTGATTCGGTGCACTTTTTTCGGACCTTATGCACTTCTTATGGCAATATTAGTAACAGAATTAAAAATGTTGGCCTTAAAATAGCATTTCGATGTTTTGTTCCAAGATTTTTTAGTCAAGACAATATCATTTATCGGGTAAAAGAAATTCGCATAACTGGGAATTTTAAGATCATCCGTACCTCAATTGCATCTTCAAGCGCCACAGAGTATGTGTTCTCACAATTTTTGAGATTCAAGTAATAAAAATAGGTACCTAAATGCACAACTTTGCCTCCAATTTAAATAACCCTGGATAGTGTCCAAATAACCATGGCCAACCAGATCTCTGGATGGGTCCAGATGTCATCCAGGTTCAATAACAAAACGGGCAACAGTCTAACATCTAGATTTTTATGATATGACAATCTGGCATCTCAAGATATAATACTTTCAAGTGGGTGATGAATATATTTTATAAACAAAAAATTGACAAAAAAGAGCCGACTCTCAGCTTTGAACCCAGAACACCTGTTCAACTGCCGTTTTCTCTCACCACTGGTCTACGCATATTTGTGGATTTTGAAGTTCAGAACTAGGAACGTAAGATGAGCATGTCCTATGGCCTGCTACATAATAGATAATCAATTGCCGAGATGGAGACGTTCGAAACTCTGATGGATTTTCTGCGGATGGATGCACAAACAGACGATCGATTGCGACGTTGCCATTTCCGCGTTCCAGTATTAAATCTACCACTTTTAAGTTACGCGCCCATAAGTGACGAGGAACAATCTGGAAAACTTGGGAAATGTGGATATTTGCATTTTTTGGATATAAAGTTTAGTAAGTATGATTATCGTCTGGAATTTTGACTTCTTAATGAAATTTTGAACAACTAAAAACGATCGTGAAAATTTCAGAATATCGCCAAACGTCAACCTTGAAGGAAAGAATTCATCTCTAAAACGGAAAAAGTTTCTTCGGATGTGGATCCGAAAAAATATAAAAGAGCTGGAGGCTAAATAATGATAAGTCGGTTTACCACAATATGAACTCGCAAAGATGTGGGTTCCTATAGGTAAACATATACTTTTCTATCGGCTCTAATGATAGGCCTAAAATACTAGATACGTACCTATGAACTGGCAATATTTTTCATTGCAGCTGCCCTGAATACCTTTGTAATTAGGTATTTACTAACATAGCTTCTTCTGTCTGCTGATTTCATTTTTAAACTCGCACTTTGGTTTTCACTTAAATTTCACAGATACACACTTAAACAACCGAAATACGGCTCACTATCGCGACAGGGATATTTTTAAAAGACAATTTAACCTAATTTAAAATAAATCGTAAAAAATTTCGTAAGAGTCAACATTAAAAAAATAATTGTACAGCTGTACTAAAGAGCGGGAGTTTTGTTCGAGTCATTGGACGTCGCCTTTCTATGAATTCCCTGAAATTGGAGGCATTGTCACATTTCCGTTTTTTGTTTTCTAACCAGAATTGGAAATCAACGAAATGTTTGTTTATGGGAATATTTTATAGCAGAAAAACGGAGTTTCTGGAAGTCGAACGAAATTACAAATTTAGCATCCTAGCGCCACCTAGTGAGTGAGAAGCGAATGTGACTGTTAGTGATGGGTTCTCAAGCTCGGAGATTCATGAATATCGAAATGATTCATTATTACATTTTTTCGCTTTGCAGGCTTTATTGGCCAGGAAGTGTTGATATTTAAAATCAAGGGGAAATATTGTAATAAAAAATGCGAGCAAAGGATAAATTAAATAGGAAGCTTCAAGTATCATTATTATCGCAAGTGAGAATCCCCTTTGTTTTGGGAGCCTCACCAATTTCTGATTACAATTAACGTTCAAAAATGGAGAAGTGATAAATATAAAAAACAAATTTTGTCCATCACTTCACACATAATGGAGGAAACTACTGTGACCGCAAACATTTTAGAATTTTTTGTAATCTTTGTGGGGTCCCAGTAGGTTAGTTACTTATTACTCCATTTTGGTAGGAAGATTTCGATTCAGATTGTTGTGAGTGCAATCCTCACATTAATGATATAATGGAGCTAAAAATTTTGATGCTTTTGTAAAGGTTATTTTTGACTTACATGTTTATAAAAATAATTAACTGACACATTTATATCCCGCATTTTCCACTTTTACGAGGGATGTCTTTTAAGTTTTGCATATGGAAATAAAACAACACGGTAGGTAGTGTTAAATGACTTTATTGTTTTTCGAAGTATTCTCCACGAAGATTAATACACATCTGCATGCGCTCGAACCAACTTTCGAAGCACTTATCACACTCGTTTGCTGGCAGATCCAAAACGGCGTTTTTGGTGACTGGAACCTTTGACCACGCAGTGTTTTTAATTTTCGGGAAAGTAAAGAAATCGTTGGAACTTAGAAACTAATTTTCTTACTCCTAATTCTTCATATAAAATTTTTTGAATTGAGGTCTTTGAGATCTTCAAGGACGCCTCAATCTCGCGATATGTCACATGTCTATTTTCAATGATGAGTTTGCGCACAGCATCGACGTTTTCCTGGGTGACTGCCGTTTTTGGTGCACCCACCCTGGAATCGTCGCTAAGGCCCGTATCGTCAATCGTCCCTACAATTGTAGGGCGCCTTTATGGCCTCCTTGATTGTCATAGTTTTCTACTTCTCCGTGTCAGCACTCTATTTTGAGGTTATGTCACAAACATCTATTTGCATCAAATTGTGCTTGCTTTTGAGTTATATCATGTTTTATCAGCCTGAAATTTCCTACAATTTAAAAAGAAAACATATCTTCACAATAGGAGAGCGCTGACGCTGACACGGGACAAATGTAATCTAGAAATTTTTGAAGGAGACAAAGAAGTATGACAATCAAGGAGGCCATAAACGCGCCCTACAATTGTAGGGACGACTGACGATACGGGCCTTAGACTTACCCGTCCGCTTTTGAATTCTCCATACCAACGGGAAATTGTCGACTGATGTAGCGCTTCGTTGCCGAAAACAGACAGTAACTCAACAAGGCATTCTTGTTGCGATAATTGTCTCTGAAAGTTGTAATAAATTATGGCGCGAAAATGTTCTCGGTTGAGTTCCATTTTTCTAATGACTTGGTGGCGCTTAAAAATTCACTGTAGTGAGAACACTGCACGTATTGTTGTGAAACTTTGAATTTAAGTTTACTAAAGAGTGAGGTTAAGATTCAGTTCTGACATTCGATCCGCGCGGCCTATGTTTCTATATGCAAAACTTAAAAGACATCCCTCATATGTATGGAAAATCTGGAAATAGGCGTGCAAATAATTATTTACTGTTTTATCAAATCATTCCCAGCTCAAAATGATTTTAATGTTTCTAGTCTGCCTCCAAAGACAGCACAAAGTCTGATAGCCTTGCTATTTCATAGAATAATGAATTTCCAAAAATCCAAATCCAAACTGTTATAATGTCAAGAACAGGAAGAATGCTACCTTCTAGCTATAAAAACTAAAGACTAAGCATTTGAGACTTTATAATTTAATATATGGCATAGAGATTTGCAAGAGATTGTACATCACATCTTTTCTTTCACATGCCTGTGCCCCAAATGTGCCACTGCCACCCCCCTGGGTTAAGGATAAACATCAAAACTAGTTCTTAAAACATTTATTATCATTAATTATAAGAAACCTCGAACAGAACTCTCAAATGATGGTTCTTAAACCATCCTCCTGAGAAGTTCGTTTATTTTGTCTTCTCTGTTTCCAAAATCACCACCTTCAACGTAATGGTTGGTCTTCTTTCTCCATCCTCCAGTAGGAGTGTTCAGTTTGAAGGGCCACAAGAAGTTGGAGGCATACTTGAACTTCGGACCAACCTAAGAAAAGAAATGTCTATATATAAAAGGCTAAACGGTGGAACAGGTTGTAGCTAAACCTTATCCTAAATAAAAGTTATTTTTCATTATTATTAACTTATTTAAGAGAAACCAGTAGCCAATAGCGTTGTTCAGGATACAGGTCACAAATTTTTACTTACAGTGAAGATTTCGTGGATCAAATCTTCAACACAAATGATGCCAGTTTTGCTCAGCCTATCTTCGATGATCTGGTTACTGGTGATCGCTACCCTCTGTCCATTTACCTTAGCAAAGCCTCTTTTGTAAATGAGTTCTCTGACAGATTTGAGGTTAGGGTAACCCCAAGTAATGTACGGTTCGCAAATCCTGAGCATGTTGATTGTGGCTTTGTTCAGTTTCACAAAGACACCATTGTTGATTTGCAAAAGTCTGAAGAGTTTAAGGACCTTGCGGACTTTAGGGGCCACCTTGTTGATACCTGAGGAGAAACATTATTTTTAATCAAAAATGACCGAAATCGCATAAACCATGGTAAAAAACATATATACGAAAAGTGGGGCCTCAGGCCACCAAATTTTGATGTTCGGAGGGATGCAAATTCGTAAACCCGAAAAACTGAGTGGAATTTCCTATTTACGCTTTACGCGAAACACTGTACCCCAAATAAGACTCGTAGATCAAAAAATTTTGCTCGAGTACTCACCTTTGATACGGATAACGAAGGCCAACTTGGCCTCCCCAGGGACGTAGAAGTTGCCCCTGTTTTTAGCCTGGCGAATAAGCCTGATCTCATCTCGCTCCTTCAACCGGTACTCTTTCACATACTGTTCGGCACGCTTGAAGATCTCTTTACGCTTCGCGACGTGCTCCGCCTTCTTTTTAATGTTCGATTGCAGTCTTTTGAGCCGACACAGATCGCGCCTCTTACGGTGCTTCAGGAAGAACTCCGGCACCGCCGGGAGCCCCTTTACGGTCTTGGTTTTCGCTTTTTGGGCAGTCGGGGCCATTTCACACACGTGTTTATGGAGATACGGAAAGGAAAAAGGAGGAACGTCAACAGTGTCAGCAGTCACTTGTCATAAGCTATAACGGCGGTAGAGATGAGAGGTTTTGTAAAGTGTCAGAAACGTCGTAAATCGATTTTTCTTAGACACTTGTATAGTTTTTGATACCATAGCAAATTAGATCCTAATGACGTATCCTTGGAGATAATTAACTCATTTTGCCAGGGACGATCTAACGCCAATGAATTTTCTTACACATTGTATAACAATGACTCAACGATGACGTTCTTGGAAAGCCTATTCCTAAGAATACGTTTTTTTCCTCATAATGTAGGATGTGAGTAATTGACTTTTGAATGTATTCTATTTGAATACAGCCAACTATTTCGGCATCCAATCTGAAAGATACTGGCACCATCTTTGGGGAAATAGCTGAACCAAACATTCTTTAGTTGTAGTTCTTGGCGGTTACGTAATCAACGCCATATGAAATAAGCAAACAGATTGAGTCTCCGTACCATGGGCGAAACGCTGCGCAGACTGTTCCTCAGCGCATTTGCTACTCTCTCTAGTACGCATGAAGTGGGTAACAGGGGGCCGCTGTTTTCATTCTCTTCCTGGAAATGCTCTTATAAATTTAGCATGAGCTGTCGGCCTTCTCCATTGATCGTATTTCCGGGCATTGTACAATTTTATATTGAAAATTGATAACAGGGCAACTCGAATTGCACGCTGATGTTAAGTAAGTTGTCACTCTGACAAATATGATCGGAGGGCACTTATACGTAACGACAAAGTTTTTGAGACTGACACACACAACTAAAAAACGTATTTCTTTGAACTTATCAAACAAACGTTCACACAGTAGGTTGCATGTTCAATAATAGATTTCTAATTTATGTTTGTGTTATGTTACTGACTCGTAGAGTACCTGTGAAAGTACATTTCAAGCAAAGAAACCGTTCCAGTCGATAGAGTATATAATGTTGAAGAGTGGAAGTCCTAGATGGAGTTTATGAATATCGAATAATGAAAACTATCGACTTCTCTATCCATCTCTAGTATATTTCTAATTTGACGTGAATTTAAATTTGGCGCCGTTATATTTTAGTTATATCCGGTAACATTACATTTTCTCTACGTTGGCAGCCCGAATAGTCTGCCATCTTTTACCGTTTCCGGCGACTGTCTTTTTCAGGTACGAAAGAAATATGACGGGCTTTAGTCAAAAGGTATTTTGTGTTTTTTACAATTATTGCACGTTTACTCCGCAAAAATTCATGCTTATGTGTTCTCCTGTTGGAATAAGTGTCCCTAAAGATGCAGTTTCATTTATAGGAACATCGTCCTGAGTTTTTCGGGCCTTCTAACCTTATTTACTGACGTACACGTGTGGCATGTGTTTAAACAGCCTCTTTTTGTTTTTTAGGCCATCATAATAGATGGAAGGGGCCATTTACTTGGCCGACTGGCTGCCGTCGTAGCGAAGACACTCCTAGAAGGCAACAGAATCGTTGTTGTTAGGTGTGAACAGTTGAATATTTCAGGAAACTTTTACAGGTAAGAGATCACATTTTCTCCGATTTTTTATATGTCGTCATAAATAATGCTGTATTTCATTCAATGCACATATCGAACCAAATTTCTTATGCAGATGTTACCTTGATTACATGTATTTCAATTCAATAAGATTATAGATTTTGTCATTGCTCACAAATGTGGTTGTTGTCGACATACAATGATTTCTCAATTAGTTCATTGCTAAGTAGCAACTATGTTTTTTGGTTTTATTTGCCACATTTTTTCTCAGAATGCTTCCTTGAAGTTAGATTTGAATTCTGGATATAAGCCACATGTCAGTAAATTCGTCATACAAATGTCACAATGTGAAAAACCCAAAAATTTTCTTAATACTTGATTAGTTTTGAATAGCATGCTAAAGCATTTTCAGAAGGCTTTGTTTTTAATGTGCATTTATGAATTACAAAATTGATGTATTATATTTCAAATCCATTCATATTTAATAAACCCATTTACCATATTTTCAAATCTCGTTCACTATATTTTTAAAACCTATTTACTGTTTTTAGAAAATGCATTTTTAAAGCACATCCAACATATTTAAAAATTGCATCCAGCAGCTTTTTAAAACATCACTCTTTCAAAAAATTATTGATCATATCTTCAAAAGCTTCTAATCAGATTTTTAAAATTGATCATCATTTTTTACAAACATTGTACATATGTCTAATAAGAATGCTTCAAGAGCATTAGTGGCTTAATAAAATGGCTTCAAGTAGATTGGCCTTACTTTTCATATGCAGTGACATCTAAAAGACACAGGTTTTTTGATAACCGGAAATTCACTATTTGGGTTTTTTATGGAAAAAAATTGCAATGGGCATGTCTGGGAACCCCATTTCTTTCTAAGTCTGGTGTAAAACTGCTTACTAATAACATTGGATAACTGATTATATTAGGAAGTTTTTACTGAAATCTGGCGTGTCCCATCTTTAATAATTTATTATTCATTTGTTCTGCTCTCTTTCGTGGTCTAGACAATTATTTATATGATTGGGAGACCAGATCATTAATCTATATTCCAACAGAAACACCAGAGGAGTCTATAATTTTTATCGAATTTCTATAAACAGCTCCTTAAAATTACATAACACAAAACCAAGAACTCCAGAAGCCTTAAGTACAATAGTGTTCATATGTGTTGAAACTTAGCTGTTCTTCAAAAAGTATACCAATATCTTTTTATGACATTGCTATATTCCAAATTGTTTTCTGTAGTGTAAGAAGAGTCCACCTTTTTATGTCTTTTGTAAAAACTAATGTGTTTACACTTATCGATATTTGACATCGTTCTATGATGATCACATAATCTTACCTACATTATTTGATATATAATGAAAGCCTTAAATTACAGTCTGAGCTCTAAAATGTCTGGTTTCTATAAAAAAAAATTAAATCAATTTGTAAGTGTCAATTCTTTTCAGAAACAAACTGAAGTACTTGTCTTTCTTGCGAAAACGTTGCAATGTTAACCCTGCGAGAGGCCCATTCCACTTCAGGGCTCCATCAAGGATATTCTGGAAGACTGTCAGGGGTAAGCATGAAAAAAATACATTATTTATTAATTATCAAAGATTATAAACCTATGCATCTTTATTTGACATGATTATAAATTCATCTTACCTACATTATTTGAAACATAATGAAAAGCAAAACTTAGTGTATGATCTCTAATAATAATTCAGGGTTTAAGCTTTATATTTTTGATATAGAAATTAATTTTCCTCATTTTTTTTTTTACAGGAATGTTGCCCCACAAAACAGAAAGAGGCAAGCAGGCTCTTCGTAGATTGAAGTCGTACGAAGGTATCCCACCTCCATATGATAGGAGGAAACGTGTCGTTGTGCCTGGAGCACTTAGGGTTATTTGCCTGAAACCAGGACGCAAGGTAAACATTTTTGGAATAAAATTCTTATGACAGCATTTCGTCAGATGAAATGACTACAACCGAGATTTGATTTACTTTTTTTTTCTTAAGATTCTGGATTATATGTGAATTTGATGGCGCAGCTCACAAGCTATTCCTTTCAAATCTAAAATTAAGCTTTTTCATCATTGAGGTCAAGATCTCATTTGGAAGTGAAATTTCCTCCTTTCTCCATTTTCAGTATAAAATTTTACTTGAGTCATGGTCACGTTTCGGTGATTTGAACAAATCTCACAACTGTGTCATCAAGCTTATTTGCTAAAGCACATTCTTTTCGATGTCTATATTTGACCTTGAAGGCCATGGCCAAGGTGATGTTCAGACGTAAAATTTGCTTTTTTCAATCTGAAAAGGGGAAGTTTGATTTGATAATATCCACTTTACCTTGACCTGACATTGAAGGTCGACGTCGAGGTCATTGTCAAGGTCACCGTTTTGTCCCCGTGAAACCCGGCGACTTTTGTTTTATAATTTTTTCTAGGATGCCCAGTTTACAAAATATTTATGTTGGGTGATTAAGATGGGACTTCATGTCATTGAGAAAATTCATGGCTTACTCAGATATCTGTAAAAAACTAAATTTTGATCAAATCATTTTTATTTTGTTCTGACATTTTAGGAAATATCAAAAAACTAATAAAACTTTTCCATTGCCACTTTTTCGGCACTACATGATGCTGTATTTAAATTTTCTGACGGATGTTTTGTTTTCTGAGAAACCATCAGCAACTTTATTTTTTCATATAGTCCAAAAAAGTGCACCCTGTATCTAACAGAATTTTTTCATACGTATTCAATGATGTAAAAGTTACATTTATTTTATTGGTTATACAAGGTGTCCCAGAAGTCGACGTCAAGCCGAAACTGGGTGATAGGCAAAGTCATAACAGCTATCAGAAAAATATTTAAAAAAAATTTATGTATGTGTTTTGAAAATTATGTCTTTGAAAAAGATATAGAAATTTCACATCCTACGGCAGTCTGTCAACTCCTGTTACTACAAATATTAACTTTTTTTGGATTTTATTTTTACAATGTAATGATGAATAATGCATCTTCAAACTGGTGTCTCAATCTCACTGCCAACTTTTCTCGTTCAGGAAAAATTGCCACTTATTTCCTAACAAAGTATTCCAAAGTAAAACTTTGCTCAACTTTAACTGGCTGTACTGGAAAAAAATGTACTGCGAGAGTTTGGCAAGTAACCTTAAAAGTTGGCGCATTTAATAACGATTCCAAAATGGTATAACACTTAGAAGATTACTCGTTAATTTATGCACAATTTTTATTTGAAGAAAAACTGATGAATATTTTTCAAAATTTCCTAATTAAACAGCGATTATGAAAACGCACAAGGACCCTTAAGGATAACTGTTTGCAACAGTGGGCGTCAAAATGCTGCTGATGATGATTTACCTTTACAGCAAATGCTCAAACTGTTTTCCTTCAGCCGCAATACACGCTCGACATCTTCTTAAAAAAGATCGGGTTATTAAACGAGCGAATCCACGGTTATTAACAAACTCAGCTGCTTCCAATAGTCTTTGCCGTAGCTCAGCTACATTTTGAATCGGCTTGAAATAGACTTTTTCTTTTACAGTTCCCCAGTAAAAAAATCTAAAGGATTCAAATCAGGTGACCGGGCTGGCCACGGTATTGTACCAGACCGCCCTATCCATCTGCCTGGAAAGTTTTGATCGAGATACTCTCCCACTGAGAGTGCATAGTGCGCTGGGCAGCCATCATGCTGAAACCACATGTCCCTGTAAATACTCAGTGGCACGTCCTCCAATAAATTTTCTAAATGATTTTGCAAAAAACCTAAATAAACCTCAGCAGTTAAAGTCTCTGGGAACTCAAACGGACCGATTATTTTACCATTTAAAATTCCTGTCCAATGCTTTATCTTGAACATATATACATAAAATTTTTTTAAATATTTTTCCGATAGCTGTTATGACTGCCTATCACCCGGTTTCGGCTTGACGTCGACTTCTGGGACACCCTGTATAATAAAACGCCAATAAATGTTCCATTATTTATTTTTGATACCTTTTAAAATAAAATCAGAAAAAAATAAAAACGATTTGGCCAAATTTTATTTTTCTCAGCAGCATGTAAATACGTTCGAAAGAACGAACCTTTTTTCTTTTTTTTTCCTCTACTTTTCTTTTTTTTATTCTCCTGATCTTTTCCCATTTTCTATTTTTTTTTATTCTTTTCTTTCCTTTTTTATCTCTTTTCTATCTCCTTTTCTTGTATCTTTTTTATCTCCTTTTTTGCCTCATTTTTCTCTTTTAGTTTCTCTGCTTTTTTCTTTGTTTTGCTTTTCGCGTTTTTTCTCCTTTTCTCTCTGTTCTATTTTTCCCCTCTCTCTTTTTGTATCTTCTATCTCTCTCTTCTCTCTTTGTATCTTCTCTTTTTTCTCTACCTTCTCCCTCTTTTTCCTCTTTCTCTCTCTCTCTCTCACATACATGTGTATACACGCGCAGAAAGTTTACGCGTACTACATTTCAGAGCCACGCCCTCCTTACCGACATTATCGGATTCATACGAATATGTCTTGCCATACCCGGTTCATTCTACTTGAATTCTACGGTGTTGGCGATTTATCTCTTACGAAGAAAATATTGATCGTGTTGAGGCATCGCAAATGACATTTTTCGTTTGTTTCAGTTCTGTCACGTCGGTAGACTGTCGCACGAAGTGGGCTGGAAGTACCAGACTGTGGTGCGTACGTTGGAGTCTAAACGTAAATATAAGTCAGTGTTGGCCATCCGCAAGAGGGACAAACTGAAGAAGATCACGAAAGCAGCGTCCGAAAAGGTGGCCAAGCAAACTAAGCCGTTCACTGCTATCATTAATTCTTACGGTTATAATTAAGGACGTTCAATAAAGAAAACATGTTTGACAGACGGTGCTTCATTTGACCAACCCTCTGAATTTACCCGTTGAACTATGAGATTTCGCAGGTTTCGCATAGATAAGAATAACAACATTTAATTAATATTCTATTCTTTTAAATCCGTTAGTGGTTTTTGGATTGACCGTTTTCGAAAAATGAGTATCTTCGATGCTTGAAAACTGCAATTAGAATGTTTGGGGTTACCAAGTATCCAACTGAAAGCTGAAGCATTCCTCTACAGGACTCGGAAACGTATTTTAAAAACTTGCAAACTTGATTTAAGAGAGCAGAAAAAAAATGCAAACGGACACTATAAGTCTGTCGTAAACTATACAGACCACCGTAAACTTGATTGTGTGACGCTCGCCTCACGAAGTCTTCTTGTTTTTACCATTGCATTAATGATAATTCAAATAAAACGCTTGATAGTTTCCTATCATTTATTGGTCGTTATATAGATATATCTGACAATAAATAAAAATCACAATTTGCTAACATTACAATATAGATTCTTGCATAATTCTGAAATACGTTTTAATTAGACTTTGTAAGAACTACATAACATTTATCTAGGCGAAAAATTCACTTTTGCTCGACATCTCGTACTCCAACTCCTCATTCTTGTACATGTCAATCATTTTTTGGATATCGTGCGACAACATTTCCAGCTGCTTGTCGTGCGTGATTTTCAGCTTTTCCTTCTCTCTGCTCTGCTTGATCTGCGCAGTTTTGTGTTCGTCGATGAAACGTTTCGTGTTGTTCTGCTGCTTTTCCTTCAATCTCCTTTCCTTATCCTTTTTGGTTTTCAGCGTTTTATCGTTCGCTACCTGCATCAGAAAAGGAAATAAGTAACACAGGTTGGGAAGATGAAATTGACAATTTTTAAAATCCCATAAATTTTGAAAGCATTGCAAATTTTGATAGTGTTGAAAATGTTGATCTTGGAAAATTTTGAGAATTTTATGCACTGCATAAAATTTGAAAATTATAAAAATTAAGTTCTTAAAATCTAGAAAATTTTGAGAATTATAAAAATTCAATATTTTAGATGTTGAAAATTTTGATTTTGAAATCTTGAGATTTTTGAAAATTTTGAGAATATTGGAAATCGAGAAAACTTTATAAATTGTGAAAATTTTAAAAATCATAAAAATCGAAAGTTTTGATAACCTTGAAAGTTTTGAGAATTTAAAAATTTTGGGTGTTTGGTTTTTGAAACTATGTTTTCGAATTTTGGAAATTTTGAAGATAGAACTTCAAAAATTTTTGAAACCATGAAAACATTGAATGCATTGCAAGATTTGAAGATTGAAAACTACGATCTTAGAAATTTTGAGAATCCTATAGATTGCAAACATTTTGGAAATGATAAAAATAGAGTTTTGAAAATTGAGGCTGTGTCATCCAGACATCCAGATTTTTCAAAATTCTCAAGATTTTCAGAATTTTCAATTTCGAAAATTGAACATATTGAAAACTGATAATTTTAAAAATTAGAATTGTATAAATTTTGAAAATATAAAAATTGAATATTTTGGAAATTGAAAATTTCGAGAATATCGGAAATCGTGAAAATATACAATTATACATTGTAAAATTTGAAAGTTCTGAGAATTTAAAAATTTTGGGTGTTTTTTAAACTATATTTTCGAAAGATTAAACAAGAATTCAATTTTGTCGAAATTTTAAAAATAGAACTTTGAAAATTTTTAAATAAACGAAAATTTTGAAAACGTTGAATATATTGCAAGATTTGAAGATTAAAAACTTTGGTGTTGAAAATTTTGATCTTGAAAATTTTGAGAATTTATAGATTGCAAACATTTTGAAAATTACAAACATGGAGAGTTTTGAAAAATGAGGCTGTGTCATCACGGGTTTAGAGATTTTTCAAAATTCTCAAGATTTTCTGAATATTCAATATCGAAAATATTGAAAACTGTGAATTTTAAAAATTATAAAAATAGAATATTTTGGAAATTGAAAATTTTCAACAACCTTAGAAATCTTGGGATTTTTGTAAATGGCGAAAACTTTGAGAATCCTACAGATTGCAAACATTTTGGAAATGATAAAAATCGAGTTTTGAAAACTGATCCACAAAAATTTTGAGAATTTTATGCATTACATAAAATTAGAAAATTATAAAAATGGAGAGTTTTTAAAATTGTGGCTGCCATCACCTGTTTTCAGATTTTTCAAATTCGAAAATCTTGAGAATTATAAAAATTGAATATTTTTGAAGTTGAAAATTTTGATAATCTTGAAAGTCTTGAGATTTTTGAGAATATTGGAAATCGTGAAAACTTTATAAACCGTGAAAATTTTAAAAATCATAAAAACCGAACGTTTTGATAATCAGAAAGTTTTGAGAATTTAAAAATTTTGAGTGTTTGGTTTTTGAAACTATATTTTCGAATTTTGGAAATTTTGAAAACATAAATTTGTGAAATCATGAATTTGGAAATTCCGAAAATTTTGAGAATCCTATAGATTGCAAACATTTTGAAAATTATAAAAATCGAGTTTTGAAAATTGAGGCTGTCATCCAGATTTTTCAAAATTCTAAAGATTTTCAGAATTTTAAATTTTGAAAACACAACATAAAAAACGTATAATTTCACAGATAAAAATTGTATAAATTTTAAAAATTATAAAAATTGAATATTTTGGAAATTTAAAATTTTGATCTTCTTGAAAATTGTGAAAATTTCGAGAATATCGGAAATCGTAAAAATATACGACTACAATCATAAATTGTAAAAAGTTGAAAGTTCTGAGACTTTAATAATTTTGGGTGTTTGGTTTTTGAAACTATATTTTTGAGGGATTAAACAAGAAATCAATTTTGTTCAAAATTTTCGAAATTTTAAAAACAGAAATTTTGAAAACGTTGAATATATTGCAAGATTTGAAGATTGAAAACTTTGATGGTGTTGAACATTTTGATCTTGGAAAATTTTTAAAATCTTGAAAATTTTGAGAATATTATAGATTGCAAAAATTTTGAAAATTACAAAAATTGAGTTTAGAAAAATCACGGGTTTCCAGATTTTTCAAAATTCTCAAGATTTTCAATTTCGAAAATTTTGAAAACCTCAAAAATTTTGAAAAACACATTGAAAACTGAAAATTTTGAAAATTATAAAAATAGAATATTTTGGAAATTGAAAATTTATTTTGAAAACGTTGAATATATTGCAAGATTTGAAGATTGAAAACTTTGATGGTGTTGAACATTTTGATCTTGGAAAATCTTGAAAATTTTGAGAATTTTATAATTGCAAAACTTTTGAAAATTACAAAAATTGAGGTTTGAAAAATCACGGGTTTCCAGATTTTTCAAAATTCTCAAGATTTTCAATTTCGAAAATTTTTAAAATCTCAAAAATGTTGAAAACACTAAACATATTGAAAACTGAAAATTTTGAAAATTATAAAAATAGAATATTTTGGAAATTGAAAATTTTGATCTTGAAAATCTTTTAAATCTTGAAAATAGCGAAAATTTTGAGAATATTGGAAATCGTGAAGATTTTATAACTTGTGAAAGTTTTAAAAATTGTATAAATCGAAAGTTTTGCTAATTTTTAATGTTTTGAGAAAAATGTTGGGTCTTTGATTTTTGAAACTATATTTTCAAAGGGTTAAACAAGAATTCAATTTGTTCAAAATTGTCGAAATTTTAAAAAAGAAATTTTGAAAACGTTGAATATATTGCAAGATTTGAAGATTGAAAACTTTGATGGTGTTGAACATTTTGATCTTGGAAAATCTTGAAAATTTTGAGAATTTTATAATTGCAAAACTTTTGAAAATTACAAAAATTGAGGTTTGAAAAATCAAGGGTTTCCAGATTTTTCAAAATTCTCAAAATTTTCAATTTCGAAAATTTTTAAAATCTCAAAAATGTTGAAAACACTAAACATATTGAAAACTGAAAATTTCGAAAATTATAAAATAGAATATTTTGGAAATTGAAAATTTTGATCTTGAAAATAGCGAAAATTTTGAGAATATTGGAAATCGTGAAGATTTTATAACTTGTGAAAGTTTTAAAAATAGTATAAATCGAAAGTTTTGCTAATTTTTAATGTTTTGAGAAAAATGTTGGGTCTTTGATTTTTGAAACTATATTTTCAAAGGTCTAAACATGCATTTAATTTTGTTGTCTCCTCGCCTGGTAATCCGTTGCTTGACGCAACGAAATGTTGCCGTGCGATTCCGCTTGCTGGTAAAACGGGCCTGAATACACTTACATACCTCCTTAGCAGTTTCCACAGAGGTCTTTGCCTGTTGACTGTTCAATTCCTTCATGTCCCTGTCGTGTTTCGCTTCGAGCTGTCGCATCTGCGCGGCTTGCAGCAGCTCCATGTGCTTCCTGAGCACGTCCCTTTGGTCGTCGAGCTGCTGACGTAGGAACTCCCATTCTTGCTTTCTGTGTCGCTCCATCAGCGAGCTCCATTCCAACGTTTGCTCGGTGACCAGCTTACGGACAGCCGGATCGTTCACCAGCTCGTTTTTGCTAAATAAGGACAAATTGAAAATTAAAGCGCACATTTATAGTCGACTTAAATTTTTTTGGAAATTATAAGAATTGAAAGTTTTGGTAATTAAAAAATTTGATTGATTAAGCTTTTCAAAATTTTGAGGATATTGAAAATTTGTTATATAAAGTGGAAATTTAACATTTGTATTTCTCAGGAAGCTGTAACAGTTCTCCTCACGGGTTCTCAGATTTTTCAAAATTCAGAATTTCCCATTTTGGAAATAGAAAATTTGGAAAATTTGAACATATATTGAAAACTGAAAATTTTAAAAATCTTGCGAGTCTTTGAAAATTACGAAAGTTTTGAGCATTAAGAAAATTATAAAATGTTATTGTAAATTTTTGAATCTTGAACATTTTTAAATCCACGAATTTTTTAAAATTACGAAAATTCTGAAAATCGTGAAAATTTTATAAATTGCTGATGTTTCGGAGATTATAAAAAAAATTTTAATATCTCGGAATTTTTTAATACTACGAAAATTTTGAGATTAATATTAATCTTAAAAATTCAACTAATGTAAAAGTTTTGATAAACTTTATGGTTCTGAAAATTTTTGTTGCAAACTTTGAGAAATTTAAATTATTTGAAATCTTGGAATTTATGAATATTACGAAAATTTTGAGAATTCTGAAAATCGTGAAAATTTTATAAATTGTAAAATTTTTAAGAACCATAAAAATTGCAAGTTTTGAAAATCTTGAAAGTTTTGAGATATTGAAAAATTCAAATTTCAAAAATTTTGAGCTTACTGGAAATCTTGTATATGAGCTGAAACATTTTTATTTCACAGAAGAATTATCAATTTCAAAAATGTTGAAAATCTGGGAAACTGAAATCATGAAAATTTTTAATATCCCAAAAAATTTTGGAAACTGAAACTTTAAAGTGGTATTTTGAACTTTGAAATTTTTTTATATTTTGGAATTTGAAATTTACAAAAAAAAATCTGTATTAACCTGTATTTTCTTGTATGTTAACTCGGAATACTTGCTAAAAGAAAACAAAAACGGTTCAACCTCTTAAGAAGTACGATACCACTGGCACTCACACATACACAAATTAAACTTACAATACTCCTTTTTTGTTGAAAACTCACTTTTTGCCTTTCACCAATTTATCAATAGCAGCGCACTGAGATTTCTGCACAGCCATTTTCTCCTTTGCCTGTCTCTTTTTCAAAGAATCAAACTCTTTCTGCTGCTTCTTGGTCGTCTTTTGGAATGACTTGTCTTGCTTTATGGTCTCGATGGTTATCGGGTCAAACACTAATATATAAAAAAAATCAGGTTAAAATTTCCGGTCACAAGCAACAATAACAGAACTCACCTAATTTCACTTCCTCTTTCTTTTCCTTCTTTTCAGCCGTTGGTTTGTCCGCTGTTACCTGAAAAATTAATGTTTCATACATCATCCTGTACAAAAACACTGATTAATAGTCCGAGGTATTGAAAATTTTTAGAATTTTTAATATCTTGAAAATTTAATGAATTGTAAGAATACTGAAATTTATAAAAATGAAATGAAAGTTTTGGAAATTGAAACTTTGATTATCTTGAAAGTTAAGAGAATTTTGAAAATTAAGGTTTTAAAAACTTTAATGTTGAAAATGATGAAAATGTTATTCAAAATTTTGACCTTTGAGAAGCTGGAAAATATTTGAAATCCTGAAATGTTTTGATAATTGCGGAAATTTTGAAAATTCTGAAAACCGTGGATATTTTAATAATCATAAAAATGAAAATTATAAATATTTAAAGTTCTGATAATGTTGATAGCTTTGAGAATTAAGTTTTGCAAAATTTTGAGGATCTGGAAAATATGGCATACGAAGTGGACATTTAAAGCTTTGGAAATCTCGAAAACGACGAACTTTGTAAATTTTTGAAATCATGCGAATTTTTAATATCCCCAAAAGTTTGAAAACACTAAAAAAATGAGATTAAAAATTTGAGAGCTGAAAATTTTGATATTGTAAGAACTTTGAAAATTTTGAAAAGTGGTATTGGAAATTTTCAGAATTTTTAAAATCCTCGAATTTTTTAAAATTACGAAAATATAAATTTTGAACATAGTAAAAATTTTATGAATTATAAAAATTACGACAATTATAAAAAGTTTTGAAAATATGTAATTTTGAAAACTTAAAATTTTAAAAATATTAGATGTTTTCAAAGTTTTGAGACTTTGAAAAGACAAGATTTTCAAAATTATTAGTATATAAACTGAAAATTTAATATTTTTACTTCACAGGAGGCTGTAGCACTTTTTCAGATTTTTCACAATTCTCAAGATTCACATTGCGAAAATTTTGGAAATATCAAAAATTTTGAAAACAACATATTTTAAATTGAAAATTTTAAAAATGTTGAACTTTGAAGATTTTAAATTGTAATAAAAAATTAATTTTAGAAGATTTTTAAACTCTTGGAATTTTTGAAAATTTAGATAAATCTGAGTATTTTGTCATTGTATAAATTTTAAAAATTTTGAAAATTGAAAGCTTTGGAAGTTGACAATTTTGATAACCTTGAAAGTTTTGAGAATTTTGAAAATTAATATCAAAATTTTGATAGTTGAAAATTATGAAAATTTTGAGAATCTTGAAAATAATTGAAAGTTTTAAGAATCCTTGAAATCGTGAAAATTTTATAAATAGTAAGAATTTTAAAAATTGAAAGTTTTGTGATTTTGAAATATCTGAAGATTTCCAAAATTTTGAGGATATCGAACACATGTATATATGAAGTAGAGATTTAAAGTATTGGAAATCTCGAAAACTGCGGACGTTGAATTTTTAAAATCATGAACAGTTTTAAAATTACGAAAATTTTGAAAACGAATACGAATATTGCAAAATTTGAAAACTGAAAATTTTGATAGTGAAACCTTGGTATTGGAAATTTACATCACGCAACCCACTTCCGACGGGGTATACCGGCCATCGACTACCTGGGTAGTTATAGTACAGGACCATTTTAAAATCTGCTTAAAAAATATTTTGATTGTTTTTTCGCATAATCTCATTAAAAAAAAAATTAATCTTCGTGTTGCCAGACCTAAAATTGCGTCAAAAATTGTTTTTAAAATTCGTTGAGGTTGTGGAAAAAAATTTATCAGAATATTTTTCGGGGCAGGTGCGAAAATACTTCCTGGACTATTACCGCGGGTAATGAATGGCAGGTAGCATATCAGCCTCCGGCATAAAAAGTCTCAGAGATATCAGAATCTGGTTTCTGGGTAAAAAACTAATCGGTCTGTATTATTCATGCTGTTGAAAACGATCTTACCTCAATCCCCATAGAGTTCATCTGCTCGGTCTGTTTCTGTTGGGCCCCCATGAAGCCTCTGGGGTCGCTCAGAGCAGCCATGAAATCCTCGAAACCATCCGGAACATATATTTTCAGTTCAATATTGCAAAATAACATCGGCAAGGACATCGGAAAGTTTGCTTCGGTCCTGAGCGAGATGTGACGGTAACCGGCCTTAATAAAAAAAAAATACGGAAGTATGTTTTCTCCTGCAGTACGAAGTCAAAAAAAAACCAAGTAAAACAAAGTTGTTTTTTACCTGGAGGCCGTCCAGAGGCAAGATTCTCTGTCCCAACAATTTTCCGTTTTCATCGTAAACTCCGAATCGGAGCACAGCCAAATCAGGCAGAACCACTTTTCTGAAGAGGAACGGTTCCTCATTGTACACCGGATTTAAACCATTTGCGGGCACCATTCTGGTCCGGAACTCTTTTCTTATGGTATCAGTTGGCAAGCCGTACATGTCTACTTCCACGTAAGTTCCTACCTGTAAATGGAGCAAAATTTCCTATGTTAGTCACAAGGACTCAAATCAGGCGAATACGGAGGCTCAGGAGCCACAGGAGCCACTCGTTTATTAACATTGTTTGATAAGGAGCTTATCGTGATGAATCACCCAGTTGTTCTTGATCTGATTAACGGTGGATTGAGTCAAATTTAACTCTTCCTGAACGCACAAGATCTCGGATTCTGTCGATATTTTCGTCGGTTCTTAAAGACGAAGGCCTTGCGCTTCGTAGTTCATCTTCAACCGACTGTCTTCTTTCTAAAAATGACTTGAGCCACCGAAAAACCTGAGCTCTTGACAAAACACTATCTCCATAGGCCTGCTGAAGTTCAGCAAGAGTTTCCGTTGCACTGTGCCCAAGCCTGAAGCAAAACCTGATAGCACACCGTTGCTCGAAATGTTCAGATCGCAATACAAAAACTGTTTCACAAAAAAAATTTGCTACGGACCACCAGATGACTCGAGCGAGTTCAAACTTGTACTGAACGCGGATCACATGTTCCTTTGTCTCCTCTCCAAGCCCGGCGGCTCCGGTGTTGCCAGATCGAACGTTACGTTGCCTTAATTCACAGACCTCTTATGAAATGTTTTTTATACAATAAAGCACGTATTTTTTCATATCTATCTTACCTTTTTATCTGACAAGAACTGCCCGGCGATGATCTGCACGGCGCACTGGGCGGCGATCACTCCGTCTACCGGGCACTCGGCGAACGGATCGAAAATCCGGTCGTGTCTCCTCATGAAATCCGGTTTCAACAGGTATCCGCAGTTGCCGTTGTATTCGAACTTTCCTTGGTTCAGTTGCATCGGAAGATCGGAAGTTTGGAAGTTCAGCGAGACCATCTGGCAACCAGCGTTCCAGAAGACCTGCAACGGGGGACCGCGGACGTTGTCATCGAAAGAAATTTGGAGGATTTTAGTTGATATGCCAAAAATGGCATGTCGTTCTTTTAACCTGCTATAACTTGAGAATGTGCGCTCGGATTTTGATGAAATTTTCACACAATGTTACTACTATGCCAAGGATGTAATAGCTTATACTTGACGTTTTTGTTAGTTTGCTGAAGATTTATTTAGTATAATATTCATTTACACATTTTTTGAATCAATTTTCTGTAATTTTATATTCTTGTCTATTAAAATTACATCGCTATGCATTTTGAGTATTCATAAAGTGATTTTTTAATTTCACCTCAAATATTTTTAGATTCGAACATTGTTTAATATACATTATAAATACTCTCCTAGTATCTTTTGGAATAGAGATTTGCTAGTTATGCAACTATGGCAATTTTGCAGATGCTTCTAGTTTCGTAGTTAATTTGTTTGTTTGTTTCAGATTTATACAGCATTAATGCTACAATGTCCATAATATCGAAAATATATTATGTCTTCAAGACTACATATTTTTATTCAAAATTTCACTACTACGAATTCTGGTTTTCCATGAGATGTTTTTTCAATTTCCCTTTGAACATTTTCAAACTGACACACATCTTGATATCATTACTTAATTTATTAAATTCGTACAATCCCTTTTGAAATACTGACTTGCTCGTTATACTGCTACTGCAGTTTTGTAAATGAAAGTCTATACTTCCTTTATTAGAATAATTGTGGCACTCATTGTTCAATACAATAAAATATTCTAAGTGATTTGGTAGATGATTTTTTAACTTGAATATGAACATGAAAACCAAGTTGGCTATGAAATTTTTGTTCTTTCAGCACAAAATTTATTCTAGTATATTTATTTTTATTTAAGATGATTCTCATAGCTTTATTTTGTAATATTTGTAATTTTGAACATACAGTTTAATTTGCAGTGAACAAAATAGTCGAACAATATAACAAATGAGGAAGAATGATAGTGTTGTTCACATTTTTTTAGAATAAACGGCTATGCGAAATTCTATAAAAATAATTTATTTTCTTGGATATTTTTGAAATAATATATTCATAGTGCCCTTCAAATGTTACTGTAAACTTTTTTTCATCCTATTTAATTTTGTGAACTTTTCTAAATGCGCTGGTAATGAATTATTTTCTAATTTGAACACCAAATAACATAAATTTTTTTACATTCAACCACTGTACTTCCTCTAACATAGCTTTATTTTGTAGAATTTGTAATTTTGAGAATGTTTTAATTTGGTGGTCGAACAATATAAAAAATGGGGAAGAATTATAGTGTTATACACAATCACAATTTTTTTGGGATACATACGGAGATTACGGGAAACTCTATAGAAGCAATTCATATTTTTTTGATATTTTTGGAATAATATATTCATAACAATCAATCAAACCCCAATGTTTCAACCCCTAACAAAAATTTACAAAACGGCGGTTATAAAATTAACATCTCAAATAACAATACATAATATCTCAGTTACGATTTTTTTCGCGATAACAATATTTCTTCGCCAGTTTTTGCAGAGGAAGTAAAAATGAATCAAAGTTTATGTATTGCCTAAACAAACACATAAAAAGCAATATTTAAGAAAATGAGATTATCGAAACAAAAATTAACTAATTTGGGTGTAGGATTTTACCTGTGGCATGTAATTGGAAGAATTGGCTCTAGCTCCACTGGGATATATCCGAGACATCTGTCTTTTGTTGTAATTGACGAATTCTATAGCCGAAGTCTTCAGATAATTCAACCCCGCTGGCTCGGAAAAGCTTGACATGTTGTGGTGAATGTTCTTTTCTGAAAACCAAATTTAAACGCTGTATCCTCGCAGCATTCTTGAAACCCCCAATTTTGGAGACACTTTAAACTAAAATTGAATAAATATATACCAAAAGTCGAAGCGCTTGATTATAAGTACTTTTGTTGTCGTTTTGGGATCAAAAACTCAGAAAATAAATTATAGTTTAAAAAAACGCGCTTTTTATATAAAACTGAACTAAAAAGTAGATAATAAGATATTATTAATCCAATTATAAAAAAGCGAATGCTGTAAATTAACCGTATTTTCATAATGCCAATTTTTTTAAATAGTAACAAAGTACCAATTCTAAAACTATGAAAATCAAAGAGAACATAAGGCGTCCGATAATTTATTGTAGAAATGACTGACGTTACGGCCCGAAATTTCGGAATTTAAAAAACATACCAAACACCGAAGCTTTTGATTATAAATACGTTTTGAGTTTAAAAACTCAAAAAATAATTTATAGTTTAAAAAACGCGCTTTTATATAAAATTGAACTAAAAAGTAGAAAATAAGATATTATTAATTCAATTATAAAAAAGCGAATGCTGTAAATTAACCGTATTTTCATAATGCCAATTTTTTTTAAATAGTAACAAACTACCAATTTTAAAACTATGAAAATCAAAGAGAACATAAGGCTTCCGATAATTTATTGTAGAAACGACTGACGATACGGCCCGAAATTTCGAAATTTAAAAAATATAACAAAAATCGAACCTCTTGATTATAAATACGTTTTGAGATTAAAAACTCAAAAAATAATTTGTAGTTTAAAAAACACACTTATAAATAAGATATTAAAAATTCAATTACAAAAAGGCATGGGATGCAATTAATCATATTTTCAAAACTAATTTTGTAAATATCAACTAAAAAAATGATTTTAACATTTGATATCAAGCGCACCAGACGCTTTTTGCTATAATTGAATTTTTAATATCTTATTTTGTACTTTCTAGTTAAATTTGCTTTCATAGCTAGTTTTTTATTTTTTTATTATTTATTGTGAGGTTATGTTTTCTTTTTGAATTCAAAGAAATTTCAGGCTGATAAAACGCAATTTTTATTAGCCTCATATTTCTAAAGATTCAAAAAGAAAACATAACCTCACAATAGGAGAGCGCTGACGCTGACACGGAACAGTAGAAATCTAGAAATACCTCCGCCTTTCTGAAAGAGAGAAAAAACTATCGAAATCAAAGAGGTCACAATTGTAAAAGTTGAAAAGTATAAATACTTTTGGTGTCGCTTTGAATACAAAAACTCAGAAAACATAGTTTAAAAAAACACCCAAATTGAACTAAAAAGTAGAAAACAAGATATTATAAATTAAATTATGAAAAAGTGTGTGCTGCAATTAACGATATTTTCATAATTCCAATTTAGTAAATAACAACAAAAAAATAATATCAAGCACCCCACGTTTTTTTACTATAATTGAATCTTAATTTTTTACTTTTCAGTTCAATTTGTCATTTAAGCATGTTTTTTCGTTTTTTAAACTATAATTTATCGCTGATATTTTAAAATAACGATATAAATGAATTGTCGGCACCACCAAAGTAATACACGTACCTTCTGCGACGTCAAATCCTTGAAATTTGACAGGTTGCGCATAGTTGACCATAGAACTGAGCCATGGATGAACGTTTGTTGTGGACCCCGTGTAATTCGCCGCGACCGCCGCTTCTCCCTCAGCGCCCTCTATCGCGGCTGGATTCTTGAAATAAAGAAAAATCGCAGATCGATAGGGCCCATAACCTCAAAAACGTTTTTTTTTCGAAAATAATTTTTCACGAGCGCAATTTTGCTCAAAAAAAAAAATTAAAAAATTACCGATGCTGCATTGTTATATGCACAGAACCATGATTTTTATAGAGTTGTGAAACGTTTAGGTTCGAGAAAATAAAATATATTTTTTTCCAACATTTCGTAAATTCAAAAATCGGCGCTTTCTTGCGTTCTTTTCAGATCCACTAACAAAATTATTATCGGGGTTTTGGACACCTTTGGAGAGAATTTTCATATGAATTTTCGAATTTCTGTTAAACATGGACACATGAAACTTGCATCTCTAACAATTTTCACTGTCCATGAAATGTTCCTTAAATTTTCTTTTAAACATCTTTAAATTACAAGTAGATTTTATATAATCTTTTAATTCCATCTAAATAGGTTTGTAGATTTTTTAATAAAAAAGCGAAAATTCAAGTGAATAGACCATCATTTGTCATTAATATATAAAATAAATAGTAGTGCACCTAGTTTACTACCTTGTGGTACACCCACAGAAATATTTTTTTAGCTTGATAATCTAGATACAATTTTGGTCTTTTGAATTCTGTCCATCTAAGTAGATTTGTAGATTTTTTAATAAAAAAAAAACGAAAATTCAAGTGAATAGACCATGATTTGACATTAATGTATAAAATAAATAGTAGTGGACCTAATTTACTACCTTGTGGTACACCCACACAAAATTCAAGTGATTAGACCATGAGATAAAAATAAAAAAAACGAAAATTCAAGTGAATAGACCATGATTTGTCATTAATGTATAAAATAAATAGCAGTGGACCTAGTTTACTACCTTGCGGTACACCCACAGAAATATTTTTGAGTTTGATAATCTACATTCTACCTCGTTTTTTTGACTTGTCAACTAAGTAGTTTTGTCGATTTTTCGAGAATTCAAATTGATAGAACGTTATTTTTTCTCCACTTACCTCGACTGAGGCGTCAGGTGGAATCGGCCTGTCAGCACTGGCGTTAGCATCCTCTTTTTCCTCGTCCTCTATCACAAATTGACCCTGTCTGAACAGCTCCAGTTCCTGCTTCTCCACTTCGGGCTTCAACCTTTTGTTTTTTATCAAAATCTTTCGTTTCAAGGCACACGGAGGAGGCAGTGGAGCGCCGGGTTCCAACGGGTAATCTTCCAGCGATTCCTTCAGCAGCAGATCACCTGAAAATATCGAAAAAATGAAGTCGAGTAGATCGACTTAGCAATCTTTATATCACGAATCCAAGCTCTTTTTAGGTGAACAGCTGATCAGCAAGTGACATATCTGTACGCAAAATTAGCAATAATAAATCGGAAAAGTCAGAGCCGTAATCAGAGATATTCTTCACATATCTAGATACCTTTAGTGACTGTGAATTTTGGGAAAATAATTATCTGTTTTAGGAGCCTCACCGAAGATTTCATCACAGTATTTGGCAAGCTTATGCTGCTGCGTCTTGCAGCAATGGTTCTCGAAAGACAGGATGACGGGGTAGTCAGAAGTGACAAACGCAGTGTCTCTGATCGCATGGATGACGTCTTTGAACAGGATGTCGGTGCACATGGCTCGACCGTGCGTAATTATTGGTTCTTCGTCTTCCCCTTTACCTATAACGAAGAAAAAAATGGCGTCACGTAGATTGACTTTGTATGTAGTTCACGTGCAATTTTTTCATCAATCGTTATAGGACAACAAACTAAGAGAAGATATCTCAGAACTGAGATATAACAAAAATCCAAGTGAGAATCTCTCAAAAAAGATTCTAAACGATTGTTTCTATATAATTGGAGAGGAATTATTATTATTGGTGAATCAAAATATCAAAAAAATATCCAGAAACAGCGATAGTATTTTTAGATTTCAAAGGGGCATTTGAGACAATAGATAGGGAAAAATTATTAATTAAATTGCATCACTATTATTTTAAACGATCAGTATTGAACATGTTACAAAATCATTTAGTAAATAGAAGTCAAAAAACTAAAGTTGGGAATATTTTGTCAAGCGTTCAAAATATATCAGCAGGGGTGCCACATGGTAGTAAATTAGGGCCGTTACTATTTCTTATTTATATAAATGATATCTGTGACATTTTAGAACACTGCAAAATTAAAGTAACTGCGGACGATACATTGATATGTAGCTCATAAACAAAGTTATGAATTGGTTAAATGTTAATATACTCATATCAAACACTAATAAAACAAAATATGTGTCATTAGGGAAACATTTAGGTGACAATACGATTAGGCTCATAATAAATGTTGAAAAAATTGAAGTAGTCGAATCATTTGAATGCCTGGGTATATATGTGGATAGTAAAGTACTGTTTCACAAGCATTACGAATACATTATTTCAAAAATATCAAAAAAGATAAATTACTCCTATAGAGTTTTTTCCCCATCTTTTATATTGTTCAACCATCTTGTTTACAGCAAATGAAGACATATTTTCAAAATAACAAATTCTACAAAATAAAGCTATGAGAATCATTTTAAATAAAAACAAATATGCTAGTGAGTTACAACATTTTCATATAAATTAAAAAGTCATTTATTACCACGACATTTATAAAACGAAATTAAATAATCACTATCATAACTATGAAACTAGATGTATACTAAGTGACATATAAATCCGAACACCCAGTTTAAATGGTTTTATTTTAAAAGTTGGTGAATGTATTTATCTTACTGTAAATAACAAGTGATAAAATTTTCAGCCTTATCAGTTGGACATTTCGGTTTTTATACTGCTTTTTTTTAATTCACTAACGCTCTAAAAATGAATATTTCAGCCGCAGTAAAGAATCAACGTTGGCGGATTTTGGTTCTTGACATCCTTTACGATCGGTTACGATGCCTAGAATACGGAGACCTGTAGGATTTCGTCAACTTAGTGAGTTTGATAGGGGCCGTATAGTGGGACTTCGGGAAGCTGGACTTTCTTTTCGGGCAATTGCAGTTAGAGTGCAAAGAAGTGTAGACACTGTGGTTAGGTGTTGTCAGGCATGGCTTCGAGAAGGCCGTACGCAAAGAGCAAGGGGCACTGGACGCCGCCGTAGAACAACAGACCGTGAAGATCGCCGCGTAAGATTATTGGCCTTAAGGGACCGTTTCTCCACTACCATGTCCATTGCAAATGAATGGTTTGCAGAACACGGAAGACCTATTGGCATGCGAAGTGTTTACCGACGAATGAGAAGTTTTGGCTTGTTTTCATACCGGCCACACTGGGTCCTCCCTTTAACTCGAGAACACCGACGTAATCGCCTTGAGTGGTGCAGACAACGGTCACTCTGGGATCAGGAATGGAACAGTATTGCCTTTAGTGATGAGTCTCGATTTTGTTTAGGCATGCACGATGGTCGTGCCAGGGTTAGAAGGCGACGTGGTGAAAGGAGGAATCCACAGTTTTTTGTTGAAAGACATGTTCATCACACTGTTGGAGTTATGGTTTGGGGTGCTATAGCTTATGGTTCCAGGTCACCTTTAATCTTCATCAGAGGTAACATGAAAGCGCAGCGTTATATCCACGAAGTTCTAGAACCCCATCTTTTACCCTATCTTGACACCCTGGCAGATCCAACTTTCCAACAAGATAATGCCCGACCACATGTTGCAAGAGTCACAATAGACTTCTTTCAACATAATGATGTCACATTGTTACCATGGCCACCAAGATCTCCCGACTTATCCCCAATTGAGCACGTGTGGGATATGATGGGTAGGAGATTGCTCAATTTGCAACGTCCTCCTCAGATTCTACAAGCACTTCGAGAGGAGTTGGTGGTTGCCTGGAATGAGATACCACAGGAGGACATTGACCACCTGATCAGAAGCATGCCTAGGCGCGTTGGAGAATGCGTAGCACATCAGGGTGCATCTACACATTATTAAAGGTCAAAGGGCTTTAAAGCAGTGCAATCATTTTGAAATTTTTCTCATTTACTTATTATGCTTCATTAAGTACTTATACAAAATTTTATTGAAATAAAAGCATTTAAACTGGGTGTTCGGATTTATATGTCACTTAGTATATTATAAAAAATGGAGTATTTGAAATTAATAGACTGAATAATGATATTAAACAATGCTTGAACTTAAAAAAGGTGAAATTAAAAAAATCACTTCATGAATAATCAAAATGCATAGTGATGTAATTTTAATAGACAAGAATGTAAAATTACAGAAAACGGATTAAAAAAAATGTGTGAACGAATAATTGTATAAAATTGTCATTGTAGCATTAATTCTAAATAAATCATTAACGAACAAACAAAATAACTATATGACGATAAACTCACCATTCACATTGACAACTGACTTATTATCCGTACGTAACACTATTGTTTTACGAATTACCTGACGATGATTCGAAAAATAATTCACAAGGAATATTGAAATTTTATTCTCACCATCCCAACAGTCCAATTCGACGCATCTACATCCGGCCAGCAATACTTGTCTGTACATTTCAACGGAAGACTTGCCTCCAAACTGTCTACCGGACAAGTACGTGTTGTGGCTGGAATTGATATAATAAGCGCACAGAGGCTGGTCCATGTCCATGTAAATGTCCAGACGATCCAGAAACACCGGGGCGTTTTCGTCTGACATCAGATACCTAGATTTCGAAAAATCGACGAAATATCAACAGTCTGCACCCAGAAAAGTAAGGACAAAATTCAAGTATTTGCATATGATTCGTTAATATACATATCAGATGACTGCTTTAAAAATGCTAAATTCTGACTTTGCAAAAATTATAAATTGGTTAAATATAAACTAAAATGGAATATTCTAAAACAAAACGTATGCTCAAAGGGAAATATTTATACTAAAATACTATCCCATTTAAAAAATACAAGTTTATATTGCCACTAATTTATGGTATAGCTAAAAACAATTTTACGTTGTAGCCCTTATCTCTGCCTACAAATTTTTCATGTTTCTTTTTTCTGTAACTCTGAAGTTTGAGGATCATTATGAATACATTTAAAAAATTGCAAAAAAAAATTACTTTTATATGGCTTTGAAATGCTCTACAATAACACCAGTTCATAAAATAAAAAATTCTAAAAGATGCAGCGATATGAGACCAGTAAATGTGTTACCAGACATTGCAAAATTATTAGAGTCCATAGTGCATGACCAATTAATGCAGTTTATAGAAGAAAACAAAATTTTAGTGGAGGCGCAAGCAGGCTTTCGAAAAAAATATTCCACAGAAACAGCTTTCCAGTTGGTAACTGAGAATTGGAGAAGAGCCATAGACTCAGAAGAAGTTGTCATAGCAGTATTTTTGGATTTGAAGAGGGCGTTTGAAACGATTGATAGAGATATTTTGTTAGGTAAATTGAAGGCATATGGTATAACAGGAAGTATTTTAGATTGGTTTAAAAATTATTTGTCTAAAAGGATGCAAGTTACAAAAGTTAATGACACTATTTCATCAAAAATTGAAAATACGTTGGGTGTTCCACAGGGCAGTATCCTGGGACCACTTCTTTTTATTTTATACATAAATGATTTACCTGCCATAGTCAAAAAATGCAAAATTCAAATTTTCGCCGATGACACTATGATTTATATAAGTACTAAAAATATTCAGTCTGGTATCTCTTATATAAATGAAGACTTGAAGCTTGTCTCAAAATGGTTAGCATCTAACAGACTAAAATTAAATGCAAGTAAAACGAAAGCCTTGTTAATCGAAAAAAAACAATGTACAAATATTCAACTGAATATTGATGGTGAAGATATTGAATTCGTAGAAAATTTTAAATACCTGGGAGTTTTTGTTGACTCTCGATTAATTTTTGATATTCATTATGAAAAAGTTATAAATAAGATTAGTAGTAAAGTGGGATATTTATCGAGAGTTTCTGGATGTCTGAGTTCATATAGCAGAAAAATTATCTATAATACCATCATTCTTCCAAATTACTTGTACTGTTCGACTATTCTATATTTAGCAAATAATTCCATTCTTGAAAGACTGCAAATTTTACAAAATAAGTGCATGAGAATAATACTAAATAAAAATAAATATACTCCAATTAGGCAAATGCTTAGCAAATTAAAATGGCTCAATGTAAAAAATTTTATCAAATATCTTGTAATGATATTCATTTATAAAGTAAAAAATATATATATTTCCATCAAGTCTAACTAATTTAACATCATCAAATGTCGACCATCATTTACATAATACCAGAAATAAAGATGACTTCCATTTAATGACCAAAAAGTATAACATATGCTACAAATCTGTATTCCATCAAGGGTTGATTGAATATAATAAATTATACTCGGAGATAAAAGACCAGAAAACTTTGACAAAATTTAAAGTAAAATTGAGAAATCACTTGTTAAATCTACAATTATAGGTTGCCCAGCATTTACATCATACACCATATGGCTTGAATTTACTAGTTCTAAGTTGTTTACAATTGTTCTGTTTATGTAGCCAAATGTGCTAAATAAATCTTTCTACTACTACTGCTTCTCATAGTCTTAGTACATATTCCAAAAAAATATTTATAATACAATTATTCTACCGCATTTAACTATCTTGTTCACTGCCAATGAAGCTGTATTCTCAAAATTACAAGTCCTACAGAATAAAGCTATAAGAGTAATATTGAATAAAAATAAGTAGGTACACCAAAATAAAATTTGTCAAGCGAATTGCAGTGGCAGAATATGAAAAATTAAACATAAATATTTGGATCCTATTTTTACATTTAAAATAAAAAAATCATCTTTTGATAGAACATTTAAAACATTACATTGAATTGAATAATAATCACCACAATTATTATACGGATTTCCGTTCACAAAATTAACTGACAAGTCAATAATTCAAAAGTAATTACTCAAATTTAATAAACTAAATATGTAATACTATAAAGTTACTTGTAATTAAAAAATGTTTCAAAGAAAATTGAAGGAACATGTCATGGACAGTGAAAATTCTTAGATATGCAAGTTTTGTTTTTTCTGAATATTTGTATGTTGTGTAATTGTTGTGATCTGGGAGTAGAAGCAGTAACAAGGGAGATCAAAAAGATGGTTTTGACACATAAACCGGATGAAAGACACTAGGCAAGTGAAAAGAATTTGGCAAGCAAGGACGGTACCAAGTCGATCGAGAGGAAGACCTAAAACAACGTGGGACAAAGCTATGGAAGAGACATTAAAAAGGAGAGGAATTACAGCAGCAGAAAATATACTTGCAAAAGACAGAAGATAGTGGCGAAACTGTGTATAATTATTAACTGTAAAGTACTACACACCCTTACATCAAATATGGTACTAGAAGGGCATTAGACAATATATATATATATATACATATTGAGACGTGGTCATTGTCGTCTAGACCAGTTAGGTGAAAAATTAAAGCTTCCGCTCAAAATCTAATAATTCTCTTCTCACGATTTATTAATAATTGTTAATTTAAATTCCCATTAATTAAAATATAGTTTATTCAACTGCCTTTGGTCGGTTTAACAATTTCTTACATAACATTCTGAAAATCACATCATCTGAAGTGATTTGGCAACGGTTGGCACACGCCCACAATTCGTTCCATGTTTCAACACAGACATTGACAACCTTCGGCCTTCTGTCAAAGGGTTCATCTCACTCATTATTCCATGACCACCATTTTGTGCAATCATCAAGTGGCTTCACGATGTAATGCTCTAATGTTTTTAAATAATTTTTAATCTGTTTTTAAGTTGTTCTTGTCATATTTTATATAATTTTGACCATTGTACCATCTATCCAGCTCTCACCATGTTACTGGACGTTTCCCTCATCCTATACGTAAACAATTAGCAACATCCTCACATACTACTGTAAGTTGAGTCAATTTAAATTCATTTTACACTTTTGTTGCTACTGTTATCATTGTAATTGCAGCTCCTGATGATGATGGCAAAGTCCATTGAAAGTTAGAGAGAATTAAAAAAGTATAAAGAGTCCTCTTTGCTTAAATTTTGTCGAAGTACCCAACAAAAGGCGGAAAATATATATATATATATATATACAATACGTGAGCAGTAGTCATTGCCACTGCCAACGACCAGTTGGGTTAAAAAAGTACAATCAATTGTTAATTGGGAAATTGGCAAACTTTTTAGGCTTTAGTTAACTCTTTTGACGGCAATCTCTAGCTTTCGGCAAATCTCTATGGAGCCTTCATCAGGAGCTGAAAACGCAATTATGATGCTAGCAACCAATACGGGGAAGATTTAAATTGTCAAACAACTTACTCGTCGTTGAGGTTGCAGCCAAATGGTGTTTGAAAACGAACGTGGGGAAGGGAGCACTTGTTACAAATAAATAAATAAATATATAATATATATATATATATATATATATATATATATATATATAAGTTTTAATTACAGTCGTTGTTACAATTACATTCTTTCAAAAAACGACAACAATTACATATATATATATATATGAATGTAATTGTAACAGTGATTCTAAATAAACCTTAAACAAAGAAAACGTAACAAAAAATGCACTTCAAATTCGTAGCGTAACAAAATAAGTTTTGGAACACCTTCGGTATGGATTTTATAAGGAGTTACCTTTTCCCCCCTGATATTTGGCAATATTTATATCTGGAAGAAAAAAAGTTAAAGGAGACTCAATCAGTACCTAATAAAGCCATCCTTAGTGAGCCTAAGTTCCTTTTTATGCTCCTCGTCCTGCTCATAATCCTCGATTATTTCTTTCGCTCGTTTCTCGTCGTACAGAGGATATAAGATTTCATTTAACCTCGGATCCCTCTGTTTTTCATTCAAAAAATCTATCAATTGGTGTATATTTATGAACTCCTGCGTTCCTTTTGTACTGCAAACAAAAATCCAAAAACTACAATTAACGAAACATTTGTTGTGTCCATTTCTCGATGACTTATCAGTTCATGAATGTTTCTTAAAATGTCGGCGAGAACTTACATGGACCTAAACAATTCCTCGATATCGTTCCTCGGGCAGATTTTATGATACAGCGTGTAAAATTTGTCGAACGTGAACGCATCTTTCTCTATAGCGTCATTCTTTCCAGACGGCAACTCCAACTCGGACAATATTTGGTATACTAGTTTTTCTGTTTTACCCGATGCGAACGTTCGAGCTATCACTTTCACCGGGATTTTGCCATTTTTTTCAACCAGAAATCCCAGACGCATCCAACTAAAACACAGACGCACGTACAGGGTGTAAACGTTATGATAGTCATTATTTAAACGGGTGATTGAAGGGTTAAACGATGCAAAAAGTTTCATATAACGTGGGGGTCAAAATGGCGTTTTTTTTTAGAGAAAAGCGACTTTAAAGTAATATAAAATCTGACAACACCGCATTGTCAGACGCAAATTACGACGAAACGCAGTGATAATAAGGATGGAGTTTGTTATTTTTGGCTCTTAGGTATTATTGCATTATTTGATAATGTACTCGTAAAATGCAAACACATACACATACATGGTAGGGATAATGCAAATTTTCCCGTAGGATTCTATGGACTATGGTATGCCTCATTCCCGAATACTTATATCTGCATTGATTTCCACGATATTTAAAATTTGTTCCTCCTGCTCTACAGTAACCTGTCTTTCACGAGTGCGAATATTAGTGGGCCGAACACTTCCTGTATCTCGAAGTCTTTGGTACACTTGCACAGATGTCCTTCTGTCTGGGTGTACCCGTTGGCGATAAATTTGAACTGCAAGATTTGAATTCTGACGAGCTTCACCGTAAACTAACAACATGTCGGCGAACTCTTGACTCGAGAACATTGTAAATCAAGACGACGACGTACGCGAACACAAACAAAACAACATACTAACCACTGTTACCGTTTGCGATCGATTGCCGGTTCGATAACAGTGATGATGACCGACGCGCTGTTGTCATGTGTGTTTTAAATATTCAATTTGATGAAACTTACTTACTGCCTACAAAAATTAGTAAGATTGTGGTCGATATAAAGCACTTAAAATTGTAAACTATAAAGCCATTTAGACAAAAATTTTGGACCACGGGTCATATGAACTTTTTGACTTAATTTGACCCCCCTATTACACACCCTGTATAAATTGACAATCAATAGAAACTTAAAGGGTAGTTCTCCATGTTTCCTGGCTGCTAAGTGGAAACACATACAGGTTCAAATTTTTACGGTAAATGTCTAGTTTAGCTACATAACGGATTTTTTATAAGAATATGATTTCAGACCCTGTTTTTTAGTGTAAACGATAGAAATGGGGCTGAAAATGAGCGCCAATATGGAGGTTCTGAAATATACAGGATGTTTGAAAAATAGACGGAGAAATTTTAGAGGGTGTTTCCTTGTTGGAAGGTATGAAAAAAGTTTCTATAATTATGGGTTCGGAAATGGAGTTTTCAAGGTAGAAGGTGATGAATTAAAATAAAATTAAACTTTTTTAGAGAAATTTTCGCAAATAAAATTACTGACGCGCAAATGTAAAACCACGATCCAGGAATGATTTTTTGTGCAGAAATAAATAAACTGATTTTGCCCAATAAAATGCAAAAAAAAAGGTTTTTTTTTCCCGAAAACGAAATGAGGTACGAAAAAAATACAAGAGACAAAGAGGTTGTGTTTTTAGATGCTTAATCAAACAACAAATATAAAACTTACAAAAAATGCAGTGGCGTACCTCTTTCGCCAATAATATTCGCTAAGGTGCTCCCCGGGACGCCAGTGAACCTAATAATTTTAATCTATTTAGACCTCTTAATACAAAAAGATAATATTGCCAGATTTCAACAGAATCGGGTAAATATTTAAAAAAAATAAAAAAGCAAACATTTACGGACCACTGTTTATATTAACTTTTTTTCATATTACATATTATCAATTACTACTAATGTTGTAGCTGCATTTTTCATGGAGGCGAAATGCGACACCTCAATATGAAATATATAGTCGCTGCCACTTTTTTGGTCTATACTTTGAAAAATGCGACAGAGGTGGCCGGAAGGTTAGTAAAAACTCAAGTCTACATACGTATGTGGTTTCATTTGTCCGCCAGAAAACATGGGGAAGTATAAGCATGAAAGCAACATGATAAGTTATAGATGTTACATTAAACTTGAAGGGTGTACCAATAAGAACGCAATATTAAGATACATTTTTGAAATTCAGGCCTTTTCGCGGCATCGCACAGTCGTTATAAATTTGACATCTTAAATCCATGCCAATGTACAAAGATAAAGACAAGGACCTTGGCATATTTCATAGAAATTGCTAAATACGCAACTGTCAATAAAAAAAATTATTGATATAGTTGCAGTCACCGTAAAAGTAAGACTACCAGTACCCGTTTATACAGGGTGACTTCGAAGTTGACTCATTTATTTTAACAGTGAGTAGATCTGATCAAAAGAAATGTTTTTTTCCTTTACCATTTTTCTGGTAAAATTAAAGTAACAAAGTTATAGCCCTTTGGAAGTTTGAGTACCGCCCTGTCTCAATAATAATATTATGTGCTCGTGTTTGGCAACAACGGATATAATCCGCCTTATCGGTTCATCGCATCGGAAACAAAAAAGCCAAAGAATTTGGAACGATGTTTTTACAATTATTTTATTCAGTTGTATACAGTCAGTGTCAGTCGGTAACGCGTGAGTGAATAGTGGTGTCTGTTGCGTGGCTCAAACGAAATCAAAAATGGCACATGTTTACGAAAATGCTGAACTTGTGGACATAATTCTTATTTACGCGGCATCACGGATTTATGCGGATCGGTTTCCCAATCGAGTGCAACCAACCCCTCGTGCCTTTGTTAATGTAGTACAAAGGGCTCGTGAATCAGGTGACTTAAGACCTCACAGGGGAGGGCATGCCGGTGCTCCAAGACCGCACGATCAAATACAGGTCCGCACTGAAATACTTGTCGGGAGGATACTTTATAAAACAAGGTAACATTTTTTTTTTAATTTTTTATTTTTACACACATATTTTGGTTTATCTTCCTTCTACAATCATTATCTGAAAATTAATGACTCAACTTCAAAGTCTACCTCATATATACACATGCAACCTACCCCTGTGTGTGAGCGTTTTTCGGTAAGCTCAAAGACATACGCTTTCTAGTTGTCATATTTGTCAAAGTGACAACTTACTTGACATCGGCGTGCAATTCGAGATGTCATGTTATCAATCTTCAATCTCGTGAAATGAAAACAGCAGTCCCCTGTTACCGACTTTATGCGTACTGGAGAGAGTAGCAGATGCGCTGAAGAGCAGTGTTCCGCCCACGGTACGGAGACTCGATCTGTTTACTTATTCCATATGGCGTTGATGACGTAACCGCCAAGAACGGTGACTACAACTATACCTCACCTCGTTTTACAGGTCTTTTCACGGTTTTTCACAGGTCAAAGCATGGGCGCCCGCAGGAATTTTTCTTAGGCAAAAGATAAGTTTTGTAAAAGTGTGCCTGCCCCAAAAACCTTTTTGAAGAGCGGAGGGTAGCAAATTTACTCAGGGGAAGGAACAAATCCTAAGAATCGTGCACGATTTTATGTTAAATGTGCAAGCTTTAAGGTCCAAATTGGATTCTCAGGGTCGCGGGTTGGCACTCCTCAGCGGTCTGTAAATTGAGTAGTAAGACTGGCAACATAGTAAAAAAAATTCTGTGGCTTCTCAGCCTCATTATTCGCCTGGCTTGAGACCCTGTGACTTTTTTCTGGCTGGCTATTTCAGTATCGGAATTCCTGCACTGCTATGAGGAACTTCAGAACCGTCTCCATTCTAAATCTCTTGTACATGCGCAATTCGCCTTTATGCGCAGTCCTTTGTTTGCTTACAGACATATGTTTTTTTTTCTCGTCATCGTGTGAGTCTCCCAAAGTTCTGATTCTCACTGTCAGTCTGACAACATACTTGTCATAGCCACGTGATTTCTGTTTACCTTTTGTAGATCTTCGATAAAAAAACATAGCAATACTTCAAGATAGAACTACGTTGTCGACTGTCTGTGTTAAATAGCATTTTCAAGAGTCGAGTCAGCCAACTCATGTGCGTGTGTGCAAGAGCGAGTAGCAGCTCCATACACGGTACAACTGGTCCAATCTGTTTGCTTATTTCGTATGCTGTTGCCCAAAAGCCGTGAAAAGATGTCTGTATTTCGGAGCCAAAGTGGTTTTGAGATAATTGAATTTGAAATACAGCAGACGCTCGATAATGTAAACTAATTTAATCCAAGTGTGGTTCACATTATCGAAATGTTTACATTAGAGAACGTGATTTATATAATATTTGATTTATTAAAAGAAACGTTTAATACATACTATTTATAACAAAATAAACAAATATTCTAACAGCGATAAGTATTTTTTTAATTAGAAGAAAAATAATTAACAATTTTTGTCTGCGTAAATTTGCGCTTAGCATTGTCTTCCAATGCCTGCGCCCGTAATTTACGAAGAACTAAAATATCCGTGTATGAAACTTCTTTTCTTTCAGCCCAATCTAAAGCTTGGTTAAAAACTTGTATAGCTTGCGCGTCAGTCACTACACTTCTGACTTCAATGGGATCGTTCTCATCATCCTCACAGTCCATATCCTCCTCCTTATCAGCATCATTCATCTGCTTATCTTCGTTCCATAAATTAATATCAGCAGGAGTACAATGTTGGGATTCACTGTTTTCAATAAATCAACAACATCCAATGACACACTAATAACATTATCATTATTGGATCGCAAACGTTCTCTAATTACGCTTAAGGAGACATCGTCTTCTTCATCATCTTCATTATTGGTACAAAAGAGATTGTTCCAACATTTTTGAATAGTTTGCTGGTTAAGTTCATTCCAGGCCATATGTAAATCTAAAACAGCTTCTCGTAATGTTACTTTTTTTAAAACCTCAGATAAGTTTTCAGGATTCTTTGATAAGACAGACGAAAGTAGAAACTTCCTATAGTATAGTTTGGTGAGTCTTATTATATTCTGGTCCATCGGTTGAATTAACGGTGTTACGTTGGGCGGCATGTACATGACGAAAATTGACCCATCCCTGCTCCTCAGTTGTTGCTCGGGAGGATGACTTGGTGCATTATCCAATAGTAACAACGCTTTTATTGGAAGCTTCTGTTGTTTTAGGAAACCTTTTACCTACAAACTGAAAACACATCTTCAAATTATGAATAGAGCATTTGTGATAATTGATTGTCATACCTGAGGGACAAAGCACCTGTGGAATCATTTCAGGAATATACTGCTAGTCATCCAAGCGGTTTTTGAACAGCCATAATCAACAGGGATATTAACATTTTTAAATGAGCGCGGATTTTTTGCTTTCCCAATTACCAGTGGCTTTATTTTGTGTGAACCATTAGCATTAGTGCAGGCTAGAAACGTTATCCGTTGTTTCTCCGGCTTTCTTCCCGGGGCAGATTTTTCAAATGATGCAGCATAGGTTTTCTCTGGTAACATTTTCCAGTTTTTCATTTAACAGTCTCGCTCTCTGTTTAAGTACTTCGCCACTAACTGGGACATGATTTTCCCGTTGTTTTAAAAACCACTTATACAGGGAATTTTGCATTTTAGTTGCCTTCGCATTTATTAAAGTTTTTCTTTTTCCCGGACCTCCAAATGTATTGCACGTTCTTTGTAAAATTTGAGTTTTCATACGCTTAATTTTACAGATTGTTGCTTTCGATAATCCATATTTTTTTGCTAACTGTGTCACTCCCGCACCTAGTGCAGCTTCGTCTATGATTTTCACTTTCTCACTCAACTTTAAACACTTTCTTTTATAGGATGTGGATGCCATAGTCGTAAAATATATTAACGCGTGCAATGTATTCACTTAAGTTCAAAAATGAAATACATACGTACGTATAAACGTATCCTAAACGATCGTACGACTGACCGAGTTTGTCGTATTTTATCGCAGAGGTGAATCCCCTACACTCTACATCATAAATCGGGGACTCCCCGACGCCCGACATAAATCATCGAGGCTTCAGCATTTTACCGTCGCGCTGTTTCCGTGCGCCGAGAGTTGTTTACGTTATCGAGCGTACACATTGTTTACGTTATCGCGCGTTCCGTTTGATCCCATAGAACGAAGTTTGTGTTTACATTAGCGCAAGTTTTCATTATCCCGTGTTTACGTTATCGAGCGTCTGCTGTAATTTTCTTGTATTGTGTTGTATGCGACTTGACATGAGATGAAAAGACGGAACTTCCTTAGTATTACAGATAGATGGACGCTGCAAGTAGCAAATGAAAATTCACAATATTATCATAAACTTAACATATTGAACTTATTTTTGACAAAAATGGACTTGACCTAATCTGACTCTGGGGTACAGATGCATATTACATTTTAACGTTGAGCACAGTCCTTATTGGTAACACCCTTTGCATGCCACAATTCACATGCTTGACATTGAACGGCAAAACCAAACATCTACCAATATAAAAAAGCATGACGTCCAAAGCTGGTCGTTATAAGTTCAATAGCATTAGTAACTACATGATAATTGCACATTATATCATACATAATGTTAATGTTGTAATGTGATTGAAAATTCTTATTCAGGCTCAATTGTTTTTCTAGCCAAATAAACGTTCTATAATCAACCAATGTAACATATAAACAACAAACGGAGTTAAAAAATTATTTCGCATGGGAAAACCACATTTGTCTGATGGTTTGAGCTCAATGTGTACCAGATAGAAGCGCAAGAAGTGTGTATCAACACATGTTAGAAAGAGATAGAAGCGGGCTGAAAAGCGAAGGTCATCATCTCATCGCCTAGCAACGGTGACGCAGAAGGTCTTGCAATCTGCCGCGTTGCCCCAGAAAGAGGTCTGTTCGAACATTTAATTTGATATTTTGTTTTCATTTTGACTAGAATTATTTATTTCGCAGGTGAAAACCATTTCGAAATAAAATAAAATCGTCCATTTATGATTGGGTGGAAACCGTGCCTTGGAATGTACGAGATGCGGTGTTGCTAAGCGAACCAATGATCCAATGTTGCAGGATTTGTGGCGATCCTTACGTTCATTTCGACCTAAACGGAGCGCCGTTAGAACCGATCCGAAATCGACGCTAAACCGATTCGGCCCAATTTATAATTCAAAAATGTGTACGCTCAAAATAACAGCATTATTTGTGTGTAGAGAATAAACTGACGCATATGCCTTCCCACGCTGAAGATGTTAAAATCCCGAGAATAGCACCCAAGAACAGCCAAAACAACTAAACGTAAGGTAGGTACAAAAAAGGGTGCTACTCGGTAAACTGGTGATTGCGGCCCAATATTCCAAAATCTGGAAATCAGACGAAGGACCCACACACCTTAGCCTAGCTTTCTAGCTGTTTTGTAGCCGATTTCTATGAGAAACCAGCCCTTTCTCTTAAGAAAAAGACGCTGTTTACATCAGGTTCTATTTCTTTCCTACGTACTATACAGGGTGTTTCAATTTATTGTTGCATAACTTTAAGATTCGATAGAACTTTCAAAATTAATGCATAAAGTCTATATAAACATGGGTCGAAAAATGCGTGGCTTCCGAAATACAGGGTGTTTAAATTTACTTTTTAAAATAGTTTTTTTTTAATATTTCGAACAATATTTGATGTATAACAGTGAAAATTGGTATACAAGGGTTTTTTGGTACGACAAAACGAACCATGGGCATAGTTTTACTGTAGTCGCTAGAGGGCGCTCTCTACTGTACCTGTAATGACCGAAAAATTTTTATTAGTGCAATTTTTTGATTTTTGAATAAAAAAACTGATTCTTCGCACTTTTCAACATAAAAAAGCTCTCTTGTGAATTTTTGTGATAGTTAGACGTTTTTGAGATATTTCGATTTTTAAGGTTCGATGCATTTTTTATTATTTATGATAAAATAACGTTAAAAAGTCAGTATCTCGATAATTTTTAGAATTAGGCTGTGCCTGCAAATATTTTTGAAATTGAAAGCAGAATAAGGTTAAACGTCAATTAGTTGACAGTTAGTTTTGTTGTCTGTTGAAACCTGAAACGTTTTTTTGCAATTGTGAATGCACGAAATTTAGTTTCTTTTACCTGTTTTTTGTAAGTTTTATAAAAATTCCATTTTTATTCTCCAATCAAGAGTTAGCCGATATTCATTTCGCCCAGTATTTGTAAGAGTGCATCGCCAAATAATTGAAAATGGTTTTGGAAATCGCCAAAGGGATCAAAACATACATGTTCGTCAGCGCAGATTTTACCCTGCGTGAGTTTGATAGAGATCCAACCACAAGTGTTAGGAGAGTTTCTGGTGCCTTGGGAATTTCAGCAAGCCATGTTCACCGTGTCCTTAGAAATGTCCATAGACGTCCTTACCATTTGCAACCTGTGCAAGGACTACAGCCTGGGGACGGAGAACGAAGAATCACATTTTGTCAGTGGATTCTTGATAGAACTGATAATAATAGGGAGTTTTTAAGTTTACGTTTTATGGACCGATGAGTCATGCTTCACAAGACGTGGAGTGGTAAATTTTCATAATCAACATATTTGGTCGCATGAAAATCAGCATGCAGTTCGGGAAAGAAATTTTCAGCATGAATTTAGTGTGAACGTGTGGTTTGGTATCTACCGTAATCGACTATTTGGACCCTACCTTTTGCCTGCAAGGTTAAATGCTGCGACCTTCTTGGAATTTTTAAAGGCTGAACATGCAAATATGTGGGATGATGTTATGTTACATTTAAGAAGATTGGCCTGGTTCCAGCTTGATGGTTGTCCAGCTCATTATTCGAGAATAGTTAGAAACTGGCTGGACAAAAATTATCCAGAAAGATGGATCGGCTGTGGAGGACCAGTCGCCTGGCCTCCACGATCCCCTGACCTAAATCCATTAGGTTTCTTTGTGTGGGGATTTCTAAAAGAAAAAGTGTACCAGACTCCCGTAACCACAAGAGATATGCTAATAGACAGAATCAGGAATGCATGTGATGAAATAAGGCCTTATTTGAATAATGCTATACCACGTTCGATCATTCGTAGATGTGAAGTGTGTATTGAACAATTGGGTTTACATTTCGAGCAACTACTTTAGATTTTGTATGTTTGTCCTAACTATCCAATAGCATTTTAGTTGTAAATAATTAATTTAATTTGTTAAAAATAATATTGGAACATTAAACAAATTAATATTCTGTTTTTTTTTTGTGTTTATTTGGAGTTAGGAATTATTGCTGTGTTTAAAAACACAATCTAAACGATCATCTTAATTACTTGTAATGCCCAAATCGAAAATGTAAAAAAAATATTATTTTCCCATAAATAATTAAAAATGCATCGAACCTTAAAAATCGAAATATCTCAAAAACGGTTAACTATAACGAAAACTCACAGGAGAGCTTTTTTATGTTGAAAAGTGCGAAGAATCAGTTTTTTTATTCAAAAAGCACAAAATTGCACTGAGAAAAATTTTTCGGTCATTTTAATACACTACAGGTACAGTAGAGAGCGCCCTCTAGCGGCTACAGTAAAACTATGCCCATGGTTCGTTTCTTCGTACCAAAAAACCCTTGTATACCAATTTTCACTGTTATACATCAAATATTGTTCGATATATTTAAAAAAAACTATTTTAGAAAGTAAATTTAAACACCCTGTATTTCGGAAGCAACGCATATTTCGACCCATGTTTATATAGACTTTATGCATTGATTTTGAAAGTTCCATCGAATCCAGTCACCAGTCAGACAAATTTGGTTCTCAGTATAGATTCAATAACACTGGCACATTAAAAAATGAGCAATGATTTTGACATGTCGTGACCATGGAGCATGATTTGTGTAATCTACTTTCACTCACTGTTTCATCAGAGCTGTCCTCGGACAAAAATTTGTAGCTTTATTATTGTGAGTGATCGTGCGTAAGCCTTGTTGCCAGACCTGTTAACGACATAATAATAAAAGCCACGCGACATGCAACCCTAACGAAAACTGAAAATCAATAACTCAGTAATAATCTTTTATTTTATTAAATTGAACAGTTGAGACACCATGTATAAACGTCAATATTTTAGAAACGCCTCAAGATACCATATACAGGATGTCCCAGAAGTCGACGACCATGCCGCAACCGGGTGATAGGCAAAGTCATAACAGCTATCAGAAAAATATTTAAAAAAATTTTATATATGTGTTTTGAAAATTATACGTCTTTGAAAAAGATATAGAAATTTCACACCCTACGGCAGTCTGTCAACTCCTGTTACTACGAATATTAACTTTTTTTGGAGTTTATTTTTACAATGTAATGATGAATAATGCATCTTCAAACTGATGTCTCGACCTTACTGCCAACTTTTTTCGTTCATGCAAAATTGCCACTTATTTCCCAACCAAGTATTCCAAAGTAAAACTTTGCTCAACTTTAACTGGCTGTACTGGAAAAAAATGTACTACGAGAGTTTGGCAAGTAACCTTAAAAGTTGGCGCATTTAATAACGATTCCAAAATGGTATAACACTTAGAAGATTACTCGTTAACTTAGGCACAATTTTTATTTGAAAAAAAAACTGATGAAAATTTTTCAAAATTTCCTAATTAAACAGCGATTATGAAAACGCACAAGGACCCTTAAGGATAACTGTTTGCACAACAGTGGGCGTCAAAATGTTGCTGATGATGATTTACCTTTACAGCAAATGCTCAAACTGTTTTCCTTCAGCCGCAATAAACGCTCGACATCTTCTTAAAAAAGATCGGATTATTAAATGAGCGAATCCACGGTTATTAACAAACTCAGCTGCTTCCAATAGTCTTTGCCGTAGCTCAGCTACATTTTGAATCGGCTTGAAATACACTTTTTCTTTTACAGTTCCCCAGTAAAAAAATCTAAATGATTCAAATCAGGTGATCGGGCTGGCCACGGTATTGTACCAGACCGCCTTATCCATCTGCCTGGAAAGTTTTGATCGAGATACTCTCTCACTGAGAGTGCATAGTGCGCTGGGCAGCCATCATGCTGAAACCACATGTCCCTGTAAATACTCAGTGGCAGGTCCACCAATAAATTTTGTACACGATTTTTCAAAAAATCAAAATAAACTTCAGCAGTCAAAGTCTCTGGGAACTCAAACGGACCGATTATTTTACCATTTAAAATTCCTGTCCAATGGTTTATCTTGAAGCGGTATTGAGATTTATCTTCTCTCATCAAATGTGGGTTTGCTACGTGCCACTCGTTTAAGTTATGCAGGTTCATGTACCCATCTTTCTTAAATGTGGTCTCATCCGACCATAAAATTTTTTCAAAGAACTGTGGATCTTTCCTGTGTCTTTCTAACACTGTGCGACAAAAAGCAATTCGGGGCTCATAATCCCGGGGCAGTAGAGGTTGAACACGCTATATGTGGTATGGATGAAGCACATCACTTACTTGCTATTGCACACTTTGATACCGATCAGTACTCCTTCGTTTACTGCGCATCTTTACATGTTCGTGCTTGTTGATTTCGTACTGTTACTAATTTTGGATTCGTGAACTGGACTGTTGATCGCTTGTGATTTGGATTTGGACTGTTTAATTGCTCTTCAAAACAACATTTGCTTTCCTTAGACTATCTTTGATAGTGTGATTGTGCAGTGCCGCTATGTACGTGTACACCGTATAAGAATATGCTAACATGCACCTCATTTATGGGGAATGCAGATGCAACGCTAGTGCTGCAGCGAGACTTTACTGTGAGAGGTACCCGAATGCAGCTCGTCATCCAGATCATCGAGTGTTCATAAATGTGCACCGCTTACTGTTCTCAGAGGGCCAACTACCAAACCAATCACACGGTGAGGGAAGATCTTTCCTTCCTTACGAAGACGTGGTGCTAGAAGCTGTCGAAGAAGACCCGAGTACTTCAGTGCGTGCAATAGAACTAAAAACAGGTGTGCCCAAAAGTACAGCCCATAGAATCTTGCAAAAAAACGTGCTCCATCCATACCACGTACAGCGTGTTCAAGCTCTTCTGCCCCGGGATTATGAGCCCCGAGTTGCTTTTTGTCGCACAATGTTAGAAAGACACAGGGAAGATCCACGGTTCTTTGAAAAAATTTTATGGTCAGATGAGACCACATTTAAGAAAGATAGGTACATGAACCTGCATAACTTACACGAGTGGCACGTAGCAAACCCACATTTGATGAGAGAAGATAAATCTCAATATCGCTTCAAGATAAACCATTGGACAGGAATTTTAAATGGTAAAATAATCGGTCCGTTTGAGTTCCCTGAGACTTTAACTGCTGAGGTTTATTTAGGTTTTTTGCAAAATCATTTAGAAAATTTATTGGAGGACGTGCCACTGAGTATTTACAGGGACATGTGGTTTCAGCATGATGGCTGCCCAGCGCACTATGCACTCTCAGTGAGAGATTATCTCGATCAAAACTTTCCAGGCAGATGGATAGGGCGGTCTGGTACAATACCGTGGCCAGCCCGGTCACCAGATTTGAATCCGTTAGATTTTTTTTACTGGGGAACTGTAAAAGAAAAAGTGTATTTCCAGCCGATTCAAAATGTAGCTGAGCTACGGCAAAGACTATTGGAAGCAGCTGAGTTTGTTAATAACCGTGGATTCGCTCGTTTAATAACCCGATCTTTTTTAAGAAGATGTCGAGCGTGTATTGCGGCTGAAGGAAAACAGTTTGAGCATTTGCTGTAAAGGTAAATCATCATCAGCAACATTTTGACGCCCACTGTTGTGCAAACAGTTATCCTTAAGGGTCCTTGTGCGTTTTCATAATCGCTGTTTAATTAGGAAATTTTGAAAAATTTTCATCAGTTTTTCTTCAAATAAAAATTGTGCATAAGTTAACGAGTAATCTTCTAAGTGTTATACCAGCGGCATTTTGTACTGACCCGGTGTGAATGATGTTTGAATAGGGCATGGAAATTTCTCAACAACGGTAAAGGAAATCTCATAACTTGTGGTTTGAAAAGTGGCGACAATGACACCTACAATTATATACCTGAAGTGGGTGGAATATTTTGATCGATTGTTTAATAGTATACACATGCATTTATATTACTGAGTTATATCATACAATAAAACATAAAATTCATTGATGTCACTTTCGTGTTTATCACCAACTTTAATTACTTTTAATTAATTAAAATTACATAGATTCGTGGAAATTGATTACAGAAAACAACTATTCTATATCGGCCTTGAAGTAAAGAGTAAAACATGAAAATGACAGCAACAAACGGGGGAATATCCTTTTTCTAATGAACGCAGCATGCACTTTTATCTGATATAACAGTTAACTTACTGCTTTTTCAGACACGTCATCGGACACACGTTATTTGCTTTGACATTATGGGTGATCTTTCTTAGGCCTTCTAACCATACCTTTAATGCCATGCAAAATGTTCAGAAAATTTATATAAATATAATGAAAAATACGATTGCCATTTGAAAAAATCAATAGAACCAAAATCATAATATCGTCAACTGATACCATTTTTGAGGAGAGTTTTTGTAAAACTAACGTTTTTTCTTATATGAGACACTCTCACAAAGCTAAAGAACATTTTCGAAACCAAGAAAAAAATAGGCTGTACGACGGATGTCTTTAAGTTTTGCATATGGAAATAAAACAACCCGGTGGGTAGTTTTAAATGACTTAATTTTCGGGAAAGTAAAGAAATCTTTGAAAGTTGTAATAAATTATGGCGCGAAAATGTTCTCGGTCGAGTTCCATTTTTCTAATGACTTGGTGATACATAAAAATTCACTGTAGTGAGAACACTGCACGTATTGTTGTGAAACTTTGAATTTAAGTTTACTAAAGAGTGAGGTTAAGATTCAGTACTGACGTTTGATACGCGCGGCCTACTATGTTTCTATATGGAAAACTTAAAAGACATCCCTCGTAGACTAGGCAATATGCATGATTTTTTTTGTATTCCCTGTCGTTTACGCTAATATACATAGCTCTGTAACCACATATTTGATTCATGGAAATGTCTGTATTTATTTTTAATCAGATAAAACTGCAATATCAATAACGCTGATTTAAACGTCGCATTTTTAAGAGCGCTTTGGCAGTGACGTCATAACTCACGACCTGTCATTTGATTGTATTTTTGGTGAGGCTACTGTCGATTTTTTGACACATTGTCTTTTTCACGAGTATCCATACGGTAAAATGACAGCTGATTATGACAAATGACACATAATTCTGATGGATCCGTCAAAGCCAGGCAGACAGAGCGTATATTGATTTGGTTTTTTGTACCCTACATATTCATTTTGTACTTCCTAACAACCCTTTTATTTAGAAAAGTGAAGACTGATGCAAATATGTCACTTGTTGATCAGCTGTTTACCTCAGTAGACGTCAAAACGTTTACATGTTTACAAAGTATTTATAGGTTATGTTTATCACTACAATTTACATTGAAAAGCTGGAACTTCGAACTGACAGGTCGACAAATGACAGTGAGGACAAATGCCTTGCCATTTTAAAGCAGACTGACCAATTAACAAAGAGTTGTACTCTAAATAGTTATAGTAGTACCAATAGTATTGTGTTTTGACAGTTTAAATTTATCCAGTGTTTCTCCAATTTTTTATTAATTAATACTCATAGAACCTTAGTTTAAAATAAGGTTAAAGATGTCATTTCTGTTGAAATATGTATAAACTGTAAAAGAAAACATACAACATTTGAATCACATGCATATTCCCTAATCTTAAAATACTAAATCAACAGTTGTGAAGAAAAATATAATTTTACTGAACTATAATACCTTTGCTGTTTCAGCATCAGGACAAATCACATGCTGATAATTGATGTTGATATAATCTGTACCACTACAGATTGTTAGTGATTTATCTTCCAGATCTTGCCCATGCTTGCCAGTCAATGTGTTGAAAAGCTTTGGATCTTTTGGCAGCCCACCAGCTCTTACATCACTGACTTGACACAGTTCTATAACATCCCCTTCCTAAAAATACTAATCTTAATTCCTGATTCAAAATTTTCATTTATCAGAAATGATGTGTTTTGAATCTCTGGATCCTGTCGAAGTTATAGCCTACTAGAAAAATTTGCAAATTATTTCAAGACACCTTCAGATTTATTGTCAGTATAAAAAATAGAAGTTTGTTTTGCCTACCATGATGATAATATCAGAATACATTTATATAACTCTACAGTATATTCAGATAAGAGATAGACCGGACATAAACAAGACCACGTGATCATCGAACGCTGTAACATTCGGCAGGGACGTATTAAGAGTCACGCAGTACATATTTTAGATAGTAGATGCTGCTTTGCGTAACTTTGTAGTAAATTAGCACAATTCGATGTGTATACGATTGGTGATGGATATAGGATCATGTGGGGGTGGGGTAAGAAATATATAATGATGTAAATATACATAAGGGTTTCAAAATTTTCGCTTCGATTTCCAGCTTCGGATGCCGCCTGATGTTTGGTGAAATACAGTCGAATATAATCTCGAAATGGCGTTTAAATTAGCCTAAATTAAAAATAATCGTATATCTCTTAAAATTGCTTTTAGAATATTGATTAGTATATTTTTTGATTTCTAGGTAAATATGTAACCAAATTAAAACGTTCAAAACGTAAAAAAATGTGCATGGTTGAACATTGTCAGAAAGTAGATTCTTGAATAGGTTTTGCCAAAATGGGTTCAAAAATGTCAATAATTAATTAAAAAATACAGTAGCTTTATAATTACTTATAACTTACCGAATTTGATGAACGACATCTTTTATTGGAAAGATGAGCTTGATGAGCTTTCATCATCGATACTGCCTGAAGCACCAACGTCAATAATGAATGGCTCGACTTGTTCCTCTAAAATATTGTCCAGTTCCCACATTCTCTTTTCAACTTTGTCTTTCACGTGCTTAATACAGTTTTCCCATTTTTGCGCTGTTATTAATTCTAGTGCTTCTTTGAAAAGTCCTTTGAGGTCACAAAATTTAAAAGTTGTATTGTGCTTAGCTATATAATTTTTAACCTCTGCCCATATGAGCTCAATGGGATTGAGCTCGCAATGGTATGGAGGTAAACGGAGCACAGTTTTATTTTGACTTGCTGCCATTTCGTCAATGGCGTATTTTTGATATTCCGCCTTGTGATCCTTGACAATTCTTAATAATTGTACTTTCAGCATTGCTTCTTCAAAGTTGATATTTTTCGAGCGGAACCAATTTTGAACATCAACTTTCCTTGAAGCCGTTGTTGGGACCTTCTCCATTCTTCGAGTATGATAAGGCGCATTATCCAACACAATTACTGCGTTTTCCTCTAAGTTCGGTAAAATTTTTGAAAACTGTTCAAACGATTCGCCATTCATTTCCTCGTGGTAATCTCCAGTTTTTTTAGACTCAAAGCACCACAGACCGTCAACAACAAATCCATCCTCACTGCCAATATGGCAGATAATGAGCCTTTTCCCTTTACCTGGAAATCGAAGTACTAACTGGTGTAGATTTATTTCAATAAGCGAACCTTTTTCAAATGTTTTCATCACATTCAGCGAAAAAACATTGAGACATGAGTATCAGATTGCTATAATTGGGATTATTTAGTCATATTGAAAGAAAGAATATTGAACGTCGTATGATTACTCAGCGCTTCACAATTTAATTTAAAGTTATAAACCTTTAAAAAATGAATGATCAGGAACCTGAAATACGCGCAAATATTAATATTAACAAATTATAACTTTATAAAGCTTAAAGTATGAATTAAAATGATTAGAAATATTAGGAACGGTACACAATATAAAACTTAGTAACTTTTTTTAAGTTTATAATATTCGACATATTTTAAGATTATATTAAAAAATTATTGAAATATCTAAAACACATAAAAACATGGCTTAAAAAAGTTCTAACAAATGAAAATGACAATAAAACATCCACGCATTTTATCGAAAGTTATAAAAGTTTTGTTACTTGTAATATGTTTTATCTGCACCCTGGAATTAATGTTTAGAACCTTGTTCCCAAGGTTTGAAAAACATCCGATTGTTGTCTATTACTCGTATTTACCTGCTGGATTTTTTAATCCGGTGGACAGTCCATCTAGAAAGGCCCTCCTGGATGAAGTTACAGAATCATCAACCCATACTTTACTTGTAGTGTGTCCTGCGTTTACCCACGTTTCATCAAGGTAATAAATCTTCCTGTTTTGATTTCTATATTTCCCAATTTTTGTTAAATAATCCCTCCTCCATAGCACAATTTCTTCTCTATCCAGTAGTAAACTATTACGACCCCGTTTTTTCCATTTGAAATTTAAATGCTTCAGTAACGCATGGAAAGTTGATCGTTTGAAATTTCGCAACGTTGTATCTCCATTTACCTCCTGCAGTACTTTATCTATAGTAGGTATTTCATTCCTAAAGAAGAATTCATGCACTTTCCTCCTAATCGCATGCTTATCAGCTTCATCCAATGATTTAACAATACTTTTGCGATGTTTACTGGTCATTGGCTCAGAAAAGGTGTGATTTTTTTTGTATTGTCTTAACACATTAAACACTGATGCGCGACACACCCCAACTTTGTGAGACACCTTCACAACAATTTCTTTGATGGTTGACGCCTCGTTCTCCTCGCGCTCGATCTTATATATATTCAAAATGATCTCTTTCATTTCTGCTCTCAGGTGTCTTTTTTTAGAGCGTTTCCTAGGTGGACTACAGGAGTTTACAACTTCATCGGCAGTATCTGTACTACTGGGCATTTTGCGCAAGCAGTTGATAACAATAACAATCAATAACAAGGTATAACAATAACAACGACAAACTCAACAACTTAATAAGATAACAAACGAAAACGTCCAAAGAAATATCAAATTGCAATGATGCACACGACATACGTAACACGTCTGAACCTGAATGTGACTCTGCCTTGATACGACTGCTCTGCCGCTCGGCATAGGCATTTAATTGCGAATTGACCAATGAGGGCTCCTGTTTTACGTCGAGACGGCGGCGTTAGCGTGAAAATCACCCGAACCTTTTGTTTACATCCGGTCTATCTCTTATCTGAATATACTGTAGAGTAAAATGTTGTCCTGTCAAAGTCACAGCCAACTACAGGTATTTTACGATACGGGATGCCAGACTTTTGCATTTGATATTGTTGTTTTTGAATAAAAAAGACAGTGCTGCCAGTACAAATGAAAATTGGTAATAGATAAACAAAAATACACATTATTTTATTGAAAGCATTTGTCTCTACCACATTAGAGTGTGATTATTTTATATTCTATGTTAAAAATGAAGTTTACCAAGTAGATCAAAATGCTGACTGCTTCCATCAAAACATGAACAAAGTTAGAAAATCAAAATCTGGAAATTTCATAGTCTGTACACAAATCTTTTCATACACCACAAACAATGTTCCAGCACCTTTTTTAATAATTAAATTTTTTAAAACACAGGTCTCCCAAATATTTTTGTCAGTCTACTCCTTATAAAAAGCTTCAACTTATTCAGTAATATAAAAACGGAACTGGTATAACGCTAAAACTATTTAGGAGCGACAGGTAAGCTTAGATTCAGGGGTCCAATTAAAGAAAATGTTTGTGATGGGTTCAGCCCAGCTAAGGTACAACAAATATTTTACCTACCTTTCCCTCGCTCTTCCAGTAGATGAAAAACCCATACTCGTCAACTTTGAACAGTGCTTTTTGTTCAAAGTCAACGTTGTCCTTTTCTTCAGTCCATCTATCGAAGACACAGCCCGTCAGTAAGGGCTCAGGGACAGGGATTCGCCAATCGAACTCGAATTTCTTCGTCATTTTTCTATTTTCCCGAACTGAAAATATCAGTAGGATACGGTGTTACATCTTGTCGGAATTTTCGGACCGCGAAAATGTGAAGATCACAGGCGGCCTCGGTAAACAGCGGCCAGTAAAATAATAAACAATTATCAGTGTAAACGTCAAAACATTTTGCAGACGTTCGATCTTCGATATTGCTAAAATTTGGGATGGGCAAAAATAACCGGTTCATCGAATAACCTGTTTTTCTAAGCTAATCAACCGCTTTCAACCTGTTATTTCACAATGTACGGCTTACCGACAAATAAAAACATGCGATAACCGGAACACAAATCTCAGTAAATACGAGCGTACTGAATATTAGGGCTGTGTTGTTTTTGTTGACATGTCCAATAACCCGCCCCATATGCGACATCTCTAGGTTCTGATAGATGTTCTGTGGTCACAAAACGCCTTTCTTATGCCACGGTTTATGACGAGATTTTAAGTTTATAGATGCCAACTTCACGTTTCCCGTATTTACTGTTGTTATAGGATTGATTTAACAAGGAAGTTATAAGTCGCACGTTTATACAGTGTGCTTTGCGATATCTAGGCGCTGATATAATAACCGTTTTTTATCAATAACCGCCCATCCCTAGCAAAAATGTTGTGCAATGCAGTCGTCCTCAGCATAGTGATGGGTCATTAAAGCCGGAATGAATCTATAGAAAGAATCGAATGTTAGAACCATGGTGAGGGCATCAAACTAATAGTCCAGGGATTATCAGCATAAGGTTACCGCGAACTGCACCTCTCGTGCGCTTGATTAACAATTATAAAAAGCAAAGGTTTATATTAACAATGCCCCACTATGGGATCTTGTTAATGGATGTTTAAAGAATATTTAGGAACTTTGGCGACATTAGAATTGTTGTTTTTTGTATGCAACAAAAAAAAATATCAGGGGTGAATCAGCAATTTTTCGGGTTTGCTTAAAAAACATTGTTTAAGAAATTTTTGCGCAATTTTGGACCAGGCAATATGAAGATTCAAGGTTTCTTTTTGGATTTGCTATATGCGAACCATACTCTGTAATTTTATAACCTAATACTGGTTACTAAAAATTAAAATTCTTTAAATGCGATGTTCTACGTATTTTGGGTCGCTAAAACCGAATCCGAAGTCCGTTCACATGTATCTGATCCCGTTTATCGTTTGAATTCTATTATTTAGTGACAAAATAAATGTGTGGACCGCCATTTTCGGAAAACATAATAATAACAAACCTTTCTTTATTCCTGGATACTTGACTAGGAAGACACAATAAATTTGCTTACTTTTGCTGAGAAACGGGAGGCGAGTGTTAAAAATTGTAACGTCTGCTTAGGTAATCCTTTAGGAGGGACTTTGATTCAGAAAATTGATCGTTTGGTACTTCTCGTGGATCGTACCATCAAATTTTGACGTCGAATACAAAATCTACGCACCCGATATAGCAATAAAATAATATTTTGTGGAGATGACAGATACTCGAAGATTTTTGAAAATGTTGCTACTTCGTACATGAAAGGATAGTTTAAATACTCACCTACATCAACATCCTACAACGACAAAACAATTTCTTCGCTAACGTTCAAAATAAATTATAACACTGAGAAAATCGGGATAAAAAATCGCATGGCAAGGAGACATAGGCATATTTACCTACGTTTCCCCGAGGTCCAAACTGCTACGGAAGCCTTATAGGTTCAGCCTTTTATAAACACTATTAGATTAAAAAATCGATAGGCTCAAAAATAGAAATGTTTGCATATCAGTATGCGTACTTACCGATTTTCAATAATCAGATTACACATAAATATATACAGGGAGCATATGACAATAATCCTGTTGTACCAATAATTCCAATGGGACAGTGCAGAAAGCTGTTGGACATGGTGGTTGACTAAAATGTAATTTCCTAAAGTTCTGTTTTAATTAGAAAAAAACGATAAACGAGTTCCTAACATATTTAGGATCCTCATTAAATATTTCATGCAAACGTGGATGATCAAATCGTTTAATGTTGACACTTCTTCGATATGGTCAAATTTAGTTGGATAGATCATTTCATGACAAGGTCAATTTTACCATATAGGTGTCCATGGTTGACTATCTGTGGTCAGATGGACGTAAGCTGTACGTTTAGTCTGTTAATGGCGAGTAGACCCCATCTACTTTATCGCCAGAATCGTCAGCCTCTAAAGGTCTCAGTGGTATCAAACGCGAACTGAGAGCTTTGCAACTTTAAACTTATAGATGCTATAGCAATGGTTGAATCTGACAATAGATGCTGCTTTGCTTAGATCGATATAGGTATGGTGTATCTGAAGTCACTTGAAATAGCATAAAAACCTTTGGTCGGCGCGTCCTTTGTAATTTCATGACGTATCATAGGCGTGCGGTAAAATTTATTTAGAACGACAATAATAATGTTTTCATATCACAATAAATGGATTTTACTATCTTCTTATTTTTTTGATTTGGGATAAAAAATACTTATATTGGGAGTTTAATTTATGTTGACTGAAAGTTAAGAAATGGAAAAATTACAGAATTCCAACGTTTGACATAGGCAAATATTTACATAGCAGGTAGGTATATAAAAAGGTATATAAACACTTACATTATAGGTATATATCATCTTCGCCTTCGGAGCTGTCGCTAGAGTCATCTTGTAGAGGAATTACAACGGGATTTACAGGAGGCAAAACACAATATTCATTTTCTTTTTCAATAATATGCCTAGAACACTGCTTCCATAGGTCTGTGGCAGCAATATGAGATACTGCATCTCTTATTGTGGCCAATAGCGATTCACTTAATTGAGGGGTCTGATTATGTTTTCTTACTTTTTTTTAAAGCAGCCCAGACCAACTCAATCGGGTTAAAAATGCAGTAATAGGGAGGTAGACGTAATACTTCATGGCCATTTTGCTGAAGCAGATTGTCAACAACATACTCTTTTTCAAATTTTTGTCTTTTAATAAGATCCAGTAATATGGCTTTGGTTGATTTTTGTGGTATTTCCATTCCCTTATCCTTCATAAAATCAATAATGTCTTGTTTTTTTTGTGCCTGTATTCGGAATTTCGTTTTTCTGTCGGGAATGGTATGGCACATTGTCCATAATAATCACTGAATTTGGGGAAATGTTTGGTATTAACTGCTGCTCTATCCACTTTTCAAATAAGTCGGAGGTCATGTCCTCATGATAGTCGGCACATGATTCTTTGATATTTTTGGCAGATAACAGCAAGGCATTAGGTATAAATCCATTTTCACTGCCAGCATGGAGAATAATGATTCGTTTTCCACGGTTGCATGGTCCATTTAAAATGCACTTGTTGCTGTCGTCAACCCAGCCGTACTCCACAACATCATGGGTATCATACCACATTTCATCCAGGTAAATCAGATTTCTTTTCTGCTCTCTATAGATTTTAACTTTGTGCAAAAATTCTTGGCGCAATTCAACGATTCGAGACGACTCCATAATCACCATTCTTTTATCTAATTTTTTGTATTGAAAACCACACAGTTTTACAATACAGTGCAGTGAGTCTACGCATTTGTAATTATAAAAATCTTCAGGATAATCTTTTAATTTATCCCGTATCATTTCCAACGTGGGCACCAAATTTTCTTTATAAAATCCGTATATTATACGACGAATATCTTCCTGAAAACCCACGTCTATTCTTTTTAATTTTTGCCCTATGCGCTTTCTGTGGAAGGAATGGTTGACTACATCTCCCCTTTTTATAACCCGATAAATGGTAGACCGACTGATTTTTGTCAGGATACAAATTCTGTTTAAAATTTGATTTTGCGAGGAATCTGGATTTTCGTTTTTCAGACAATCATACATATTTAGGATTACTCTTTGGGTCTGTTCCTCTAAATCTTTATGAAAGAATTCTGCCTGCACAAGTTCATCAACCATCTCCTCGTGGCTTGGAGCATTTTCCCAAGGTCTCCAAAGAGCCATATTTAGGTCACACAAGAACAATCAACACAACAATTAAATCAACAAGTAAACTGAGTATTCAAAAGTCAAAAACACACAAACTAATAAAATCTATGAAAAAACACGGACAGATTAAAGAAAACACGTTTATTCACCGCTACACGGCACTGGCTAAACTGTTTCAATTTTCAGTAGCCACCTGCACTTGTTCAGAGCTCTGAAATACACGCTTTCTCATTGGGTATGTCCACGCATAGGCGTGCTTTACTCCACGTGGACCGGTGAAACTGCCTTTGATCTTATACGGGGGATATTTGCTGCGAAATTTGGCGATTTTTGCAGCAACAGAGAGTGTTAAATATAGATATATAAAACGCACCCGGTATTTCACAGTGTTTCAAGTGACTTCAGATAAAGTATACTTAAAAGAGAGAAGAAAAGATTAACCATTATTCGGCAAAATCGAGTTCGAGAATGATTCCGTTCAGATTTTTAATTTCACTGAATTCCTCCCAGATATCAAGCTGTCGATTATCCCAGTTTCCTGAGAACACGCGAATATCACCACAAATCTAGATCCATATGTAGAGCAAAATTTATTGGATAAAAAATACTACAACAGTCCACAACAATGTATAAATAATTTATTTCTTTGTATAATAATTACATAAAAATCAACGTGCTTAATAAAAAATCATCTTAAGAAATATCTTCAATTGACACGTTAAATTACATTCTCGAAATGTTCCGTGACACGATTCCATTTGATACATTTTATTGTCTCGAAATTGACTCAAAAATACGTCAAAAAACTACATCAAATATGTCAACTGACACTTCAACGAACGTCTTGTATCGAATGACATCCGGAACAACTGCAATTATCTATTTTTCATATAACAATAAGAGTTGAAACTCTTGTGAAACAGAATTGTCAGTTGTCCGTTGACAGCTGTCAGCGACAATAAGTACCAATTAATAACTCTTGCGAATTGTGAAACAGAATTGACAGTTGTCCGTTGACAGCTGTCGACGACAATAAGTACCAATTAATAACTCTTGTGAATTGTGAAACAGAATTGACAGTTGTCAGTTGACAGCTGTCGACGACAATAAGTACAAATTAATAACTCTTGTGAAACTGAGCGTACTTTTTCTTGCAAATGGAATAATGTCACAACATTAGTTTTAATATTCACAATTATCTAAGAGGTACCATTAGCTCTATGAGCTTGTGCTATCGAGCAGCACTTTTCCGTTGTATTTGATAACAAGGGAGCGGAGGAAGTCTCTGACATTGTCGTACGTCGCGTAACTTATACCTACACAAATAGGCCCTTTGATCCAATTCATCGACAGCCCTTTGTATAGTCCTCGTATTAGGCCTTCCCTCCTGGCGAAGAGAGAAACAAATATGAGTAACTAATTTTTTTTTCAATCGCAAGATAGTAACTATAACTTGTAAGTTAACTATTAGTTGTCCTTGAAATTCGTTATAACCAACCAGTAACCGCTGATATGCTTTCTAAACCCAGAATTATTATGGGAAATAGGCGCCAAAAATGAACTAAATGGTCCAGCGTCATCTATGAGAAAATACCGTAACCAAACACTTCAACTCTTTTCAAGGTGGATTTCTGAAATGGTTTTTCTGTTCTCCTGGTGTCTCGTAAATGGCGCTAGAATCATTCAGACCTTTTTTTTGGGCGCCGGAATATGGTAGAATACGTTAATCGATGATAAAATAAAATGTGTCATCAAAGAATTACCTATAAACGTACGAAAGCGTCCCGACTAGCGACTTGTATCTTCCCTCCATATCAGTCTGCATTCTTCGCCTAACGATGTCTAACGGGTAGCTACTAGTCTGACCAACCATTCCGGCCACCGCGCCAAAGCATAACTGTACCCAAGGAGGCGGTGAGGTGCAATTTATATCTACATATTCTGCAATAAATCAAAAAAAACATTCATGCTTTTATATTCCCATTATTTAAGTGCGCACTCTAAAAACAACTTGTAGCTTTTCGAGGAGGCAAAATCATGATGACCTTGACAATGACTCTGACAGCCTTGACCATGGCCTTCAACGCCATTTCAAGGTCAAATCAATACCGCGGAAACAATTTGCTCGGTCAAAGATGACTGACAGCACAATTGTGAGGTTTGTGGGGATCACCCAAAAGTGACTTTGACCATGAACTTGACCACGACCTTCAACTAAATATTTTCAAACGGAACGCCCATTTCTTCACATCTGAATTGAAAACGGGAACTTTTACGTCCAGATATGACCTTGGCTATGACCTTGACCACGGTCTTCGAGGCCAATAGGTTTTTCGGGATCACCCCAAAGTGACCTTGACCTCGACATTCAAAGTTTAGCGAATGGTTTTAAATGGAGTGCCTCTTTTTCACATCGGAATTGAACAGAGGAAATTGTATGGCCAGATATGACCTTGACCATTGCCTTCGCGTCAATTTCAAGGTCAAATCAATACAGCGAAATCAATTTGCTCTAGCAAAAATGATCAACAGTACAATTTTGGGCTTTGTGAGGATCACCCAAAATTAACCTTGACCACGACTTTCAAGGTCAAGTGCATATTTTCAAATAGAACGTCCATTTTTTCACATTGGAATTAAAACAGGAACTTTTACGTAAAGATATGACCTTGACTATTCCAAGGTAAAATTAAGACAGCGAAAACATTTTGCTATATCAAAAATGACTGACAGCACAATTGTAACGTTTGTGGGATCACCCAAAAGTGACTTTGGCCACGACCTTCAAGGTCAACTGATTATTCTCTAACAGATCGCCCTTTTTTAGATCGGTATTGAAATCGAGAAATTTTACGTCCAGATATGACCTTGGCGATGACCTTGACCTTCGAGGCCGATTGTAAGTTTTTTCGAGATCACCCAAAAGTGACCTTGAGCACCACATTCAAACCAAGCGAATGGTTTTAAATGGAGTGCCCCTTTTTTACATCGGAATTGAAAAGAGGAAATTTTATGCCCAAATATGCCCTTCACCATTAACCACGCGTCAATTTCAAGGTCAAATCATTACAGCGAAAGCAATCTGCTCTAGCAAAAATGATCAACAGTACAATTTTGGGCTTTGTGAGGATCTCCCAAAAGTAACCTTGACCATGATCTTCAAGGTCAATTGCATATTTTCAAATAGAACGTCCATTTTTTCACATCGGAATTAAAACAGGAAGTTTTACGTCAAGATATGACCTTGGCTATTCCAAGGTCAAATCAAGACAGCGAAAACAATTTGTTATATCAAAAATGACAGACAGCACAATTGTGACGTTTGTCAGGATCACCCAAAAATGACCTTGATCACCACCTTCAAGATTATTTCAATGTGAAGCGAATAGTTTTAAATGGAATGCCCCTTTTTCACATCGAAATTGAAATGAGGAAATGTTATGCCCAGATATGACATTGACCATTGCCTCGGCAATTTCAAGGTCAAGTCAATACGGCGAAAACAATTTGCCCTAGCAAAAATGATCAACAAGTACAATTTTGGGATTCGTGGGGATCACCCGAAAGTAACATAGACCATGACCTTGAGCACGAACCCGCCCTTTTTTCGCATTGAAATCGAAAAGAGGAAATGTTGCGTCCAGATATGACCTTGACTGTGACCTTCAGACCATTCCAAGTTCAAATCGAGACGGCAAAAACAATGTTCTCTAGCAAAAATGATCGATAGCACAATTGTGAGGTTTTTGGGGATCACTCGGAACTCAAGCTCATTTCAGGGACAAATGAAACGCCCAATTTTTCATGTCGAAAAGTTTGTGCTTATTATTTTTTTGAGTAGCCGAAATTCGTAAAAATTAGTTTAGCAAATATAGTAAGTCTCCAGATTTTCAAGTTATATAACATACCTTTGTACAATCTTTTGAGAGTATCGTATATAAAAAATGACACACCAGCATACGGCATAACACCCATCATCGTAGGTATATAACCTTTATAAAACGTCCTAATTCCTTCTGTGTGATAAATTTTAGTAAAAACCTGCAAAAAATAAAATGCAATCGTTTTCATGAAAAATGTAATGTGAAGATTCGATCGGCTGTGTGTAAATGCAGCCCGTAAAAAATCGGATAAAGAAAAAAATATAATATAGAATGATACCATATCATTTATTGACCACGTTATGTATACAGGGTGTTCAAAAAATAGACGGAGATATGTTAGAGGATGATTCCTTGTTCAAAAAATATGAAATAAGTTTTTATAACCATGAGTCCGGAAATGCAGTTTTCAAGCTAGTGTTAAATTAAAAAAAAATTAAGCTTTTTGGAGAACTTTCGCAAATAAAATTACTTGAATAATTCTTTTCTAGAAAAAATGGCAATCCTCTACCCAAAAAATGTTTTGTGCAAAAATTAATAAACCAATTTTGCCCAGTGACAAGAAATGAAACGGGTTTTTTTTTAACGTAAAATGGTGGAATGTGTTAGGAAATAAGTGATTGCGATCGAATGACACACCTCTTTTCGTATTGCGTACCTGCCGAAGGGTGGCATATTCGCGTTTGTGCGTCACAGCCATCCGTGCTCTAGCTAAATCTAAAGGGTACGTCAGCGACTGGGAAGTCACTCCAGCCAACGAACCAGCCAAAAATAATCTACCGGGGGATTCCCTGAAATCAAAAAAATACGATCGTAAGTCAGAGCTGCTTTTTAGGCGCGTTTTTACTGACAGGAGATAAAAATTCTTGATCCGGATCATAATGGATTGATGAGAAAGCATCTTTCTATACTATAACTATCTACTCTAAAACTGTAATGACTCATCGATGTTCACGTGAACATCACTTAACTACCAGTAGTCGGCTGTTCATAGGCGGGGTATGAATGTTTAACATGGGTGAACTAGATTTGTCACATGCTTAATAAAGAGTGGTTTGAAACATATTGTAAGTCAAAAATTTGGGAATTACCTTTATTCATCGTCGCTTCCACTTACATCTGACAGTAATAAACTGTCGCTATCGCTTTCCCCGTTGAAATTGACTATAACTGGCTCTATGATGGTGTCGATGTGGTGGTCAAGCTGCCACATTTTTGTTTCTTCCTTCACAACATGACGGATAGCATTCTGCCAAGCTTCGGGCGTTACTAGCTGTATGGAAGTCTCAAGTAAAACCTTAACGTCTGGTAATTTAAAGGTTGTGTTATGGCGCGCAATATAACCCTTCACTTGAGCCCAGATGGGCTCTGTTGGGTTCAGTTCACAGTGGTAGGGCGGTAACCGCAGCACAGTGACACCACATTGACGGGCCATCTCATCAGTCACGTAACTAATGTTCGCAGGTTGTGCTGTTTAATTTTTTCATACAATTCCGCTTTCACACATGAATCGTCAAACGGGATTCCTTTTTCGCGCAACAATTGCTGCATGTCACTTTTTCGAGATCCCATAGTCGGTACACGTTGGGCTCGACGACTATGGTAGGAAGCATTATCCATGACGATCACAGAGTTGGGATCAACTCGCTGAAGCACCCCTTCTGTTCAGATAATTGAACACGTTGAGCACGATTTCTTTCGCGTCCCTCTTCAGTGCTTTACGAAGCCGTCTACTTGTTCCCTGGCTTTCAGTACTTCCACTCGTGCCATTTGTACTCTCCATGGTTAAGTATAACCAAAACAGTAACCACAGAAACCACAACAATAACAATCACACAACAATTCTTATAAAATCACACAATATGCGATCGCTCAACGAAACACGTTCCAATGCGTTGCCGACGCCTATGAGTCTGCCGGTCGAGGCGCGTCTTTGATTTCATTGGTTCTACCGGCGGAGAACAATCAGCCATTATTTCCATCTCTGTCTGTGCTGTTGACCACCGCAAAGCCACAGAAACGACATATGTCGTACGCTATGCGGCTGTACTGGAAGGAAGCCGGGATCGAGCTCTGATCACGTGTTGATCACGCGTATGAGTCATTACAGTTTTAAATAGTTGTAGTATAGTAATGGATCTCATACTAGCGAAAAAACATGAGTTTTGTGTAGTCCCCATATTGAATCAAGAAACTCTATGAATCAGAACTAGAAAAACATATTTTTCCACTTGATCCCGCTATCAAAAACCTATGATCCGGAACAACAATAACCAATTAAAAAGGAGATTTCAGCCAATCGAAAACGAGCCTTTAAGATGGTTGGTCACGTTTTTTACGTTATTTTTCTCTTGCGACTGATTCGATTTTATTTGTTCAAAATTTTACGATTTCTTTTTGGTCCAATTTTTTTTAATATTATTTCCATACTTTCTCGAAAAATATCAATGCGTCCAAGTTCAAAAATCGTATTTACATTAAGTTCAAGTATGTTAATGTCATGAGTCAATTGCTTTTGAAAAAAATTATTTTTTTTTTTACAATATTATCTGATAATTTTTTTACCGAACTTTTTGTCGAGTCTTGGATGGCTCATGACATGTAGACAATGATATCCTATCAATATATGAAACAAATTTTGAGATTGTTCAAAAAGTGAACGAGACAATATGGAAATACGATAAAAAAATCTATTCGACCACGTCCTCCACTCAAGGTGTATACCATCTCCCAGTATCCTGCCTGGTTGGCAGACTGCATTGGTCAACACTGGTTTTGCCACACGAACTTTGACAGCTAATTTTGTTTTATCAGTCTAACCTCATTATTACATGACAGCTGTCATATGTCTATTAGCCTCATATTTGTTGTGATACGGTAATACTCATAACTAGTACTGCGGCAGTAAATTAACAGAAACGCTTACAAGTAAATCCTTATAAAAATATTTGTTGTTGAATTTGAACACTTTTTTGTGATTTATTAACCCTGTGAATATGTCGAGGAAGTGTAATAATGATCCTAACTCTTTTTGTTATGTCTGCAGAGAACTAACATTAAAAAAACAACGACGAAATTTTACGAATCTTGTGTTTTGGTTTTTCTGTCGCCCATCAAGACAAATCCTGGGCCCCTGATGTCTGTTGCATAACGTGTGTGAAAAATTTAACTGACTGGAAGAAAGGTGCACGACCTATGCCGTTTGCTGTACCCATGATATGGACTGAACCGCGAGTTTCTCGTTTCAGATTGCTATTTTTGTCTCACAGACATAAAAGGTATAAATTACAAGAAAAAAAACACAGTTATTTACCCTAACTTATCGGCTATAAGACCAGTCTCTCATTGTAAAAAATTGCCAGAACTAATACCAGTTGCAACTACGACTGTTGAGAACAATTCACAACCGTCCACTTCAGGTGAATGTGTTGACGAGGACGATGACTTTGAGTTAAAAGGAATTGTAAACGAGCCACATTTGATAACTCAAGGAGACCTAAATGATTTGGTTCGGGACTTAAATTTGTCAAAAAAGCAGTCAGAACTATTAGGATCACGTCTAAAAGAATGGAATTTGCTACATCATAATACAAAATTTTCGAAACCGTGATCAACACTTCAGAATGTATTTTTTTCAGGATGGAGATTTGGTGTTTTGCAATAACATAAATGAGATTATGAAAATGTTGGACATAGATTTTGATCTCTCTCAGTGGCGTTTATTCATTGATTCTTCGAAAGCAAGTCTAAAAGCAGTGTTATTGCATAATGGAAATAAGCTTCCGTCTGTACCTCTGGCCCATGCTGCAAATATGAAAGAAACCTATGAAAATATGAAATTTTTACTTGAAAAAATAAATTACAGTACATATTCCTTCAAAATCTGCGGTGATCTTAAAGTTGTTGCACTATTACTTGGACTTCAGCTGGGTTATACAAAGTTTTGCAGATTTTTATGTGAATGGGATAGTCGAGACAGAACTAATCACTATATAAAAAAAAACATGGCCTACGCGTGCATCGTTAGTTCCTGGGCAAAAAAACGTAAAGTATTTACCCCTTGTACAGCCAAATAACAGGTGGGCTGAAAATTCCGTATCGTTTCAATGAAAAAATATTTTTTTCGTCAAAATTCGCTTTTATTATTCAACATAGTTGCCTTCAAGGGCTATACAGCGATTATAACGTTCTTCAAGTTTTTCGATACCCTTCCGGTAGTAATCCTTCGGCTTGTCCTCAAAATAGGCTTCAGTTTCGGCGATGATTTCTTCGTTGCTGTGAAATTTTTTTCCGGTGAGCATTCTCTTAAGGTCTGAGAAGAGGAAATAGTCGCTTGGAGCAAGGTCCGGAGAATACGGTGGATGGGGGAGCAAATCGAAGCCCAATTCATGCAATTTCGACATCGTTTTCATGGACTTGTGGCACGGCGCATTGTCCTGGTGAAACAAGATTTTTTTTTTTCTTCATTTGTGGCCGTTTCTTGGCGATTTCGGCCTTCAAACGCTCCAGTAACACTATATAATAGTCGCTGTTGATAGTTTGGCCCTTTTGAAGATAGTCGATGAAAATAATTCCTTGCACGTCCCAGAAAACAGAGGCCATAACCTTGCCTGCTGACTGTTGCGTCTTTCCACGTTTCGGAGGTGGTTCGGATGCAGCCGTCCAGTCGGCCGACTGGCGATTTGACTCCGGTGTGTAGTGGTGGAGCCATGTTTCATCCATGGTGACGTATCGGCGAAAAAAATCGGTTTTATTGCGCAAAATCACCTCCAAACAGGCCTCAGAGTCGTCGATGCGTTGTTGCTTTTGGTCAAATGTGAGATTGCGCGGCACCCATTTCGCACAGAGCTTTCGCATATCCAAATATTCATGAATGATGTGACTGACACGTTCTTTTGATATGTTTAAGGCCTCAGCTATGTCAATCAACCGTATTTTGCGGTCTCCCAAAATTATTTTGTGGATTTTTTTCACGTTTTCGTCCGTAACGACCTCTTTTGGGCGTCCACTGCGTGCGTCGTCTTCAGTTGACATGTGACCGGTACGAAATTTAGCAAACCACTTGCGAATGGTTGCTTCGCCCGGGGCAGAGTCCGGATAACACTCATCAAGCCATTTCTTGCATTCGACGGCACTTTTTTTCATCAAAAAATAATGTTTCATTAACACACGAAACTCTTGACTTTCCATGGTTTTCAAAAATAACAAAAGTAGCGTCACTCTCGATACGATAACTCAAAAACTAATGATCCGACAGCTGTCAAATTTTGACAGGCATCTTTTGAAGGTTGGTGCTAGCTAAGAAGCGTATGGATTTTATTCTGGTGGCGCCATCTCATAGAAACGATACGGACTTTTCAGCCCACCTGTTAATGTGCCTCTACCACCATTGCACATCAAATTAGGATTAATAAAAAATTTGGTGAAGGCAATGGATCGTAATGGGAGTGGATTTTTGTATCTAAAAGAAAAATTCCCTAAAATAAGTGATGCAAAGATAAAAGAGGGTATTTTTGTTGGCCCTCAAATTAGGGAGTTAATAAAAGATTCAAGATTTGAAGAAAAATTAAGCGATTTAGAAACATCTGCATGGAAGGCTTTTAAAAATGCTGTTTCAAATTTTTTGGGTAACCACAAGAGTGACAGCTACAGAGAATTGGTTAGCGAGCTATTATTGTCATATCAAGCATTGGGTTGCAACATGTCACTTAAGATCCATCTTTTAGACTCGCACCTGGATTTTTTTCCTGACAATTTAGGGGCTGTCAGCGACGAGCACGGTGAGAGGTTCCATCAGGACATTTCTAACATGGAAAAGCGGTACCAGGGCAAACGGAGCCCAAATATGTTAGCAGATTACTGCTGGACAATTAAAAGGGACCAACCAGAAGCTAAATATTCAAGAAAATCTTAGATTATTGTCATTTATAAAAAAAAATAACTTTTGATTTACGAGATCTGTGTTTTTTCTTAATATTTTATATTACTCAATAGAATAAAATCTTTGTCTAGCAAATTTTTTTTAACTGTTTATTTTTTCTTACAATCACCAATTAAAGTAAAAAATATCAAAAAAGTCCGTGTGGCACGACAAAGTTAAAATTTTGTTGACCAGTGTTGTTGATAACAAGCAAATTTCAGAAACCAGCGCATTTTGCGGAATTTGGATGTGTTATAATATAGTTACATTGACGGCTTGTGATACTTGAAATAAACAGAGAGATGCGGAAATATCGATTTCCTAATAACAGATAAATATTTTATAATTGGAGCTGTTCATATAATGAACTGTGACTTACGCCATTGCCATTGACTATTATGAAGCAGTTTGTTAGAAAAAACAAGGACTCTTATTCTACGTGAACATTTTATAACACTTGGCTATGATATCATGGATCAAATTTGATGTAATGCCTAGATTGATACGACATCAATTACTGAGACCTTGTTGAAAAAAACATACCTGAGAGAGATAATTTTAGAAAAAAGGATATATATTTAAAAACGCATCAAAGTGTCGATTGTCAATTAATGGCATTCATATTTTTAATAATGTATTTCAGTACGCATACAACGTTATGTTATTATACATGAAACGACTGCCTTTCATCAGCTCAGCTGTTCAGTTACAGTACTGCCCAGTGTTACCACATCAAATTGTTCATTTCAACTTTCTTAGATTGATTTGTTTACTGTGTTATCAGCTTGGCAGCACTACAAATGTATCAACTGTCAAGAGTAGAGCGAAAACGAATACTAGAGATGGGGCTGGGATGATGCGTTACCAAATATTCACAAGTGTTATTTAGAGTAATTCAACGCCACGATGAGTATGTTGATCAATGCAAAAACATAGTATTTACACCGGAACTTATCTGAATTTGTTAAAACCATGAAAGAAATACGTGGTTGTTTTATGTTGGTCAAGTTTGACAGTTACTCAAGTATCAATCAACATGACATCAACCTTCATCGATGATGCTGATAGAGGCAAAGTAAAATTCGGTATTAAAGACAACGTCAATTCAGGATGAAGACTGCAAAACCCAACAAAGTACTTACCCCCCACCTTGGTCCACCCTAAGTACTTTCTTCCATTGTTCGTGTGCGGTGAACTGTATAGCGGCGTGAGGCACAATTCGGGCCATCGTCGCACTGTTGCCACGCCATAGCGCAAAAAGACCTTCCTTCTTAAGGGTATGCAACAGAAACTTTAGCGCTTTTTTCGTAGAGTACGGTTTGTGACTGAAACAAGATAAACGTAATACCAAGTTAGAGCCATAGTCCATACAAAGTCAAATACAGTGTCACAAAGTGCACATAGCAAAATCAAGGAAACTACACCTTATTTTATTGACGGAAAAATTATCAAAAAAAAAATTAAAAACAATAATTGATTTTTTATGAATATTTTAAAATTTTTAGTCAGCTGCTAACCCTATTTAAATAAATCGTTACAACTTTTAAACTGAATGTTCTATCATATTGGAATAAATTTTGTAGTGATTGCAAATAATAGGCCGTACCAGTAAAGTGAAAATTTCCACGAAATTAAATGCTATAAATTTAAAATAAAAAGGAATATGCTGAAACTCACTATTTTTTCAATGATTTTTAAAAGAATTGCTAAATTTCAATAAATATTGTCCTACTTACCCTACCTTTTTTAAATGTTAAGTTATTCTACATGTTATTAGCTTCCTAATGGTGGAAAATTGCAAGTTTATTACTTGGATACAAGTTTTTAAATCAGCGTTTCAAAAAGCAGTGAACTCAGTTCAACGCCACAACAGTATTAACCTACATGAATCATTCATTATCTTTAACAAATAAAATCAAATAGACTTGTCTATAGGATAATCATTTTGGCTTAATGCATCAAATGTTCAAAATGGCCTCCCAGATTGTAGCGCGAAGTGAAATTTGATGAGTTGCCCTACGAATCATCTCGGGATCATTTTTGATTCCGTTTGCAACACGAAAAACTCTTTCTTCGAGTTCCGCTTCGCTGTTTATGGAACTGCTGTACACCCTTTGTTTCATTGTCCCCCATAAAAAATAGTCGAGAGGTGTGAGATCTGGGGAACGCGCCGGCCACCCAACAGGTCCTTGTCGACCTATCCAGCGGCCTGGATAATTTCCATTAAGAAAAGACCTGACAATCAGCGAGTAATGGGCAGGACATCCATCCATTTGAAGCATCATTCTTCGACGGGTTTGCAGCGGCACTTCTTCCAACAGCAAGGGCGGTTCAGTCCGCAAAAGCTCCAGAAATCTCTCTCCGTTTAATGTCCTCGGGAGTATTATGGGACCAATCAAAAAGTTGTCAATCAGTGCGGCCCACACATTTACAGAAAATTTCACTTGAAATGTTGAAGCCCTTCTCAGCCTAGGGTTTTCATCTTTTGGGCACCTCTTATGTAAATTACGACAGTTCACGATGCCGTCTCTCGTGAATTGAGATTCATCTGTCCACAGAATTGTTGTCGGGAATTCAGGATTGTCTCTTGTTTTTATTAAAATCCATGTAGACATAACGCACCTTGGACGCCAATCCACATCTTCATGCAAGTGCTGCACCCTTTGATAATGGTATGGATGCAACCCTGCTTTCCTCAAGATGCGCCAAACCGATTTCTGGGATACGGCATGACGTAACGCCAAACGACTCGTACTAGTAGTCGGGTCAGCAAACAAATCATCCAAAATGGCTTCTTCGATAGCAACATGAATAATAACACCTGGTTCGCGGCGATCTCGAGGCAAACCAAGTCCAGTGTTAGCCAGTCTTCTATGTACTTCTTGGAAGTTACGGGCTGATGGAACAGGGCGTCGATTTGGAAATGCAGCTAGATAAGCTGTGCAAGCGGTACATTCCATAATAATAATGGATATCGGCCATATCGGTGTGCCGGAGGGAAATCACTTATACGTGGCATCGCGACCAAAAAGCGAAAGCGTGATATGTAGCAAACGAAACTTATAAAGTAGGCAGGAGAAACACAAATAGCTGCCTAACTGCCCAACATTCAATTGTTTTTCAACTGGGCCCGCCTCCCCACTCGTACTTCAGCCCGCGCGACTCTACATTGAATCACCAAAAAAAGGTATCTACATGATAAACAATGGTGCCTAGCAAGACGATGCGCATGGGCTTTTTTATAAACACTCATAGAAACTGTTACATTTGAGTAATGAACGTGCAATTTTTACTTTTATAAAGCTGATAACATGTAGAATAACTTACAAATAAAAAAAGGTAGGGTACAAAATTATTTAACAAAATCATTGACAAAATAAATCGATACCGTTTTTACAAAAACTGTTTAAACAGCTCTCTTTTTATGATTCTGTAGTTTTTGTTCCGGGACTTACTTGACTTGGAAATTGATTTTAGTTCGATCCAAGGGAGCAATGGTAGTTTTTGCAATGGCACCTGCAACCGCTCCGGCGGCTAAGCTGGTGATTACGATTTGTGCGTTGGTTAAATCTTCTTTCTTGTTCGATGCATGCTTTTTTGCCATTTTGGAAGACGAGGTCCGACGGTTTCAAATCATTGTTAATGGCACTTATCTGAAACAGAAAACGTTACCAGTCAGAGCAGATCTAAGATATTTGTTTTACGATAGGTTAGAATTTACATTTCCAGAGTTCAGATTCGTCAGCTGCTATTTGTCGATTGTGATTAAGAAGTAAATAAACATTAGCTAGTTGATACGAGCCATGGGCACCCAGGGGGAATTGTTCAAAAATTTTGCGTATCTGCAATTTTTCTAGAGGCTTCGAGATGGCGTAACAAAACATCTGCAAAATTATGATATAATAACAAACCACAAGAAAAAACCTGGAAGTAAACAACGTATGGACCATTCCAGAAAAATTAGTTTAAGAAAATAATAATATAAGGTATCTCGGTGCTGTTGCGTCTTGTAGAACTTCCAATTTCACTGTTTTTTCTCTTAAAACTTTCAGATAGATTATTTAGAAACAAAAAAGTGTGGATGAAGTACGCTTTCCATGAAATTTTTTTCCCAAAAGTCCCGTATTTTTAGCTGTTCTTTCGATCATTATTTCCACCGCCATCTATCTGCCGTATGACGTAGGCGTCTGTGCATATGTCATATATGAGAGGCGCTTGCCTGCGGTGTTGCCGGATTGGGCTGCGCATTTAAGGAAAAATATGAAAAGTGGAAAATTTATATACGTGTATTAATTATTAATGAACCACAAAAACGAAAAACTGGAACAAACAACAGTAGCAAAACAAAAGGCGATTCCTAATAAGTCTAAATAAAAAAATAACAGTAGTAAGCTAAAAAATTATAAATTATAAAAAATAAAAACAGTAGTAAAACAAAAACTAATTCCATGTAATTATAAAAAACAAAAGATAACAAACAGCCGTAAAATAAAAAACAGAAAATAAAAACAGTAGTAAAACAATTCCATGTTGAATAAAAAGCAATTCCAAGTGACAACACACAACAAAAAGTAAAAACAGTAGGAATACAAAGAACAATTTCATTCCATTCAAATTGTTTTTTATTTTACCGTTTGTTATTTTTTGTTTTTTATAATTAAATGGAATTGCTTTTTATTTTACTGCTGCTTGTTATTTTTTGTTTTATACTTAGTAAGAATCACTTTTAATTTTACTACTGTTGTTTGTTTCAGTTTTTTGTTTTTGTGTTTCATTAACTAATATAATAAATGTATATAAATGTTCCACTTTTCATATTTTTCCCTAAATACGGAGCCCAATCCGGCAACACTGCAGGCAAGCGCCTCTCATATATGACATATCCACAGACGTCAACGTCATATGGTAGATGGCGGTGGAAATAAAGGGGGAAATAACTACTAAAAAATACAATGTTTTGGGAGGTACTGTTGCGTCTTGTAGAACTTCAGATTTCACTGTTTTTTCACTTGAAACTTCTAGAGGGTAGCCTGATAGATTATTTTAAATAAAAAAAGTGTGGATGAAGCACGCTTTTCATGCATTTTTTCCCCAAAACATTGAATTTTTAGCAATTATTTTCAGCATTATTTCCACCGCCATCTGCGATATGACGTCGACGTCTGTTGCATATGCCATGTATGAGAGGCGCTTGCCTGCGGTGTTGCCGGATTGGGCTCCGCACTTAGGGAAAAATATGAAAAGTGGAAAAATTATTATTTATTAAAAACGAAAAACTGAAACAAACAACAGTAGCAAAATAAAAAGCGATTCTTAATAAGTATAAAACAAAAAATAACGATAGTAAGCCAAAAAACAATAAATTGTCTATACTTATAAAAAATAAAAACAGTAGTAAAACAAAACAAAAACTTCCATGTAATTATAAAAAACAAATAAACAGTAAAATGCAATTTTTTTATAATTATATGGAATTGTTTTTCATTTTACTGTTTTGACTTCTTGATTTTTGTTATCACTTAGAATAGCTTTTTATTTTACTGTTTATTTTTTTGTTTTTTATAATTACATGGTATTATTTGATTTACCACTGTTTTTATTTTTTGTATTTTATAATTATTTAAAATTTATTTTTATTTGCCTATTGTTGTTTGTTTCAGTTTTTCCTTTTTGTGTTTCATTGATTAATATAAATGTATATACAGGGTGACTTTGAAGTTGAGTCATTAATTTTCAGATAATGATTGTAGAAGGAAGATAAACCAAAATGTGTGTAAAAATAAAAAAAAATTAAAAAAAAAATGTTTACCTTGTTTTATAAAGTATCCTCCCGACAAGTATTTCAGTGCGGACCTGTATTTGATCGTGAGGTCCCCTGTGAGGTCTTAAGTCACCTGATTCACGAGCCCGTTGTACTACATTAACAAAGGCACGAGGGGTTGGTTGCACTCGATTGGGAAACCGATCCGCATAAACATGTGCCATTTTTTATTTCGTGTGAGCCACGCAACAGATACCACTATTCACTGACACTGACTGTATACAAATGAATGAAATAATTGTAAAAACATCATTCCAAATTCTTTCGCTTTTTTGTTTCCGATGCGATGAACCGATACGGCGGATTATATCCGTTGTCGCCAAACACGAGCACATGATATTATTGAGACAGGGCGGTACTCAAACTTCCAAAGGGCTATAACTTTGTTACTTTAATTTTACCAGAAAAATGGTAAAGGAAAAAAACATTTCTTTTGATCAGATCTACTCACTGTTAAAATAAATGACTCAACTTCGAAGTCACCCTGTACATTTTCCACTTTTCATTTTCCCTAAATAAGGAGCCCAATCCGGCAACACCGCAGGCAAGCGCCTCTCATATATGACATATCCACAGACGTCAACGTCATAAAGTAGATGGCGGTGTAAATAATAGTAGAAATAACTGCTAAAAATTCGTGTCTTGGGAAACAAATGCGTGAAAAGCGTGCTTCTTCCACACTTTTTTTATTTACAATAATCTATCAGACTACCCTCTAGAAGTTTCAAGTGGAAAAACAGTCAAATCCGAAATTATACAAGACGCAACAGTACCGCCAATAATTTGGACAGAATTCCGAATCGAAAGCGTAGATTACAAGTTTGATGCCAGTTTTGTGCTGGAATCGTTTAGTATTACACAAAATTCATTCTTTGATTCCATATATAGCTTCCGCGCATTTTACGATTTCTCAATGGCAATTATCAAAATCAAAGTGCTAATTTACCGCCGTGTACATATAGTCAACGAAAATGGAAATTTTGTGTTACAAAAATTCAAAAAGTTCGTGATATCTTACCGGTTGAAACGCGGCTATCCTATCATCCAAACACTTCTCACACAGACATCATTCATCAGTATCCAAATGCTCGATTGTAACAAATTATACAACATCAAAACCACAGCCAGACACAGTTTGCATAGATTTGAGCAAAGTACAAAGTCTGTCGTAATTCTTTTGTAATATCTGATAACAGAACATAAACATTATACTGAACGTTATAAATAATTTGCACTATTTTATCGATGTTACCTTGGATCTACATTTTGCTATCAGCGAAAGAGAAGAAGAACTGTGAATGAATTATTTTTTATATATATCGAACTATGGTAAACAGCGATTATTACGCGGACTGTACACACAGTCACGCACGGTTGTTTGCTTCACCAGCCTGTACAGAAACTACCTGTTCAGATAACTGTAACGTCCTCACGGATTCCAAAGGCGCCGTAATAAGGGATCCTTAAGGGGTACTCCGCAAATAAAAATAAAAAAAAAATACCAATACGTTTTGCTCCGGGAGGTGAAAATCTGACGATCGTATTATTTTTAGGCCCGCTTCCTATCCCAAAAATATATACAACAATGACAGCCCACAAGCTCGTAAATTTCGCGGGGGTGTTACGTAAAAAAACGTCAAAAAAAAAACGACAAAGTGTCATCTTGCAGACTAGTTTTTAGTGTGCAAATAGTTAATCTTACGTTTACTTGGAATGATCGCTGTCAGCGTCATCAAAAGCGTCCATCTATGAAGGAATGACTCAACGACACGACACGCTTAAGCATGCATTGTTGGTTGCATATCTTCGGCTTCGAAAACAATCACAACTGAAAATAATATTGTTGTATACCTGTATAGATCCTACTGAACTTGAATCAGGTAAGATATGATGATCTTTCTGTGGTGCAAGGGAATCGTCGCTATTGTGTCTAGAAGTTTATTTGCCACTTTCAAGAGATTATGAATTTCTCAATCTGTAATGACAAGATCACTAGGGCTAACAGATAATCTTTTTCGATTGAACATAAATTAGTGGCTCTGGAAAGAACCGTTTTTTCCAAGAGATTAGTACAATTGTTTTAAAATATTTCAAAAACAACTCGCACGTCTATGTATTTCTGCTTCGGCGATTCCCCCACTATCCCATGTTTATACAACAGAATACCGGATAATCGCGTTTACCTGTGCCTAACGTGTCAACCGAACAAACTACATCTGATCGTCTATTTATTTAAAAAATGGTAAGCTATGATTATTTTTTATTTCCACTGTACTAACTCACAGTTTTCTAGGCGAGATACTTTAAAGAAAAGGATATCGATGGTGAGTAAAAATGCTATAACCGTGAAAGAGAAAGTCCATCTGTGTTTTCGTAATATTCTGATGATAACAATGTTTGGACTATGATTAGATAGATAAATGTATAACTTGTACCTTGGTACATGAAGGTCAGGTAATTAAGACGAATCTTCAATAACTTGAGAAAGGTCAAAGCCTTACCTAACAGTCTGTTTAATAGAAATACAGTGTCAGTCAAAATTGCAGATGTCACGATCTTTAACGGCAATTTTTTCGATGAAAGAGGTATCAATTTAGTCAAGTAGAGCGATTAGACAGTGTTTTCATGCTTTATTTTTGAATCACATACATACAGAGGTAACCAAATTTGTCTGACGGCTTGAGTTTAATGTTGACGAAAGAGATGTGTATAGACAAATTCAGCGATATAGCGAAAATTGTACAGTCCTGATATGGATATATAGAAGTCTGAGCCAACCTACCAAACTCCATTTTTATTATCATTATTATATTAAAATTGATTTATTTTCAGAATTCAGAGAGTGCTTCTACCTCTTTGCGAGATCTGGTCACATTAAAACGCAAGAAGAGTTGACAGTTATCATGCGGAGTCTGGGCCTATCACCAACAATATTGGAAATATCTTCCTATTTAAAACAAAAGGTAGGGATACATTTAAACAAAACAGATAAAATGGCATTTTATGCAAACATTTAAAGTGGGAAGATCATGTCATTAAATTTATAAAATTTGTTCTTGAAGATATATAAATGTCTAATAGAAGTTAATGCTATATGGGGTGGTTTGTACAACATTATTTTAGAACAATTAAATATTACTTAAAGATATATTCTGGAAATGATTTAAGAAAAGATAAAAGATATCCTTGATCCTTATTGCTTAATGGAGAAATTAATATTCAATGTTAGATCCTTATACATACTTTGTATACAGGGTTATCCAAATTAAGTGTCCACCATTAGTAACTTTGTTATTAGTGAAAATACAAAGTTGTTTGAATTAGCAAACTAGTAGCATTTTTAACGCTGGTAAAAATGAGAAATAAAAAAAACAATTGAGAGTCGTTATTTTGATTTTTTTCAGTAAAATAACATTTTTTTAAATGGAAACCCCTGTATATTATATTTTTTTCTGTTAAAGCATCAAATTTTAAACAAAAAAGCTTACAATAACTTTTTTCCTAGGTTACAAATTGTTGAAGTTATGGCCTCCAATCTGAAACAATCAAATTGTATCGACAAACTTTATTTTCAACATCAACTTATAATCTTACAAAATACAATAACAATTTTTTTTTAAAGAAGATGCTCGAAAACACCACCTTGTTCTTCAATACATTTTTGGGCACGTTTTTCAGCTGCTCGAACTGTCTTAAGTATGGTCCTACCATCTATCTGGGTTATCTTTTCCCTAACTGCAGTCTTTAACGCGTCAAGGTTATCGTACCTTCGCTTGTAAATTTGGTTCTTTAAGTAACCCCACAAGAAGTAATCAAGTGGGTTTAGATCTGGTGATCTGGGAGGCCACTGTATTGGGCCATTTGTTCCTATCCACTGATCATTAAAAGTAGTACTTAGAAAATGATAAGTACCTCTGGAGTTGTGGGCAGGTGCGCCATCTTGCTGAAAATGCAGATGATGTCTACTTATAAGATCCAATTCGTCTAAGAAATTAGTCAGAATTTCTGACATAAATTCCACATATCTTTCACCAGTTAGGGTTCCCTCATAAAAGAACGGGCCAACAATTTTTGAACCAATTATACCGCACCAAACGTTGAAACTGAAACGGACTTGTGGGCCTCTTGGATGTACTAACAAAAGATTTTCTCTTGACCAATAATGGTGGTTTTTTCTATTAAACATTCCAGAATTTGAAAAATTTGATTCATCTGTCCATAAAAGGTAACGAAAGTTATTTACATTTTGGCGACAGAAGCTAAGATACCAATGGCAAAAAACAAGTCTTCTCTCTGGATCCCCTGCCAAAAGCGTTTGAACTGGTCGGTACTTATACGGAATAAATTTGTATTTTTTTAAAATCCTTTGAACAGTACCATAACTGAAATTAGAGTCCTTGAGAATATCTGCTATTGAATTCTCACGATAAGCTTCAAAATATCCAATAACTGCAATTTCCGTGGCCTCGCTTATTATGAATTCTTTTTTTGCCCTTGTTTTAGCAAAAACATTTTCGTTGCCCCTAAATTTTCGATAAAGTCTCAGAAAATATCGTTCATACGGTTGAATGCGAGCGGGATATAATTCACTGTAGTATTGCTCTCAAGGAGGATTTTCTGCACACTAAATAGCATTCTAACATATCACACTTTTCTTCATGGGAGTACATTTTTCTTTAAATTAATGACACAATAAAGCTTATAAACAAGTATTTACACTAATGTTTGACATTATTTGATTTTATCATTGTTTTCCAAAGCCTTCTAGTTGCGAGTATGTCCAGTTTAACAATTTGTCGCTTATCTTAATGCTGTCAAATCGCGAACGCCATGTTGTTTTCATAGCCGTCTTAATATTATAATACTGCAAATAATTAAAAATATTTATCGTTATTTTGACTTTATTTTTGACTTTAGCGGAAAAGTCATTATGAACTTTTTTGTTTAAAATTTGATGCTTTAACAGAAAAAAATATAATATACAGGGGTTTCCATTTAAAAAAATGTTATTTTACTGAAAAAAATCAAAATAACGACTCTCAATTGTTTTTTTTTATTTCTCATTTTTACCAGCGTTAAAAATGCTACTAGTTTGCTAATTCAAACAACTTTGTATTTTCACTAATAACAAAGTTACTAATGGTGGACACTTAATTTGGATAACCCTGTATATGTTCATAAAATAAAAAATGAATGTTTATGTTATCTAAATCATAAATATAACAAAAGATGTAGATGATACCAATGAGCCATAGAAATATGAATCAATGTTACTTAACATATCTTTGCCCTAAAATATCCATTCTACCATCAAACATTAGAGACATAAAGCAATGTAAATTAATACTAAGAAAAAGCCAAAATAATTTCAGGTGCTGGTTCCAAATATGACCATCACAAAAACCTAGAGCATTTGCATGCGAAATTCTGCTGGCAATGGAGGAAACAACTATGCACAGCAATTTTATATTTTTGATTTTTTTCATTGTTTCAGGGTGGCAAGATGACATTCGCAGACTTCCTCGAAGTGATGCACATCCATTCGCGGGTGGAAAATCTCCCTAAAGAAGTGATAGACGCTTTCAAAGCCGCGGACACGGACGGCAAGGGCGTAATTTCCGCTAAACAACTGCGCCATCTGTTACAAAACTGGGGCGAATGCCTTTCCGCCAAGGAGATAGATCGCATTTTCAGAGAGGCGAACGTTAACAACAACAGTATGGTTAGATACGAGGATTTCGTTAAAATCGCTTGTGCGCCAGTTCCTGACTATTATTAAATAATGTAATGTTCTTACTACAATTTATGTTGTCTATCGATTGAAATAATAGCCCAATCATGGTGCCCAGAATTTAGGATTCTTTTTGGAAATGGCTTATTACCTATTGCTTTCTACTTATGCCTACCTCTTGCCTTACAGTATCATTTTGCTGCTTTAAGAAAGATATAAAAAGTGCATTGTGGTTCATTTCAGTATAGGACATGATCTAATAAAGTTTTGAAATACTTATAATTGAAAGTGAGAGATGTAAGAGAAAATATATTTATCAAACATCTAACAGAAAAGCTTTTTTCTTTATGATATACATAATGCATAATGTTCAGCACAAATTAGACGCTCTGAGAAAAAAGTTAGATTAATAAAAATATGCAAAAACCAAAAACAATATTGATAATACCAATTTTGGGATTGTCTCATTCTGAGTATCAGTTTAACCAACAGAAAAGCTGTTTTCTTTTCGATACAACAATGACATTTTCAAAAAACGGCGTCCAGTAGGTTGACTCTATACATGTTCAGCATATGTTAGAGCCGCTGAGAAAAAAGTTAGTTTAATAAAAAATATGCAAAAACAATGTTGATAATACCAATTTTGGTATTATCTCTCATTCTATGTTTTGAATAGAGAAAATGTGTAGATAAAAAAATACCTGGATGGAATCGAGCAGACTTCTTTCAAAATATTGGTTACAGCTTTTCTAGAAATTTCTCAGCCTGGCACAAAACAATGTTTTTAATATTCATAACATATAAATGACCGATTGTTTAAAGTTTAATGATAGTTCCTCAAAGGAAATAGTTGTGCAATCTATTGTTTAGAAAAATGTTAACAATGAAATGGTTTACAAATTGGTGCGTTAAAATGAAGCATATTTATATAACTAGATAAATTCAATAAAGAAACAAAAATATGAGTATTCTACAACAATGCTCAACCCAGTTAAAACATAGTTGTACTTATAATGCTGCCATACGACTTTCAATCATTCCTGAGATGTATAAAAAATATTTGCTTTACGTGTTCCATAAAAAAATTAAACTTCTATTTGTTTCGTCAATTGTGTTATCATGGATGAATTACGCTCGGGGATTTACCTTTCGTAATCTTTGGGTAGGCACTTTATTTCTTTTAATTGTTAATAAAGTCATCTATTATTATTATTACAACTCCTTAAACAACGTCAGAGTCTACGGATCTCAATTTTTGAAATCTTCTTCTGCGAGATTTGTTGAGAGACATGTAGCATTGCGTTTACACAGCTTATAAAAAAAACAACTAAGCGGGATTTTACGATACAAAGAAATGTTGAGTGCTTGAAGCTTTAAAGCCCTTATCGTGTTATTCAATCCTGGATATTGTATTTCTTGAAGATGTGTCGTTGTGTAACGGGCAACGATCATCAAAACATTCACGCACTTTGTACAGGAACACTACTGATTTTTTAATTACTGAATTATGAACAGCACTCACCTGGCACACTGTTAAAGTGGTGGCTTTAAGACATCTAGTTTATTTGGTGTTGCTTTATTCTTCTAGAATCACTGTTTACTTCTTTACACAATAAAAAATAAATTATGTAAATTTGTGGGTATCAATTGTGATCACTTCTAAACGTAATTTGACCTAGAACATTTCCTTTTTCCCCCATTTTCATGTCAATGTCTAATGTCAGTGTCATCTTGACACGGAACACTTCGTGGTAAGACCAACAGCTATAACTACTCTTTGGTAAGCACAGAGCCGGACTGTTAACCATTCATGTTTAAGTACAATAAAATACTTTAACATTTATCTTATTTCTGTTGCTCAAACGGCCTGAATAAAGACAACAAGGCCACGCAAGACAACTATTCAAGGACCGAGTAAAGATAACATGGCCACGCAAGATAACTATTGAAATATACTCTACTCGTAGAAGACTATCCGTAGCGAAATTTTTCTCGAAATCGTTGTACACCACTTGAAAAACGCAAATGAAGAAGTGTGAAAGTGAAATGAAATATGTATTTAGGTGAATTATGTTGAAGTGCGTGTTTCTGGAAGAAGGCTCCTTAACATAGCAAATTAGGTAAGTAACTTTACATCTTTGACATCGCTACCATCATATACATATGTATATTTTGGTTAATAGTATGAAAACTAATGTCTAGATAATTAATTACAATAGCAATCAACGTTACTTCAATAACTTGATTCAGTCATCTCTCATTTCATCCAGACTTGAAAATGTTTGAAAATTTTCAGACCCGTCTCTGTCCTCATGCTTCCGGTTCTTCATAGCCGTTTTATGACTATCGGCAAAAAATGTAAACGAATACAATATCGTTGTCGTCTACTATACAACGTTATTAAAATTCACATTTATTTAGAAAAACATAGAATGTCAACACTAACACACAAGTGATGAGTATGCAAGGCTCACCTATAGTTTGCTGCACAGATATTCTGTTTCCCTTTGGAGACACTTGACACCCACGTCACAGCACTAAAGCACCACTGAGACACAATCGAGAACCCTATAGTGAACACCACTTCTAAAAAAAGTAGCTAAACGGAATATAGCTCTGCACGGAGCTGTGAATGCGTAGACATTCCGCTGCGGCGACGGTTGCCGAGAGACTGATGCGATGCGTGTGAGTGCTGTACCTCGCTGCGGTGATACGGTACGACCGGGTAGTACAGCCATGCCCCTTTCCAGCTCCCACTCCGCGCGTCCGCTCCCGTCAACGTAAACATCGTGATACTGTCAGATAAGAAAACGCAGACGCGCGGAGTGGCAGTACTACCCGTATCGCCGCAGCGAGGTACAGCACTCACACGGTCACACGCTTCAGTCTCTCGGCAACCGTCGGCGTAGCGGAATGTCCACGCGTTCACAGCTCCGTGCAGGGCTCTATTCGATTAAGCTATTTTTTTAATGGTGCTGTTCACTATAGGGTTCTCGATTGTCGCTCAGTGGTGCTTTGGTGTTTTATTGTTGTGCGTGTGTGTCAAGTGTCTCCAAAGTGAAAATTAGGTCTACTTTCAACTCTTATGAGGGAAACTTGTCCAGCAAACTTGTGTTTGAATGTTTATGGTGGCTCTGTTGAAAAATGAAAATATGTTCAATTTTAGTTTGTGATACAATTTGAAAATGATCCTTGTATAAACCGTTACATCAATACTACTATACAGGGTGACTTTGAAGTTGAGTCATTAATTTTCAGATAATGATTGTAGAAGGAAGATAAACCAAAATATGTGTGTAAAAATTAAAAAAAAAATTTAAAAGAAATGTTACCTTGTTTTATAAAATATCCTCCCGACAAGTATTTCAGTGCGGACCTGTATTTGATCGTGCGGTCTTGGAGCACATACCCTCCCGTGTGAGGACTTAAGTCACCTGATTCACGAGCCCTTTGTACTACATTAACAAAGGCACTAGGGGTTGGTTGCACTCGATTGGGAAACCGATCCGCATAAATCCGTGTTGCCGTAGCAGCATTTTGTAAAATAAGAATCATGTCCACAAGTTCAGCATTTTCGTAAACATGTGCCATTTTTTATTTCGTTTGAGCCACGCAGAAACACCACTCACGCGTTACCGACTGACACATCGAATGAATACAACTGAATAAAACATCGTGATAAGCGTTTCAAATTCTTTCGCTTTTTTGTTTCCGATTATATCCGTTGTTGCCAAACACGAGCACATATTACACATTGCCAAACACGAGTACATGATATTATTGAGACAGGGCGGTACTCAAACTTCTAAAGGGCTATAACTTTGTTACTTTAATTTTACCACAAAAATGTTAAAGGAAAAAAACATTTCTTTTGATCAGATCTACTCACTATTAAAATAAATGACTCAACTTCGAAGTCACCCTGTATAAATGAAAGTGAAAGACTTGTTTTTTCTTCACCTGATACAATTAATCTTAGCAGTGACGGTTGAGATTTTCTAGGGGTTTTCCTCGCCGAAGTGCGAATGCAGTCACTAAAAAACGATATTCCCCTAATAAATAGAGAAAATGAAAATCGTACTCCTATTAATGATCATGTAATTTTAGATCAAACAGTTAATAAATATATTTATACAATAAAACATTGTGTTTTTTTTTCAATAAAGCTAAACAGACGCCAGGTGACGCAAAATGTAAATAACACCTTTCTTTTAGTTTTTTGGCAAACATTGCTACGCCTCAAATTTGATATATCTCCATTGGTATCCCTCAATATTCTATTCAAAGCTTCTTTTTTCTTTTTAACATTCTAGCAGTGGTAGCAAAATTGTCTGATGAGCCGGCAACGCCGCAATCTAAGTGACAAGCATGACAAGGTCAACTGCCAAAACGTATGTCTATTTGTCTATCCCGGGGTAACGACGGTGCCATTTAGTACGCAAAGCGGTAGTTCTCCGTTTCATTTGCATTTTGTGTGTGTCAAAGATTTCGAGAAAAATTTCGCTACGGTTAGTTTTCTTCAGACTAGTAGAGTATATTTCAATAGTTGTCTTGCTTGGCCTTGTTATCTTTACTCCTTTACGGCATTAAAGGCCGCCGTACGGTCTGCATCTACGCCTATGTGGAAAAATTGACATATGACTTGACGTAAGATGGCAGGTTATAATGGCGTCATCACATTTTCGTTTCGAGAATCTTCAAAATTTGTTTTTATGTGTTTTATAATTTCATAGGAGCTACTAGCAGCATTTGCGGGTGGTGTGAAATTATTATTATGCTATTAAAGGTAAGCATTTGCTAAAAATATGAAAGGCGCTCTTCTAGGACTCCAGTTTAGTGAGAAAAATCAATTGGCAGTCTCTAACATTTGTTTTTATAGGTTATATTAGTGTTCATTGTCTTTGATTGTTTGTTGTTTGCCACAATTTGGTATCACGTTTAAGATAAAACGGTTTTTTTAGACATCTGTTTATCAATTTTTCATTATAATTATTGATGCAAATTTCGATCTCCAAAACTAACTACCACAGTTTATGATTTTTGAAACTTTTTGATTTTTCAATGTTAGATAAACTGGATCTCTACAAGCAGAAGACTAAGGCACATCTTGTAGAAGGCAGAAGAATCAACAATTATTGGTGACTCAAGTGGACCCAACAAGATCACAATTGAGAACAAGTATAGCAGTGGCAATGCCAACAGCTACTATAGGTATCAATTTTTTTGTTAAAATATGTGTTTGATCTCTAGAATGCATAATGTTACTATTCGAAAGAATCTTTTTAGCACTCTAAAGAAAACATTGGCTATGGTTTTCATAAGCAACTATTGCAGAATTGAATAACCACTTATTTTGGGACGCTGTCTCATTACCAAGATGCAGAGGGTTGTAGATTTCTGCACCAATGATCAGACTGAATAAAGACAAATTATGAATATTCTTTAAGTATTGCCATGTCAAAATATAGGGTTATTCCTTTAATAGACTACATAGGATATCAACTGAATATTTCTCTAAAAGTAGTGAGATATTTTCACAATACACGGTTTATGTAAAATTGAATATCTGGTTCAAAAATGCAATTCAAGTTTCAAAAAAGTTGGTAGAATTGAACATAGTTTTGCTTTTTGCTTCTGTATATGCAATGTAGTTCTGCTGGTTTTGTGGTAACTTGTCCTTCTGTGGCTCTATGACTCAAAACCTATTTATTTCTTGTCTTGAACCAAATATTACCGAACCTTTTCTATAAAAATATTTAACATGCTTTCGAAATTTTGCGGCAGATTCTCATTAGAATTGAAAAAAGAGCAATCTGGCATTACTGTCAGTAGTCGGTACTGTAAAATTACTGTTTGGATGGTCATGAAAACTCTAACCATCCTTATTTGCTTTCATAAAAACTCTCTAATCTGTTACATCTTTTTGGCGGCATAGAAATATAAATTATTATTATAGGTAGCATACAGCTGCCTAACAACGAGGATTGCGGGATCCGAGATGTGTGGGCACACAACTTGGAAGAAGAATTTCGTACCATCAGGCAGATTGTGCAGAAGTATCAATATGTTGCTATGGATACTGAATTTCCAGGTAGTTATTCATTTAACAAATTACGGACATCAAACAGAGAAAATCTCGAAAATGACATCCACAGTGTCGTTAAACAAACTAAATTGTAAGCATGCACATATAAAAAGGAAGGGAATGATATAAAGTAAACATTACAATGCATCTAATAGAAATTTTCTGTAACTTCTTTTGAAAGCTGACCCAGACATAGGTGGGATCTTTTGACAGATGGCATTTTGTGCAATCATCAAGTGGCTTCACGATGTAATGCTTAACTTTGTTTTAAATATTTTTAATCTGTTTTTAATTTGTTCTTGTCATACAGCTGTGTGTTGTTTGTATAATTTTGACCATTGTACCATGTATCCAGCTTTCACCATCTTACTGGGTGTTTCCCTCATCCTTAACGTAAACAACATTTAGCAACATCCTCACATACTACTGCAAGTTAATTTAAATTCATTTTACACAATTGTTGCTACTGTTATCAATGTAATTGCAGCTCCTGATGATGATGGCAAAGACCATTGAAAGCTAGAGAGAATAAAAAAGTATAAAGAGTCCTCCGCGCTTAAATTTTGTCAAAGTACCCAACAAAAGGCAGAAGCTTTAATTTTCATATATATATATATATTAATGTATCATCAGCAAATAGTTGAATTTTGCAGTGTTGTAAAATATCGTTAATTTATAAAATAAATAGTAATGGACCTAAGTTGCTACCCTGTGGCACACCTACCAAAATGTTCTTAATATTTGATAATGTATTGCCAATTTTAGTTCTTTGACTCTTATTGATTAAATAATTTTGTAATGAGTTGAATACTGAACCTTCCTATCAAATTCCTTTCAATACTGACATTTTTTTCATATAGGCGTTGTTGCCAGACCCATAGGTGAATTCAGGAGTTCAGCGGATTATCAGTATCAGATGCTGAGGTGCAATGTAGATTTACTAAGGATAATACAGCTTGGATTGACATTTCTTGATGACAACGGAAAAACACCAGGCGGATCGTATACAACGTGGCAATTCAACTTCAAGTTCAACCTGCAGTAAGTTTCTTGAAAAATCAATTATTACTTCTCGCACCTACCGGCTGTGATCTCGAGACATTTGGAAAATGCGTCTTTTCTGCATAGACGTCTACAGTATATTCAGATAAGAGATAGACCGGACATAAACAAGACCACGTGATCATCGAACGCTGTAACATTCGGCAGGGACGTATTAAGAGTCACGCAGTACATATTTTAGATAGTAGATGCTGCTTTGCGTAACTTTGTAGTAAATTAGCACAATTCGATGTGTATACGATTGGTGATGGATATAGGATCATGTGGGGGTGGGGTAAGAAATATATAATGATGTAAATATACAAAAGGGTTTCAAAATTTTCGCTTCGATTTCCAGCTTCGGATGCCGCCTGATGTTTGGTGAAATACATTCGAATTTAATCTCAAAATGGCGTTTAAATTAGCCTAAATTAAAAATAATCGTATATCTCTTAAAATTGCTTTTAGAATATTGATTAGTATATTTTTTGATTTCTAGGTAAATATGTAACCAAATTAAAACGTACAAAACGTAAAAAAATGTGCATGGTTGAACATTGTCAGAAAGTAGATTCTTGAATAGGTTTTGCCAAAATGGGTTCAAAAATGTCAATAATTAATTAAAAAATACAGTAGCTTTATAATTACTTATAACTTACCGAATTTGATGAACGACATCTTTTATTGGAAAGATGAGCTTGATGAGCTTTCATCATCGCTACTGCCTGAAGCACCAACGTCAATAATGAATGGCTCGACTTGTTCCTCTAAAATATTGTCCAGTTCCCACATTCTCTTTTCAACTTTGTCTTTCACGTGCTTAATACAGTTTTCCCATTTTTGCGCTGTTATTAATTCTAGTGCTTCTTTGAAAAGTCCTTTGAGGTCACAAAATTTAAAAGTTGTATTGTGCTTAGCTATATAATTTTTAACCTCTGCCCATATGAGCTCGCAATGGTATGGAGGTAAACAGAGCACAGTTTTATTTTGACCATTTCGTCAATGGCGTATTTTTGATATTCCGCCTTGTGATCCTTGACAATTCTTAATAATTGTACTTTCAGCATTGCTTCTTCAAAGTTGATATTTTTCGAGCGGAGCCAATTTTGAACATCAACTTTCTTTGAAGCTGTTGTTGGGACCTTCTCCATTCTTCGAGAATGATACGGCGCATTATCAAACACAATTACTGCGTTTTCCTCTAAGTTCGGTAAAATTTTTGAAAACCACTGTTCAATCGATTCGCCATTCATTTCCTCGTGGTAATCTCCAGTTTTCTTAGACTCAAAGCACCACAGACCGTCAACAACAAATCCATCCTCACTGCCAATATGGCAGATAATGAGCCTTTTCCCTTTACCTGGAAATCGAAGTACTAACTGGTGTAGATTTATTTCAATAAGCGAACCTTTTTCAAATGTTTTCATCACATTCAGCGAAAAAACATTGAGACATGAGTATCAGATTGCTATAATTGGGATTATTTAGTCATATTGAAAGAAGGAATATTGAACGTCGTATGATTACTCAGCGCTTCACAATTTAATTTAAAGTTATAAACCTTTAAAAAATGAATGATCAGGAACCTAAAATACCCGCAAATATTAATATTAACAAATTATAACTTTATAAAGCTTAAAGTATGAATTAAAATGATTAGAAATATTAGGAACGGTACACAATATAAAACTTAGTAACTTTTTTTAAGTTTATAATATTCGACATATTTTAAGATTATATTAAAAAATTATTGAAATATCGAAAACACAAAAACATGGCTTAAAAAAGTTCTAACAAATGAAAATGACAATAAAACATCCACGCATTTTATCGAAAGTCATAAAAGTTTTGTTACTTGTAATATGTTTTATCTGCCCCCTGGAATTAATGTTTAGAACCTTGTTCCCAAGGTTTGAAAAACACCCGATTGTTGTCTATTACTCGTATTTACCTGCTGGATTTTTTAATCCGGTGGACAGTCCATCTTGAAAGGCCCTCCTGGATGAAGTTACAGAATCATCAACCCATACTTTACTTGTAGTGTGTCCTGCGTTTACCCACGTTTCATCAAGGTAATAAATCTTCCTGTTTTGATTTCTATATTTCCCAATTTTTGTTAAATAATCCCTCCTCCATAGCACAATTTCTTCTCTATCCAGTAGTAAACTATTACGACCCCGTTTTTTCCATTTGAAATTTAAATGCTTCAGTAACGTATGGAAAGTTGATCGTTTGAAATTTGGCAACGTTGTATCTCCATTTACCTCCTGCAGTACTTTATCTATAGTAGGTATTTCATTCCTAAAGAAGAATTCATGCACTTTCCTCCTAATCGCATGCTTATCAGCTTCATCCAATGATTTAACAATACTTTTGCGATGTTTACTGGTCATTGGCTCAGAAAAGGTGTGATTTTTTTTGTATTGTCTTAACACATTAAACACTGATGCGCGACACACCCCAACTTTGTGAGAAACCTTCACAACAATTTCTTTGATGGTTGATGCCTCGTTCTTCTCGCGCTCGATCTTATATATATTCAAAATGACCTCTTTCATTTCTGCACTCAGGTGTCTTTTTTTAGAGCGTTTCCTAGGTGGACTACAGGAGTTTACAACTTCATCGGCAGTATCTGTACTACTGGGCATTTTGCGCAAGCAGTTGATAACAATAACAGTCAATAACAAGAACAACGACAAACTCAACAACTTAATAAGATAACAAACGAAAACGTCCAAAGAAATATCAAATTGCAATGATGCACACGACATACGTAACACGTCTGAACCTGAATGTGACTCTGCCTTGATACGACTGCTCTGCCGCTCGGCATAGGCATTTAATTGCGAATTGACCAATGAGGGCTCCTGTTTTACGTAGAGACGGCGGCGTTAGCGTGAAAATCACCCGAACCTTTTGTTTACATCCGGTCTATCTCTTATCTGAATATACTGAATGTTAATACTGAATGGAAATTTAATCGAAAGCGCGTAGCCAAAGAATAAGAACGGTAAATCCCCGTACCAACTCGGGGAAGTCCCTGATTCACGCTCGAGCAGAGATGCGTCACATAGACTGCGTGTGTACGCAAAGATTAAAGTGCTGAATAATTTTTTGTGCATAATACTACGTTACTATTTCTTGATTTCGGATCGTTGCTTTTTCCAGGGAGGATATGTATGCCCAAGACAGTATTGATCTCTTGACAAACTCCGGCATCCAGTTCAAGAAGCACGAAGACGAGGGCATTGAACCGCTAGAGTTTGCGGAGTTGCTCATGTCTTCAGGCATCGTTCTCATGGAGAACATCAAGTGGTTGTCGTTTCATTCCGGTTACGATTTTGGCTACCTCATCAAACTGTTGACAGACAACAACCTGCCGCAAGATGAAAACGAGTTCTTCGAGCTACTCAAGCTGTACTTTCCCACCATTTATGATGTAAAGGTAGGTTCGAAGAAAACTTGATACTTTTGTATGTCATTTGATCTTGGATATTTTTTTTTTTTGTAATAGGTTTGGCTTATATACCATTTCAGATACAAAAATATATAACTGATTGATTTAAATTGCGCGCGATTTTTGATACATGCGTTTCAGTAGGTGGTGCCGTCGTAGTTGCTTAAACGCTCAACGCGTCCGTATTTTTAAAACGTTTTATTTAAATAATGAGCAGTTGATGCAGAAATTGCAGGTGAAGTTAAATACTTGCTAAGGTCGGGCCGTGTTCGAACTGTTCGTACTCCGGAAAATATCGAGAGAGTTCGCGAAAGTGTAGTGGAGCGCCCTGAGACGTCTACAAGACATCGTTCTCAAGAACTGAGTATTCGTCGCACGTCATTATGCACTATTTTTAAAAAAAAGACTTGCATTTGCGGCCATACAAAATTCAGTTAATATATAACGTTTAATTTCTCGATTTGGTGATGTCACCTGACCACCAAGGTCACCGGATTTAACGACTCCTGACTTTTTTCTGGGGATTTTTGAAAAATAAGGTTTATGCCAACAGACCAAATACTGTAGAGCAGCTGAAGAACAATATTACGGAAGCGACTGAAGATATTCCTCCCGAAACCTACCAAAAAATGATGGAAAATGTAATCAAGAGTGCTCAGGTTTGCGCGGGTTCTAGAGGCGGACATTTGTCTGATATTATTTTTCATACATAATTTCTAAGTTTCAATAAAAGATTAAGGTGAAAAAATGGACGTATTTTATTTCATTTCACAAATATTCAAGATACAAACCAGTCAGCTACATATCGGCCACCCTGTATTTTTACATTACAGGTTATTAAAATATTGTCTAATCAAAATATCTCCTCTCGTTTAATAATCGTTATCATAACATTTCGTAAAAGACAACAAAAAATATTGTGACTTATTTTTGTGTGAAACATACTAAGAGACCTAAGATCCTCTCAAATAGAAAATAAAATGTTTATGATCGATAATTGTTTTAAATGAACTTTTTATCACCTAAATTTGAACATAGCAACCGTATTTGTTTGTTTGTTGAATATTTATTTAGCGTTAATGCTGCAATGTCTGGTTTCGTTTATACATTTTTTCTGAATCCGTTTTCTGTAATTTTACATTCTTGTCTATTAAAATTGGCATCACTATGCATTTTGACTATTCATATTTAAACATCACCTTAAACATTTTTAAATTCGAACACTGTTTAATACCATTATTCAGTTTATTAAATTCAAATACTCCATTTGGAAATACAGATTTGCTACGAGTTGTACTACTATTACAATTTTTCAGACGAAAATCTATACTGCCTCTAGTTTCGTAGTTAAGTTTAATTTTGTGAAGTTTCCTAAATGTGTTATTTACCTAACAAGTGCGGAAAGTTATACTTTTCCGCACGCGACGGCAGTTGTACGAACGACAAGCGGCAAGCCGTTAAGCGTTAGGTACAAGATTTTTTCTACCAGTGTGCGGAAAATACTCGCCTTCATCACGCGCCTGCGTATATAAAGTAGCGTGCGGAAAAGTGCTACTTTCTGCACGCAGATGCGTGTCAGAGATGTTATTTATAAAGGGTTGTCCAATAGGGACGCAGGAAAGTAAACGTCAATTTGACATAGACGCCATCTTTGTTTTCTGTCACCGACATGTCATTTTGTTAGTTGAATGTTTACCATTGATCGCCATGGAGTCGTATTCGATTGAAGACCACATTAAAGTTATTCAAGAGCACTACAAAAATGGTGCAAAAATAAAAAACACGTTTCGCGCCCTTCGTGAACATTTCGGTCGCAACAACCGCCCAAACGAAACAACCATCGGTCGTCTGGTGCGTAAATTCGAGGCAACAGGTTCTGTGGCAAATCTGCCAGGCTCTGGCCGGCCAAGGAGCGTTCGCACACCGGAAAATATTGCTGTTGTGAAGGAGAGTGTGAGAGACGATCCGAAACAATCAACAACGCGTCGATCCCAAGAATTGGGCATTTCGAGAACCAGTTTGCTCCGCGTTCTCCACAAGGATTTGAATGTACACACCTACAAGATCCAATTGACGCAAGAGCTGCGTCGGGCCGACCATTTTTCGCGCCGAACGTTCTCAGATTGTCTCCTTGAACACGGCCAAATTGATGCCAATTTTTCATCAAAAATCATGTTCAGCGACGAAGCGCATTTCACTTTGAATGGGACGGTAAACAAGCAAAACTGCCGCATCTGGGCGAACGAAAATCCCCGTGAGTATCAAGAGCAGCCGATGCATCCTCAAAAAGTGACTGTGTGGTGTGCATTGTGGTCAAAAGGCATCATCGGACCTTACTTTTTCGAAAATGCAGCCGGGGACGCCGTTACCGTCAATTCTGAGCGATATCACGTGATGATAGAGGACTATTTTTTGCCGCAACTTGAAGGAATGGATATGGACGATGTTTATTTCCAACAAGACGGTGCAACATGCCACACAACCAACCTCAATATCCATCGATTACAGTCCTTCTTCGGTGATCGCGTGATTTCGCGCAGAGGAAATGTGCCATGGCCACCAAGATCGTGCGATTTGACTCCCTTGGACTTCTTTTTATGGGGATATTCGAAAAGCAAAGGCTACGTCAACAAACCAGCCACCCTCTAAGAACTCAAAAACAACATCATTGCCGAGATAGATGTCATAGAACCGACCATGTTGCAAAATGTCATTGAAAATTTCGACCATCGCGTGGACGTCTGTAAATCCAGTCGTGGTGAAAATTTGAGCGATATTATTTTTCATACATAAATGGTATAAATGAACTTTCAAAATAAAGTACCCAACTTGATTTGAATATCAATCTTTCTTGTTTTAATATGCGTTTACTTTCCTGCGTACGTTTTGGACAACCCCATATAAATAATAAATAGTAACGGTCCCAATTTACTCCCCTGTGGCACCCCTACTGATATATTTTGAACACTTGACATAATATTTCCAACTTTAGTTTTTTGACTTGTGGTTACTAAATGATTTCGTAAAATGTTTAATACAGATCCTTTATAACCACAGTGATTTATTAACAATTTTCCCCTATCTATAGTCTCAAATGTCTTTTTGAAGTCTAACAATACTGTTATAATACATTCTTTCTCATCTATATTTCTCCAGTCTTCCAGCATCATTTGGATTGCTGTTTCTGTAGGATATTTTTTCTAAATCCAGCTTGATTTTTTCTGGCAAGACATTAATCGGCTGCATATTTATATGCTCAAAATGTTGAACTTTTGGCACAGAAGTAATGGTAGAACACTTCACTTTTGATGAGAATTCACCATGCACTAAACAATGATTCACCAATAATAACAATTTCTCTCCAATTATATTGAAACAATCATTTAGAATTTTTTTTGAGAGATTCTCACTTGGATTTTTTGCAGATTTTAATTCTGAGATAGCTTTTTGTAGATTGTTGATGTTTATTGTCCTAAATTGATTCATTGATGAATTATGATATACTTGTTGGGATCGCCGTCATCAATCGTCTTCACTATTTGATCTATACTGTCTAAAAATAAGTGTTCATTCTTTCTGTTCTTTGAAACGTATTTTAGATAATTTTTGTCTAATCCAGTGTCCAAAAAGGGACCTGAACGATACTAGCGCCATCTACAGGGTGCGGAAACATAACTTCCTTTTTAGTCGGTTGGAGCGCCAGTGGTTTCTTTTGGGAGGCGAGACTATAAACTTTTATCCCGACACAGTTCAGTCGCCATCACGCGTTGCCTTTTTTTTCAGTATCTAATGAAGTCATGTAAAAACCTGAAGGGCGGATTGCAAGAGGTCGCGGAACAACTAGAACTTGAAAGGATCGGACCTCAACATCAAGCCGGATCGGACTCGTTACTTACAGGAATGGCTTTCTTCAAAATGAAAGAGGTATGAATCATAAGACGTAAGTGCCAGACTAGGTTAAGTCCAAATGAGTAGTTTTGAGATAATTGGATTTGAAATACAGCAGACGCTCGATAATGTAAACTAATTTAATCCAAGTGTGGTTCACATTATCGAAATGTTTACATTAGCGAACGTGATTTATATAATATTTGATTTATTAAAAGAAACGTTTAATACTATTTATAACAAAATAAACAAATATTCTTACAGCAATAAGTATTTTTTTAATTAGAAGAAAAATAATTAACAATTTTTGTCTGCGTAAATTTGCGCTTAGCATTGTCTTCCAATGCCTGCCCCCCCTAATTTACGAAGAACTAAAATATCCGTGTATGAAACTTCTTTTCTTTCAGCCCAATCTAAAGCTTGGTTAAAAACTTGTAAAGCTTGCGCGTCAGTCACTACACTTCTGACTTCAATGGGATCGTTCTCATCATCCTCACTGTCCATATCCTCCTCCTTATCAGCATCGTTCGTCTGATTATCTTCGTTCCATGAATTAATATCAGCAGGAGTACAAACAATGTTGGGATTCACTGTTTTCAATAAATCAACAACATCCAATGACACACTAATAACATTATCATTATTGGATCGCAAACGTTCTCTAATTACGCTTAAGGGGACATCATCTTCATTATTGGTACAAAAGAGATTGTTCCATTTTTGAATAGTTTGCTGGTTAAGTTCATTCCAGGCCATATGTAAATCTAAAACAGCTTCTCGTAATGTTACTTTTTTTAAAGCCTCAGATAAGTTTTCAGGATTCTTTGATAAGACAGACGAAAGTAGAAACTTCCTATAGTATTGTTTGGTGAGTCTTATTATATTCTGGTCCATCGGTTGAATTAACGGTGTTACGTTGGGCGGCATGTACATGACGAAAATTGACCCATCCCTGCTCCTCAGTTGTTGCTCGGGAGGATGACTTAGTGCATTATCCAATAGTAACAACGCTTTTTTTGGAAGCTTCTGTTGTTTTAGGAAACCTTTTGCCTACAAATTGAAAACACATCTTCAAATTATGAATAGAGCATTTGTGATAATTGATTGTCATACCTGAGGGACAAAGCACCTGTGGAACCATTTCAGGAATATACTGCTAGTCATCCAAGCGGTTTTTGAACAGTCATAATCAACAGGGATATTAACATTTTTAAACGAGCGCGGATTTTTTGCTTTCCCAATTACCAGTGGCTTTATTTTGTGTGAACCATTAGAATTAGTGCAGGCTAGAAACGTTATTCGTTGTTTCTCCGGCTTTCTTCCCGGGGCAGATTTTTCAAATGATGCAGCATACGTTTTCTCTGGTAACATTTTCCAATAAAGGCCTCTTTCATCTGCGTTGTAAATTTGTTCCATTCTTAAATCTAGCTCGGTAATTGTTTTCATCAATTTTTCTTTGAATGGTTGCACTAATTGTGGTTGTGCTGATAATTTTTCACCAGATATAGACAGCATTCGAATTCCATATCTTGTTTTGAATCGATGTAGCCAGGCATCACTAGCTACGAAATTTTCAGTTTTTCATTTAACAGTCTCGCTTTCTGTTTAAGTACTTCGCCACTAACTGGGACATGATTTTCCCGTTGTTTTAAAAACCACTTATACAGGGAATTTTCCATTTTAGGTACCTTCGCATTTTTTAAAGTTTTTCTTTTTCCCGGACCTCCAAATGTATTGCACGTTCTTTGTAAAATTTGAGTTTTCATACGCTTAATTTTACAGATTGTTGCTTTCGATACTCCTTATTTTTTTGCTAACTGTGTCACTCCCGCACCTAGTGCAACTTCGTCTATGATTTTCACTTTCCCTCTCAACTTTAAACACTTTCTTTTATAGGATGTGGATGCCTTAGTCGTAAAATATATTAACGCGTGCAATGTATTCACTTAAGTTCAAAAATGAAATACATACGTACGTATAAACGTATCCTAAACGATCATACGACTGACCGAGTTTGTCGTATTTTATCGCAGAGGTGAATCCCCTACACTCTACATCATAAATCGGGGACTCCCCGACGCCCGACATAAATCATCGAGGCTTCAGCATTTTACCGTCGCGCTGTTTCCGTGCGCCGAGAGTTGTTTACGTTATCGAGCGTACACATTGTTTACGTTATCGCGCGTTCCGTTTGATCCTATAGAACGAAGTTTGTGTTTACATTAGCGCAAGTTTTCATTATCCCGTGTTTACGTTATCGAGCGTCTGCTGTATTGTTCTTGTATTGTATGCGACTTGACATGAGTTAAAAAGTCGTAACCTCCTTATTATTACAGATCGGTGGACGCTGCAAGTAGCAAATGAAAATTCACAATATTATCAAACTATTAAGCATATTGAACTCATTTTTGACAAAAATGGACTTGACCTAGTCTGGCTCTGGGTTACAGAATTTAGTATATGTTAAACAAAAAGTTTCATTTCCAGATGTTTTTCGAGGATACCATCGACGACTCCAAGTTTTCCGGTCACCTGTACGGGCTGGGCACGTCATTTGCGGTGAACGGAACGTCAAATAACTATACGAATGACAACGGGGATACCACGAATTCGTCATGAAGTCCATAGTCGGCATTCGGTCGGTCCGTTTCGCTCCTTTCGGTTACATTGTCGAGAAAATATGTAATATCGCGCATCTATCTTTTTTTTTTACAATAGACATACCCATGATCAATCCCCTGTTGTATATTCTGTGGTTAACTTTTACATATTATTATTTAGTGTAAGGTTTTAAACTTATTTCTAATTTCGTATATAATTATTTAATAAAATATCATGTGAATCGTTGTGGTTTTTTTTAAAGGATACGTTGCAGGTTTGTAAATTATCTTTACGAGGGCGCTTCGAGAAGTACTCAGTCTACAAAAGGAAAACGGATTATTGACCCAGCGATGTTCAAACTTTTTTAACCCGTCTGAAAAGGCGTCCTGCAAAATTGTAGAAACGACTGACGATACGGCGCTTAAACATCAGAAAAAACGAATAATTGTAGATCATCTAAACACCATATTTATTCAAAATTAAGCATTAACAAATCAAATGGAAAATTATGCATATCTTAAACCTAAGCAGGGCGCACTAGTAAGGCCTAGGGGGGCCACCTCTCATCATGCCAGGTGGAGGTCCTCTCATGCCCATCGGTGGCGGGGGTCCCCCGCGACCCATGCCCATCTGCGGAGGCATACCCATCATACCAGGTGGCGGTCCCATCATGCCTGGAAAGACGTATTTTTGAACTCGACTGTTGCATTAAGGTGGGGCCGAGTGATCAATTTTCTGCCACAATATGATGAGGAGAACAGACATGGTTTTCTTTAAGATGGATAAATAAACTTGAATTCTCACCTGGTGGTGGTCCTCCCATCCTTGGTGGTCCCTGATTCATCTGGGGAGGCGCCGACACTTGTCCTCTGCCTCCAGGTGTCATGACTTGCTGAGATGGACCTCCCACACCTCGAACTGGCCCTTGAAGACCGACCGGAACACCGCCCATGCCAGCAGGCATCCCTCTACCTGCAGCTCGACCAATACCTAGACAATGGCAAAATAAAAAATGTTAACTGTGCCAAAAAGCTGAAAAGCACTAGATGTTCATCAGTTTTTCTAAGACAGGTCACGAACCACAGGTTTCACAGTGGAAAAATCTGAAAATAACTCTACTATGATCCAGCCAGCTTCTATCTCTTTTTAACATTCTATTCACACTTTTCTCTCAAACACATCGAGCCATCAGACAAATTTGGTTATCAGTGTATATAAAATTGTATAAACTGACAGGTCAATAGAATTCTGTTATTGAAGAAAATGCATTTTAGGTGGTCTTTGAATGAACAAAAAACTAGTGTTGGTATTAACTTTAAGAACTATTTGAGTTTGGTATGTGTCGCCAATTGATGAATTTTTGCTAAGGATGTAATCAGCTAAATGTAAAATAGAATGGTTATGTATACTTTATCTGAAGTCACTTGAAACACTGTGAAATACCGGGTGCGTTTTATATATCTATATTTAACACGCTCTGTTGCTGCAAAAATCGCCAAATTTCGCAGCAAATATCCCCCGTATAAGATCAAAGGTAGTTTCACCGGTCCACGTGGAGTAAAGCACGCCTATGCGTGGACATAGCCAATGAGAAAGCGTGTATTTCAGAGCTCTGAACAAGTGCAGGTGGCTACTGAAAATTGAAACAGTTTAGCCAGTGCCGTGTAGCGGTGAATAAACGTGTTTTCTTTAGTCTGTCCGTGTTTTTTCATAGATTTTATTAGTTTTTGTGTTTTTGACTTTTGAATACTGGGTTTACTTGTTGATTTAATTGTTGTGTTGATTGTTCTTGTGTGTCCTAAATATGGCTCTTTGGAGACCTTGGGAAAATGCTCCAAGCCACGAGGAGATGGTTGATGAACCTGTGCAGGCAGAATTCTTTCATAAAGATTTAGAGGAACAGACCCAAAGAGTAATCCTAAATATGTATGATTGTCTGAAAAACGAAAATCTAGATTCCTCGCAAAATCAAATTTTAAACAGAATTTGTATCCTGACAAAAATCAGTCGGTCTACCATTTATCGGGTTATAAAAAGGGGAGATGTAGTCAGCCATTCCTTCCACAGAAAGCGCATAGGGCAAAAATTAAAAAGAATAGACGTGGGTTTTCAGGAAGATATTCGTCGTATAATATACGGATTTTATAAAGAAAATTTGGTGCCCACGTTGGAAATGATACGGGATAAGTTAAAAGATTATCCTGAAGATTTTTATAATTACAAATGCTTAGACTCACTGCACTGTATTGTAAAACTGTGTGGTTTTCAATACAAAAAATTAGATAAAAGAATGGTGATTATGGAGTCGTCTCGAATTGTTGAATTGCGCCAAGAATTTTTGCACAAAGTTAAAATCTATAGAGAGCAGAAAAGAAATCTGATTTACCTGGATGAAACGTGGTATGATACCCATGATGTTGTGCAGTACGGCTGGGTTGACGACAGCAACAAGTGCATTTTAAATGCACCATGCAACCATGGAAAACGAATCATTATTCTCCATGCTGGCAGTGAAAATGGATTTATACCTAATGCCTTGCTCTTATCTGCCAAAAATATCAAAGAATCATGTGCCGACTATCATGAGGACATGACCTCCGACTTATTTGAAAAGTGGATAGAGCAGCAGTTAATACCAAACATTTCCCCAAATTCAGTGATAATTATGGACAATGCGCCATACCATTCCCGACAGAAAAACAAAATTCCGAATACAGGCACAAAAAAACAAGACATTATTGATTTTATGAAGGATAAGGGAATGGAAATACCACAAAAATCAACCAAAGCCATATTATTGGATCTTATTAAAAGACGAAAATTTGAAAAAGAGTATGTTGTTGACAATCTGCTTCAGCAAAATGGCCATGAAGTATTACGTCTACCTCCCTATTACTGCATTTTTAACCCGATTGAGTTGGTCTGGGCTGCTTTAAAAAAGTAAGAAGTAAGAAAACATAATCAGACCCCTCAATTAAGTGAATCGCTATTGGCCACAATAAGAGATGCAGTATCTCATATTGCTGCCACAGACCTATGGAAGCAGTGTCCTAGGCATATTATTGAAAAAGAAAATGAATATTGTGTTTTGCCTCCTGTAAATCCTGTTGTAATTCCTCTACAAGATGACTCTAGCGACAGCTCCGAAGGCGAGGATGATATATAAATACCTATAATGTAAGTCTTTATATACCTACCTGCTATGTAAATATTTGCCTATGTCAAACATTGGAATTCTGTAATTTTTCCATTTCTTAACTTTCAGTCAACATAAATTAAACTCCCAATATAAGTATTTTTTATCCCAAATCAAAAAAATAAGAAGATAGTAAAATCCATTTATTGTGATATAAAAACATTATTATTATCGTTCTAAATAAATAACCGCACGCCTATGATACGTCATGAAATTACAAAGGACGCGCCGACCAAAGGTTTTTATGCTATTTCAAGTGACTTCAGATAAACCATACCTGGCAGATCCACACAAACTGCCCTATTTAACTTCACAAAAAAAAATAGTAGAGCGGTTATAAGAAGCATTGAGGCATAATTATGGAATAAGGGGTCATGGATTGCTGTGGTTCACATCATACTCAAGAAATAGGCGACATAAAGTCAAAATAACCAAGAATGGCGGAGAGTATTTTTCAAGTCTTCAGAAAATGAAAACTAGAATTACTCATGGTAGTATTCTTTGCCCTTTATCATACAACATACTTCTAAATGACCTGGAATTCATTACAAGCTTAGAGAATGAATGTGTGACTTGTTATGCGGATGACACTGTTGAGGATCTTGCAGTATCTGTAGCTAACCATTTTTCAAGAGCAAAAATGTGGTTTTCAGATAACAGGTTAAAACTAATTAATGTTCCGAACAAGACAAAATAAAGTTGAAAAGCCTGCAAATTGAACTTCAGGCAGTCAGAGTTTCAATTGGTAAGCAATTCAAAATTTCTTGGTGTTCATTTAGATGAATTCTTGGAGAGTCACTGTCATCCACATCTCTGAGGTAAGTCAAAGATTAAGTTCAATTTGTTATTGAATCTAGTTAGTTGCAAGGTATATGAATGAAAAAACTGTGAAATTATACATTATGCAAAGTTTGAATCAGAGCTTAGCTATGGACTTATTTTCTGGGATAGTAATAGTACAGTACATAGAATCAGATGCTTAGAATAGTTAAGAATATAGGTACAGAGATAGTTGTAAAGGTGCTTTTAGATCCAATGACATCTTAAAAGAATATGGACTATACATATATAGTCAACGCCAAACAAAGTGGCGTGCACGTCATCACGATAAAAATTCCCCGACCTAATGCCTAGGTTTCTATCACAAACAATTGCTCTATTGCAGTTTCATATTAATGATTAATGTGATATATAAATTGTAAAATGGTCATTACTCTCTTATTATGGTTAATAGTCATATAAACATTGTTATTAAAATATCACATAAGTTGCTTTCTGATAAATTTAGACGCATTATGCGAAATAAAATGTTTTGCAAACGCTCCAATCACTTATCGACATGTAAACGCACTAAACCGATTTCGCAGCGTTGACACATTGTCACCTTGAAACTTATTTAAACTGGGAACTGACATTTGTATTAATTTTGACACTGAATCAATTTGTGGCATTTCAAATCTTTATAAATCCTTTGGCCCCGCATACTGTAAATCAACAACTGTTTGTTTCAAAACAAAATTATTCATTTTACGAGTAGATAAAGGCAATTTTGGTATATAAAGATGCCCAAACAGTTAAATAGTCGGTGTAAGGAACTCGTGGCCTCGTTAATGCACTGCTTTGAGCAAGAAAGGGACAACAACGGGCCTTTGTTGCCTTTAAATGCTGTTCAAGAGGTAGGTTACTAATAATTATATGTAATGTATATTAATAATAGTGAAATTTTATTTCATTTTTTGTAGCGTGTTGCTGCTGCTTTAAAAATTAGTTTAAGGACAGTTAGTCGTATTTCCGAGGGTGTGAAAAGTGATGCAAATTTAGAATCGCCCAAGAAAAAGCGGAGTTATATTAAACGTGTAACCAACACAGCGACATTGGATACAAGTGCCATTCGAGAAGTGATCTATAATATGTATCACAAAAGTAAGATCTTATTAAAATAACTTATCAGAAATTTGCATTAATTTGTTAACTAAATTATAATGTCATATTACACATGGTTTCAGAAGAACAACTTACGATACAAACTTTATGGTCTCGATTAAGAGATAGGGCATTATTTGATGGTAGTGCCACGTCTTTAAGGCGGTTGCTTAGAGATCTTGGATTTAAGTGGCTTAAGGACAATCCGCGACGAGAGCTCATGGAACTACCAAGTATAGCTTTGAAAAGGGTGGAATTTCTAAGGCAATACAATCAAGCCAAGGTTGAGGCCTTATACCAGTTTGTCTTCCTCGATGAAACTTGGATATTTCAAAATGGGACCATAGGTCGCTCTTGGCAAAATGGAAACCAAAAAAGCGTGAAAGCTATTAAAACAGATGGTAAAAGGTATGTACTTTTACACAATTTGCACTATAAAATTTAAAACTAATATAGTTTAGATACATTATATTACATGCTGGAAATGAAAATGGGTTTATTGAGGGTAGTGAAGCGATATTTTCTTCGAAAACAAAATTGAGCGATTACCATGGAGAGATGAACCAGGACAATTTTTTGAAATGGTTTCAACATCAGTTATTAGAAAAATTGGAGAGTCCATCTATGATTATACTGGATAACGCCCCTTATCACAGCATGATATTGAACAAAGTGCCCAACAATGCATGGATAAAAAAAAATATCCAAGACTGGTTGACAAATCAAAACATACCATTTTTAAACACAATGTTTAAAACAGAGCTATTGAGTATTGTTGCTCGGTACATAATGCTTCTTAATTATATATATTTTGGTCGACAGTTTATATTTCTTTTGTTTATTCCTATTCTTAAAATAACTGCTTTTTTAGAAACAAACCACCTAAAATATACGTGATTGATGAATTGGCGGAACAACATGGGCATAAAGTTCTTCGTCTGCCTCCTTACCATTGTATATTTAACCCTATTGAGTTAATTTGGGGCATAGCAAAAGGTTACTATAACAGACATATTGGTAGAGATGGTAACAGTGAAAAAGACTGTTTGGATATGTGGAACGAGGCTCTACAAACGGTTACCCCAGACATGTGGAAAAATAGTGTTCGACATACTGAGCAAGAAATTTATAAATGGTATGAAAGAGAACGAATTTTTGATCGACCAGACATCGAACCTTTAATAATCAACTTTGAGAGTGATGAAGATTCAGATTCAGACAGCGCTGAAGAAAGAAACTCCGACTAACTTTATTGTACAGAAAAAGCTTACACCAGTAGCTTACCTAATTTTAGAATGCATTTTTCTGTATGAATTCTGTAAAATAAATACCATGCATAAAATTTGGAGGACCCCATTTGGATTTTTATTCAGTACCTTTAAGCTATCAATTAAATATGGTAGTTTCATAGTGTCATCTGATCAATAATTGTCATACTTAATGATTATGCAAGTACAGATCTATAATTTTATTATACTATTATTTTTGTTCTCATTTGAGGTTAATATTGCTTATAAACCTAGATATGTAAATAATAAATTTTATTATTTTACAAAAAGTTTGGCAACAATGTAAATTTTTCAACACACCCACCTTGATGACGTGCACGCCACTTTGTTTGGCGTTGACTATATAAATGTTTGATTTTGTTTTTTAAGAGCAGAGATATGGTTGACCTACAAGTGTATTCTACCTACAACAGTTTAAATGAAGACTCAATATCATGCAATTCTGAAATTTTTCAACTGCTTGCTAAACATGATCAAATTGATTAACGATGGGAACATTTTTAAATGGGAGATCAGAAGGCACTTAATTAATATAGAGCCACATAGAGTAAAAGACTATGTCAGAGACTGAATACCTGCACATTTGTTTATAATGGTGTTTCCAGTTAATGCCTTATGTATATTTTTTGTTACTGTTACAAGAACTGTACTGATTATAATTAGAAATATGGATTGTTTTTATATTATTTCATTTATTTTAAGAAAAAGTGTAAGAAGTACTTATTTGAGAAGCAGTGTAGGCAAACAAGGTGAATTGCGATCATTTATGTCACAATATCGCTCTAATCTTAATTGCGCACTGTCTCAACATTTTGTACTTTTTTTAATTTGTATTAATCTATTTCAATTAAGTTTGTGAATATGCATCTTATAGTTAATGTGCTCAACAGCATGGCTCAACCTTGCCGAGCATGAAATAAAACTTTGTTATTATAGATGGTACAACTATTTTAAATTCATTGATACCTGGTCCGGGTGTCGCTCCAGGAATAGGCACTCTCGGCAGCCCCTCTTCTGGAGGTGGGGGCCCTTCTACCGTCAGCGAAACTATGCTTTCACCTCTCAACAAGACAAAACCTAATACTCGCTTTTCTTCCCGTTCTATTTTGGAATTTTTCGGCTTGATTTTCCTGAATTCTTCACAGTCTCCGAGTATCATGTTCATGTGCTTATCGAACGCTTTAAAAGTGCCTATAAACGTTCTGGAGTCTTGCAGAGTGACCCGCACTCTGTAGTTGATGTGCTGGATCATTTTGTTGTTTTTGCCGATCGTCTGAAAAGCAATTCATTGTTATTCTGATAAGTAGTGGTTAAATAAACGTAGACTTACCATTTTGGCTGTATATTTGTTGAATCTTGTCGAAAAATATAAAATTTGAGGTATTAACCTAAAAAAATTGACACGCCGCTGACAGTTGACGTAAGTGGTTGATAGCGTTTCAGGTAGAGGGCGCAATAGTCGAAGCGCGAGATGGGTACTAACAATCGAACTCGATCAAAATAGTCGATATATCGAACATTTTTATAAGAAAAGTCGATTTCGGTTATTTATTCATTTATTTGCAAAAATCGTAACAAAGTTAAGGCAGTTTGCATATGAACATATTGTCACATATTGGTTGACTACATGGACTAGAAATAGACTAGGAGTTTCTATATTAAAATTTTATAAAAAATATTTACATAAATAAGTATATGTATATAAATGACGAAAGCATATTTAGGCAAAATACGCAGAAAGTGATGAATTCAAATAACAAAAAACATAGACTACAATATGACACAGCATAAAACAAATTCATACCAAAAACAAAAGTGTAATAAAAAATAACAAAGAAAAATTGTCTATTAGTACGTACATGTAGTTAAAAGCAAAATTAATAAAAGTATCACGTTACTAGCCATTGTATGTAGATATGAGATATAATTCCCTAACTTAAACATAAATATTGCCGAAATTATCCGCAACATAACCAGAGAAAGTGCTGCTAGAAATATCTAATCTCACAATCGATTAAACAACAGAATATTATGCAATTTATCCTAGCTATGAAAATAAATGGATTGACGTATAAATAAAATGAGTATCTGAAAAGACTCCCTTGAGCTACTTTGCGTATGAGGTGGTTCCAACCCGTACTACTCCCAAAACCTATCTAATGGCAATAGTTGCAGTTTGGATGGCACTTAACGCCATCGACCCCGCACCTGCACCCAGCCGAGATGTCCCCCTTGCCATCAGGTCCCCATCTCGGACCTCTCGTAACCCAGCAGATCTCCGTTTTGCACACGGAGCACCTCAGCCAGTCGCAGCCCCACTTTTTCATCAGTACCACCCTGCACGTGGGGCACTCGATCGCCTCGCCTTTGCTCACCATCTCTTGGAGGAATATTCTGGTCCGTCGAGCGTCTTCGTCTACCTCGGATTCCATGGCCATCCGTTCTTGGTATTGCTTGCAGTTTTGGCCGGGGTGGATTGACTGGAACAAACATAAAAATTTGCTTTTTCTAAAAATGGGATATAACACTATAAATTAATAAACATCCAATATATGACTAGAAACTGAAAATAACCCATGTAAAAATTATTAAAAATATTCAAAATCGAAGAAATTTTAAAAATCACCAGAAATTTCCAATCTTAAAAATTGTTTTTCACCATTCACCAGATTAGTCATAAAATCACCAGATCTGCTGAAATTTCAGCAGACCTGGCAACACTGACGGCAGTAGTCAGACAAATTATTACGGTTCATCTTAGTGCAGTGTTGCCAAACCTATCGATTTTTCGGTATTTCTATCGAAATGAGGCCTTATATACCAAAGACGCACTCATTTTCCTCGATTTTTTAAAATCATTAAGATTTCCAGATTTTTTTACCGAAAAAGAGCTTGAATCAAAAATAAAGTTAAAAAAATGCTATGTCTGTCGGGAACACGAGGGACGTAGATTTGGTAGATCATCGTCATTACCGCATCACCGGACAAGCAATATGGAAAACAAAGCTCGTCTGCATCTAATTGAATATTAAAGTAAAATGTCAGCTGTTGAGGCTTCAAGCTCACGGGTAAAACAAAAAAATATTCAAAATCTTATGAGCAAGAATGGCAAGAGGAGTTTCAATGATGGTTGCAAAGGAGTTTGAAGAGCGACCGGTATACTCATTGAACAAGCTGTAATAACGAATTTAATATTTTTCTGGAAGAGATGACCTCAAAAAACGCAATGCAAAAATATACTATTTTTCATAAGCCCCCTTTACCCATCGCTGATCTTGTAACTGCCCCGATTTTTCCTCCTACCGATCTTCTCCCTGTATCTGCCGAATTTCAACGACACTGTCTACCGATTTCAACTTTTTCGGTTCGGCAACACTGCTTTAGCGGTCATACAAACTCTTGTTTCTCCAAACATCCTTATTTGCTATCAATCACCGTCAAAAATAACGCAACGGAAGGCATAATGATTCTTTACGTTTTGTGGCCCCTAATATTGCGCGTCCCCTTAGCAAGCTGTTTACGCTCCGCCACTGATAGTTTCTATGTCTCACTACTCGCTGCGAGGAACGGAGCTATTATTGGCACACATACACAGACACACAAACAAGTTGAGTCAGCTGAAGAGATATGGCGGTGGATGATTTTTTTTACTCTGTTTGCTGCGAATAAAATTCAGATGGTCTCGTGCTCTTTGTCAAACGCTGATTATATTTGGCTGAGTTGAGCTTTTCTCAGCCGTGTTTTGTATATATATAGAAATTAGCTACTTAATCCGTTGAAAGACGAATCATATGCTTTTGTTTACTACAAAGCCAGATAACACTATGAACATCAGACAGGGTGGAAGTTTTTATTAGTCGAAACAAGATTTAACGTAAACATTCGTTTTATCTGCGATGCTTTGTAATTTTATGTTACTCGCAGTATACTTATGTTTACAATAATCGTAAGTTTTACTTTCAGAAACACGGAGATTAGTGAAGATTCGTTATCCTCATAAAGATCATTTTCTTTCACTTTACATACAAGTCCATATTTATTTTTTATTGGCATAAAAATAGCACCAATAAAGACATCAAGTCATTGACGCTTCCGACCAAAAGTGACTGAATAATGACGTCATTTTGGCGTCATCATGTCCACTGGGTTATGGATTTGTAGCCTCGGTTGACTTAGGATCCATAACCTCAATTCAATACCTGAACTTTTTTCACATTTTATATGTCTAAAGTTTGACGGTTGCTTATCTTCAAGTAGAATACAAGTTAGAGTTAATCAATGACATTCAGAATTCAACTCTCCAGACATACGCGACATGCCAAACGGAAAATTCCCAAGTACATACCTGGCAGGTCAGACAGTTTGTTTTCCTGCACACCGGGCACTTGAACTCGTTCACATTGTCCTCGAAGATGCACCATCCCTTGCAATCGGGGGTCTTGCAGTGGAACGAGCCCTCGATTTTGTTCTCGGCCTGTGCCACCGACTTCGCCAGGTGCTGCTCGTACACTTCGGGGGTCACCAGTGCCTTTATTTCCCTGGGAAGGTCCAGAGTGCCATGAGATTTATGTTCGGTTGGAAATAGCACTCGAATTCTTGCGACGTATTAGCGAATACGGGTTCGAGATGAGATATAGCTTCGAAAATTTGTAAAATTCATCGGAAAATTTTAATGCGGTAGTCATATATCATGGGGCCTACTGCTGTCCAATGACAAGAGTAGCGAGAAAATGGAAAAGGCTATTATGACTCTAAAATTCACGTTTTTCTAACGTTTGAACTTTGAGGGCTTCTTGAAAACCCGAACCGAACCGTTCGATCTGAGACCCTGAAATTTTACTTTCCTCCATAGGTGCTTTCCAAGAAAAAGTTTTGAACCCAGTGTGACGTATGACTCGCCAAGCCAGAATTTTAGTTGTGACCCTAAAAAAGTCCAAGGTCGTGCACGAACATCTGAACGCGATAAAAATGTGTCAAAAGCCTCGTTATTTTGATTCTCAAAATCAAAATTTTGGCTTTAGAAGATCTTTCGTACATAACGTTACTCAAGAATCGATTCGTGTCCACTATATATCCCAATATTTATCTTGAAATCCTTTTAAGGTTTTGAAAAAGGTTGTCTTAATTCGTTAGGAAAGTATCCTTGTAATTTCTTTGGACAAAGGCAAATTTTTGTAAAGTGCACTTTTTTAAACTCAAACTTTCGACGGTTTATGCCATCATCATCAAGAGCTAAAAACAAAATTATGGAAAATAGCAACAATAAACAATTAATGAGTATCACTACGTACTAAGTCGGCGAGATTGTTGCTTAAATTGTTCTTAGACGAAGTGGAAGTGAACACATAGTCAACGAACGAAAAACTGAATTGTCGAGGTTAAATTAGGAAGAACTTTTATTTATTACATATTGGTAAAATCATAGCGATGTTTTTTCCCTCAAAAAACCACTAACGGATTTAGAAGGAGTAAAAGATTTATCAACTATTGAAAATTCTTTCTAACAATAATCTTTTCCGGAAACCTATTCATCTTTACCACGTGCTGAGAATGACTCAGTGACGTGCGAGATTGACATTATTGACACACTATCGATCAAGGGAAGAAAGAGATTTGTGTTGTGTGTTGCCTAACTTGTAGGGAAGTGTTAAGGTGGCGTTGCGTTTTAGTTCAAAATGAAGTTCACAATTTATTTTCAAGATTAATAAATATCATCAAGGAAGGAATGTGTTTATATATTTAGGGTGACTTTGAAGTTGGGTCATTTATTTTAACAGTGAGTAGATCTGATCAAAAGAAATGTTTTTTTCCTTTACCATTTTTCTGGTAAAATTAAAGTAACAAAGTTATAGCCCTTTAGAAGTTTGAGTACCGCCCTGTCTCAATAATAATATTATGTGCTCGTGCTTGGCAACAACGGATATAATCCGCCTTATCGGTTCATCGCATCGGACACAAAAAAGCGAAAGAATTTGAAACGCTTATTCAGTTGTATTCAGTCAATGTTTCAGTCGGTAGTGGTGTTTGTTGCGTGACTCAAACGAAATAAAAAATGGCACATGTTTACGAAAATGCTGAACTTGTGGACATGATTCTTATTTACGGGGGGGGAGTCTTTACAAAATGCTGCCGCGGCATCACGAATTTATGCGGATCGGTTTCCCAATCGAGTGCAACCAACCCCTCGTGCCTTTGTTAATGTAGTACAAAGGGCTCGTGAATCAGGTGACTTAAGACCTCACAGGGGGAGGGCATGCCGGTGCTCCAAGACCGCACGATCAAATACAGGTCCGCACTGAAATACTTGTCGGGAGGATACTTTATAAAACAAGGTAATTTTTTTTTAATTTTTTTTATTTTTACACACATATTTTGGTTTATCTTCCTTTTATATACAATCATTATCTGAAAATTAATGACTCAACTTCAAAGTATATCTATATTAATTAGCATTATAATAAACCTTCAACATTCAATATGGCAGAAGCAATATCTCCGTCACCGTTTTTCTGTTTTTGTCTGCTCTTCAATCTCAACCATTTATATTTTTCCTCAAGTAATTTTGCTTATTGTTTTCACAGTTCAATGTTCATCATTTTTGTCTCAATTGGGTCGCCGCTTTTACCAGTTTTTCTGTATGTTGGCCCTTTTAGCAATTGCATTTAATGGAGATACTGTAATGGCTGGTTGTAATTGTAAATAAATAGTTTTTATCTCCAAATTTCAAGATGCCCCATCGTGTCGTTAAAAAATTCAAAATTTAACAATCCCCGAAATTCTAATTACTTACCTATCTTGAAGAGCAATATTACACGAATACTCGTCATCCCTGTAAGGACACTTGACCTCGGCCTCCTCCGTAAACTCAATGGTGTGAGCGAGACATGCCTTGCAGAACTGGTGTAGACACTCCCTAAGCGTGACTCCTTGATGGGGCGCGATCTCGCTAAAGCAGACCACACACTCGAACGTCTGTTGGTTTTCCACCAGGTCAGCGTTATCGAGTTTCACTAGCTGTTGGTAGGTTTGAGGCAGCGGTTGTGGGGCTTTTTTCTTGGTGTGTTTTCGGGCTGGCTGAAGGAGAAGACATGTTTAGAGAGGATTCTATCTCAATTTTGAAAAATTTCGGCTTTATAATATTTCTGAAAATGACAATTTTGCTTTCAGTCTTCATGACTAACTGCAGTCAGCGCTGATTGCAGCAAGCGACCATGTTCTTTCAAGGTCTACCTAGGAAATTCTGCTTTTTAAATAACTAAGGTTTGGCAATGTCTATGTATGAAATATTATACATTTTTGGAATCAGAATTAAAAACTCTATGCCCTGTGCATAAATCCAATATGGCGTCCTTAAGAAAAAATGAGGTTGATGCTGGAGGACAAGAAACGGAATGTCATATTGAAATCCTAGTTATGCCATTTTGTACTTTTGTAGTGGAGAAAAAGTGGCAACGTTGATGCAATTTGTTTTGAACTTTCACTACAAATAAAGTCAGGAAAAAATTAAAACGGTTTTGGGAAAAGACTTATACTTTTTACTTAATTATTTGAGATTATTTAATTAATAACCTGGATGAAATATGCAACCTGCCCGCAATGTCTGACTTTAGTGTTTATTGAAATGAAATAAACCCTGTTTATTTTTTTCAGTGTCTGCTGAAAGGGTTGGTGTATGCCAGAGCCACGATGAGGTGGGGCTAACATTCGGAGCCTGGCCTGGTTCAGATGGCCGGAAAAAGATTGATAACGCAAGCATTTTTTTATAAAAACATTTTTTAATCATTCTCCAGTCTTTTTAATGCCGCACTAAAGACCTCACGAACATATTGTAAAGATGTCTTTAAGACGCACAGTCGTTTTCACAGCGTCGTTAAGATGTTGTATAGCATTCACAAGTCGTCTTTACGCCATCTCTAATATCCCCAATAACGTTTTTAAAACGTCTTTAAGATGGTGCTATTTGGTGCATAGAACGTCGAGTCATACGAGCAAGAGTGCGTAAGGGCATTTCTACCAACTTCATTGTACGTTTTGATGATGAAAAATAAGCTTTGCCGAACCATTGTCAGATTTAACGACTTACCTTGTTCATCCGAACTGTCGCGCAAACTGCACAAATATTGCTGCTGACCGGATTCAGCAACGTGCATAGATGACACTCCCATTCTTTTTCTGCCTTCAAGGTCGAATTTTCGCAGTCTTCAAAATCTTCTTCACTTGCTTTTGGAACCAACTTCACGTCTGCATTTTTCGTAGCGTCTGCTACTCTTGTTGTGGCTCCTGTTACTTTTGTTGTGGCTCCTGCTACTTTTGTTGCGTCATCTGCTACTCTTGTTGTGGCTCCTGTTACTTTTGTTGTGGCTCCTGTTACTTTTGTTGTGGCTCCTGCTACTTTTGCTGCGTCTTCTGCTACTTTCGTTGTGGCTTCTGCTATATCCTTCGTTCCTTCTAATAGTCTCTTAGAAGTTTCTGTAACGGTCGTTTTAGTTTCTACTACATTCACTGTAGCTTCTGCTACTTTGTTTGTAATGTTAGCAACATTTTTCATAGCTTCCGATACATTTTTCGTAGCTACTGTTTTATTTGTTTCAATTTTTTCCTTAGGTATTGCACCTAACTTACTCACAGCCTTGACCTGTTCTGGATTCGTAACTATCTTATTTTCAACTTGCTTTTCATAAACATTTTGAATCGTAGGAAATACATATTGAATTTTCGGTTTCACTTCTAGACTTGTTTGGTCTTTAACCACAGGTGTTGGTACTATTTCTACATTGATTACTTCCTTTTGAACAACGATCGGTGTTTTCTCTACTTTGATTTCCAATACCGTAGCCGGTGGTTCTTTAAATTTATTAGTTTCTATTTTATTTTCTAGTTCAACTGGAATTATCCTAGTTATTTCAGTCTTTTCCGTTTTGGCGGGTTTTGGTATCACATTGACGATTTTCGGAGTGTGGTCGTTTCTACTTTCACCGAGCATATTTTGGAGATTTTGCACGTTTGATTTCATTTTTTCTATTCTATCGTCATTGAACGTTTTCTCAGGCTTCGGCGATGAAGCGGTAGATATAGGGTCTTCAGCTTTTTCTTGATGAGGTATCGATTTAGACGTTGACGGGAGATCTTTGGTACTTAATATCACATTTGCTGCTGATTTTTGTTCTGCAAGAATATACTGGGTGTTAAGGAACATTGTTATAGTCGATTAGTTACAGAGTTCTCAAAAAATTCAAATTTCTCTATTTGAAGGACTTGGGGCAATAGGGTACCCTTACCATATTTGAATAAAAAAACACATTTCCATCTAACAGCACCCGTGGTGTAGGGTATCTACGACCTTCAGGAGCGTTCAAATTTATTTAATTTATTTATTATTGAAACCAGAACCTTTACACATTTGGTTCTATAACGGTCACAAAAAATAACTTTACCGTAAATAAGGAGCTTGTCAAATTTAGTGAACTGTGCTGTTTCAAATTTAGCAAACAAACACCCGAGTTTACATGATCATAGGACACTACCATTGACTAAAACTTTTTTTCAATATAGCACCAAAGCACAGTATTTCAAAAATGAATTTATACTAAGTGACATATAAATCCGAACACCCAGTTTAAATGGTTTTATATTAATAAAATTTTGTATAAGTACGTAATGAAGCATAATAAGTAAAGATAAAAATTTCAAAACGATTGCACTGCTTTAAAGCCCTTTGACCTTTAATAATGTGTGGATGCACCCTGATGTGCTACGCATTCTCCAACGCGCCTAGGCATGCTTCTGATCAGGTGGTCAATGTCCTCCTGTGGTATCTCATTCCAGGCAACCACCAACTCCTCTCGAACTGCTTCTAGAGTCTGAGGAGGACGTTGCAAATTGAGCAATCTCCTACCCATCATGTCCCACACGTGCTCAATTGGGGATAAGTCGGGAGATCTTGGTGGCCATGGTAACAATGTGACATCATTATGTTGAAAGAAGTCTATTGTGACTCTTGCAACATGTGGTCGGGCATTATCTTGTTGGAAAGTTGGATTTGCCAGGGTGTCAAGATAGGGTAAAAGATTGGGTTCTAGAACTTCGTGGATATAACGCTGAAGATTAAAGGTGACCTGGAACCATAAGCTATAGCACCCCAAACCATAACTCCAACAGTGTGATGAACATGTCTTTCAACAAAAAACTGTGGATTCCTCCTTTCACCACGTCGCCTTCTAACCCTGGCACGACCATCGTGCATGCCTAAACAAAATCGAGACTCGTCACTAAAGACAATACTGTTCCATTCCTGATCCCAGAGTGACCGTTGTCTGCACCACTCAAGGCTATTACGTCGGTGTTCTCGAGTTAAAGGGAGGACCCAGTCTGGCCGGTATGAAAACAAGCCAAAACTTCTCATTCGTCGGTAAACACTTCGCATGCCAATAGGTCTTCCGTGTTCTGCAAACCATTCATTTGCAATGGACCTGGTAGTGGAGAAACGGCCCCCTAAATGCCAATAATCTTAGGCGGAGATCTTCACGGTCTGTTGTTCTATGGCGGCGTCCAGTGCCCCTTGCTCTTTGCGTACGGCCTTCTCGAAGCCATGCCTGACAACACCTAACCACAGTGTCTACACTTCTTTGCACTCTAACTGCAATTGCCCGAAAAGAAAGTCCAGCTTCCCGAAGTCCCACTATACGGCCCCTATCAAACTCACTAAGTTGACGAAATCGAACAGGTCTCCGTACTCTAGGCATCGTAACCGATCGTAAAGGATGTCAAGAACCAAAATCCGCCAACGTTGATTCTTTAATGCGGCTGAAATATTCATTTTTAGAGCGTTAGTGAATTAAAAAAAAGCAGTATAAAAACCGGAATGTCCAACTGATAAGGCTGAACATTTTTTCACTTGTTATTTACAGTAAGATAAATACATTCACCAACTTTTATTAAAATAAAACCATTTAAACTGGGTGTTCGGATTTATATGTCACTTCCATATATTTTTTTGATTCTTTTATCACCAAATCTTGCTTTCTCAAAATCGCAAAAAACGTAATTTAAGGATTTACATAAAACTGATAACTTTAGATTTTGTTTTTCACTCTGTCTATGAAAATGCTTGTGATACGGATTGACAACGTTCAAAAATATGGATACCTATAAGAAACAACTTTGATTTATAGCAGCACACCCTGTATAATCCAGAAAGGAGGGGGCAATATTTGTATAAACTACTTATGAGTTTTGATTATTAGTTATTGGGTTATTAGGTATTTTATCTAAAAAATACCTAAGATTGATAATCTGCATATCAGTTGTCCTGACAGTTTGCACTAGTGTGGTCATATAGGAGCCTATTTTGAAAGTTTTTAAAGAATTGTAACGATTGGCTCAATAAATGTTTTTAAATCGACTCGGTCCTATTACTTTCCGGACAAGCCCTGTATATCGATGAAAAGAAAACATAGGTAGTTAGAATTTCGCAGATTTGGTCATGTCAAGGTCAAGTCACTTCTTTTCGATGAGACGCACCAATTTTGATTAAGGAAAGAACTTTAACGCCAAAAATAAAAGAGTAACGTACCTGGAGCTACTAAATATAAGAATACAGGACAGCCATCGGTGATGTTATGGTCCTTTAACGTAGCCGTGTCCTTGGTGACTAGTTCTTTGCCCAGGATCCATCGTTGAAACACAGCTGGAATTTCGTATTCCCTTTCGACCTGTTTCTTCAGTTCGGCAACGGTCAGTTCAGGGACAACATTCAAAGGGAATGGGCCGCGATGCGATACTTTGTCTTCTACGTACATCTCGATTCTGGAAGCGCAAATGATAAAAAGTTCAACAAAAGTTTTTTATTATCACCCAAAGGCGTGTATTTTATATTTATTTGCATGTTATTTTCATATCACCTGGAATATTATAATAATGTAGGATAAGGTTATTTTATCATTTTAATTTTTTTTTATTTTGCGTCAATGCGTAACCCTTGATTGACGACGCCTTTGCGCTGCCTACGCCACTGAACTAGAAAGCCTTCTAGAACAATCGAGAAGCCAACCGCGCAAGCGCCTCACGTTTTTGACGGCTGACAACGGGCAGTCTGTACTCAGCCGCCGATCAAGAAAGACACACAGAAAAGACGTGAACTTAGACGCAGACGGCGTTATATACACTCATTCAATATCGTGTATTTAATCAATAGACGGCCATCATTCATCTGTATCCACGGACTCGTGATTTCCAACCCCTAAACCCCTAGACAAGCAACAAATAGCCCTACAATAATAAATATCATTATTTATTTTTTTTTCTTTTTAATATTCCCGATGTTAATAAACTAGCTTAGTAATTTCTATCCAATTTGAGTATAGAGGGTGTTATTTAAGCACGTGGCCAAACTTCAGGAGGTGAATCTTTGAGTAATTTTAAGATGAAAAGTTCATGTAAACATTGGTCCAGACATGCTTCATCTCCAAGAAATCACTGCTAAATTTGAACAAAATCGACTGAAAGTTTATCAAGATACTTAGGAAAAACCGTTTTTTTTTAAAAGGTTGACACTGTATATTGAAAATGAAACATTTCTGGACCTATGTTTATATAAACTTTTCATCTTAAAATTGCTCGAATAAACATCTCCTGAAGTTTTTCCACGCACTTTTGGGACCCACGCACATACCACTTTTAATTTTGTGGGCCTGGGTATTTTTTTCAACGCAAGAATGTAGCATTATGCTGATTATCTTTAAGTAGAATACATTAATTCTATACTACAACTATTTAAAACTGTAATGACTCATACGCGTGATCAACACGTGATCAGAGCTCGATCCCGGCTTCCTTCCAGTACAGCCGTATAGCGTACGACATATGTCGTTTCTGTGGCCTTGCGGTGGTCAACAGCACAGACAGAGATGGAAATAATGGCTGATTGTTCTCCGCCGGTAGAACCAATGAAATCAAAGACGCGCCTCGACCGGCAGACTCATAGGCGTCGGCAACGCATTGGGACGTGTTTCGTTGAGCGATCGCATATTGTGTGTTTTTATAAGAATTGTTGTGTGATTGTTATTGTTGTGGTTTCTGTGGTTACTGTTTTGGTTATACTTGAGCATGGAGAGTACAAATGGCACGAGTGGAAGTACTGAAAGCCAGGGAACAAGTAGACGGCTTCGTAAAGCACTGAAGAGGGACGCGAAAGAAATCGTGCTCAACGTGTTCAATTATCTGAACAGAACTATGTCGCAGGGAGATGCACTCGCGTGATGTGAAAGTATGACAGGCGTTCCAGAGTGGACCATTCACAGGGTGGTGCATGAAAAGAAGGAAACTGGAGCTACTACTGATCCAAAGTTTAATTTGAAGGGACGAAAGGCCGTTAAATTGGATGACGATAGCGTTAAAGCGAACCGTACATTCATTCTTCTTTAGGAATGAGATACCAACCCTCAAGGCTATACATGCAGCGATCAAGGAAAATGAAATTATACCCCAAATGAGCGTCGAGGTAATGAGGAAATCCCTGCACGAAATTAATTTTCGTTACGAAACGCGAAATCGGAAGTCAGTATTGATAGAGAGACCTGAAATAGTCACCTGGCGTCGAAAATACCTACGCGAAATGATTGAATATAGGCGACAAAGCAGAAAAATCTATTATTTGGACGAGACATGGGTAAATGCAGGTCACACAGTTAAAAAACCTGGATAGACAAAAACGTAGTGAGTAACCGACAAGCAAGCATTGAAGGTTTGTCAACAGGTCTTCGTGGACCGTCAGGGAAGGTCAAAGATTGATCGTAACTCATATTGGTAGCGATAGTGGCTTTTTAGAAGAGTGTGACTTGATTTTCGTCTCTAAGAAAGGAGGTGATTACCATGACGAAATGAATGCCAGCTGCTTCGAGAGCTGGTTTCAAGGGGTGCTTCAGCGAGTTGAGCCCAACTCTGTGATCGTCATGGATAATGCTTCCTACCATAGTCGTCGAGCCGAACATGTACCGACTATGGGATCTCGAAAAAGTGACATGCAGCAATGGTTGCGCGAAAAAGGAATCCCGTTTGACGATTCATGTGTGAAAGCGGAATTGTATGAAAAAATAAACTGCACAAACCTGCGAACATTAGTTACGTGACTGATGAGATGGCCCGTCAATGTGGTGTCACTGTGCTACGGTTACCGCCCTACCACTGTGAACTGAACCCAATAGAGCTCATCTGGGCTCAAGTGAAGGGTTATATTGCGCGCCATAACACAACCTTCAAATTACCAGACGTTAAGGTTTTACTTGAGACTTCCATACAGCTAGTAACGCCCGAAGCTTGGCAGAATGCTATCCGTCATGTTGTGAAGGAAGAAACAAAAATGTGGCAGCTTGACCACCACATCGACACCATCATAGAGCCAGTTATAGTCAATTTCAACGAGGAAAGCGATAGCGACAGTTTATTACTGTCAGATGTAAGTGGAAGCGACGATGAATAAAGGTTAATCCCAAATTTTTGACTTACAATATGTTTCAAACCACTCTTTATTAAGCATGTGACAAATCTAGTTCACCCATGTTAAACATTCATACCCCGCCTATGAACAGCCGACTACTGGTAGTTAAGTGATGTTCACGTGAACATCGATGAGTCATTACAGTTTTAGATAGTTATAGTATAATAAATTTAGGCCACCTTGTATGTTTTCCTTAATTCGTTACGTAAACATGATGGTGTATGTTGTCTTATTACATTGCTACAGTAATAACCGATAACTATTTTGAACGAAGACCGATGGTTACATTATTTATACCCGCCTCAAAAATAGAACGTTTTCTTCAACTGAATTGTATTTTAAAAAAAGTTATAAGTCCCTGTCAACAACCTTGGATAGATCTGTGTGTATTTCGGAATCAGGTGGAGCGCCGAGATCATTTCAAAATAAACGATAGCATTGATAGTTGAGAAAGTTCTTTCGGCTGTTTGTTTTAAAGCGTTTCGGATTCTTTAACGGGACCGTCTCATCCTGTAATTCCAGGTTGACAGTTGTGAATGATATTGTGGTTTCGGGAAGAATAAGTTAAATTGAGACAGACATGTCTTAGGTTCATTTCATCGTTGTATTGTTTATATCCAAGATAAGGATTAGTTAAATTAGGACGTATTTACATTCCGTCCAAACGCTCGTAAACATTTCATGGCTCACTGAGATATTTGGGAAAAATTAATATTTTAAGATGTATCAAAAAACTAATGGAACAGTTCCATTGTCATTTCTTATGCATTACATGATGGTGATTCTAAATGTTGTCATCAACTTTGAGTATTGAAACACTTTTGGCCACTGAAGGTTCTGGAAGAGATGTATTCAGAGCTGTGATGAACGAAAACGATTTGGTATCCTCCTGTCAGCCTTAAGGTTTGATAACCCAGATGATAGGAATGAAAGGAAGAAGCTAGATCCCGTAATGCCTATACCCTGCATTTTCAACGGTTTTACAAAGAACTGTCAAGAGTGTATGGAGTTGGTTACTCTGTCCCAGTCGACGAAAAGCTCGTAACTTTTAGAGGAGATGTCGATTTAAAACGTATATGCCTGCGAAACCTTGCAAATATGGCATACCAATTATGGCATTATGGCATTGATGTGTGGAACAGCTACCTCTATAACGCATATATGTATATCTTGAGACGTGGTCATTGTCGTCTAGACCAGTTAGGTGAAAAATAAAGCTTTCGCCTTTTGTTGGGTACTTCGACAAAATTCAAGCCAAGAGGACTGTTTATACTTTATTAATCTCTAGCTTTCAAAGGACTTTGCCATCTTCATCAGGAGCTGCAATAACATTGAGAAAAAATAGCAACTATTGTGCTAAATGATTTTAAATTAACTTTAAATTATTCCGATTTTTTCAACATTATGCTGTTTTTTTTGACATTATGTAGGTTTTTCGCCAAGATGTTGACTTTGCTGAATTTAAAAAATGAGAGAGATAAGAAATAGTTATATTTACTGTACACTGTCGAATTAAATGTCATATACATGCTAACAGTAATTACACACAACGCGGACGCGGTGATGATTTCCCGTAATTCTCCTCAGTTTTTCGTAATTTATAACTTTGAACATAACCTCTCTTCAGAAAGCACAACATAAAAATAACCCATCGGGCACAGCCAATAGATATACTTCATTGGCAGCATATTCAGTAACACAACCAAGGACCATTTGACCTCACAAAACATATGCAACCAATAATGCGTGTAGTCTAGTTGAGTGATTCCTCCATAGATGGACGTTCACAATGATCCTAGTGAGCAAACGTGGAATGACTGTTTGCACCTTAAAAACTACCTCGTTTGCAAGATGACATCTTATAGGTTTTTTTGACGTTTTATAGGTTAAGGTATAGGTTAAGCGACTAGAGAGTCTCCGTTTACCTCGGTAGTTGCAGTTTACGATAAATCACATTCTTGGCAAACAAGAGGATCCAACATTAGAAACTGAAGATTTGGTTTTAGAAAAAAGGAAAGCCTGCTTTTTCAGGACAACGCATCGGATGACCAAATGTTTGTGTGTACAATGTAGGAAGCCGGCGCTTCAAACGCATTTGCATTTGCAAAATGCTTGACACTTGCTGTACATTTTGATTGTGTTCTTTTTTTATTTATTGGATAGAATTTATTCATTTGCTTATTACTTTATTAGAACATACCAAAACCATTGAGACTTTTCCATAGTTTTAATTTGGTTTGCGAATGTTGCAAGTAAGGTTAATAAAAAAAGGTTTCTTTTTTGTGTTTGCATTTTTTTGAAATGATCATTTAATATTAGTGTCAGTTATTCGCTGTTTTTCTTCTTATTCTAACATTTTGAACTTCTTGAAGATCGCAGTCTTATAGACGGCATGTTTTCTCTTGTGTTCACGTTTCCTGTTAAGGGTTAACCTGAGCTGTATCTCCCACAGGTATTGAGATCCCCATACTTACGATCCTTATATTGGACACCCTGTATATTTTTCTGTTTGTACTAGGAACACTCGAATTACTAGTTGGCAAAGCACATGGACGTTACTAGACGAAAATGTCGACTGATTCATCAATTTTTAAATGCCCAACGATTTGTAACATATCCCTACTATTCGTCTTGTCTTGTCACCGCAGCTCAGTGGCGTATACAAGGCGGGGGACAAACGCTACAAAATACCACGTTCTGGTTAAATTTGACGTTTTTTGAGCTTTTACATCGTCTGAGACAGACACACACACACCGACAGAAATTATTGACATGTTTTTTTGTGATGTAAATGTCATACAGGGTGTCCCAGAAGTCGACGTCAAGCCGAAACCGGGTGATAAGCAAAGTCATAACAGCTATCAGAAAAATATTTAAAAAAATTTTATGTATGTGTTTTGAAAATTATAGGTCTTTGAAAAAAATATAGAAATTTCACACCCTACGGCAGTCTGTCAACTCCTGTTACTACAAATATTAACTTTTTTTGAAGAAAAACTGATGAAAATTTTTAAAAATTTCCTAATTAAACAGCGATTATGAAACGTACAAGGACCCTTAAGGATAACTGTTTGCACAACAGTGGGCGTCAAAATGCTGCTGATGATGATTTACCTTTACAGCAAATGCTCAAACTGTTTTCCTTCAGCCGCAATACACGCTCGACATCTTCTTAAAAAAAATCGGGTTATTAGACGAGCGAATCCACGGTTATTAACAAACTCAGCTGCTTCCAATAGTCTTTGCCGTAGCTCAGCTACATTTTGAATCGGCTTGAAATACACTTTTTCTTTTACAGTTCCCCAGTAAAAAAAATCTAAAGTATTCAAATCAGGTGATCGCGCTGGCCACGGTATTGTACCAGACCGCCCTATCCATCTGCCTGGAAAGTTTTGATCGAGATACTCTCTCACTGAGAGTGCATAGTGCGCTGGGCAGCCATCATGCTGAAACCACATGTCCCTGTAAATACTCAGTGGCACGTCCTCCATTAAATTTTCTAAATAATTTTGCAAAAAACCTAAATAAACCTCAACAGTCAAAGTCTCTGGGAACTCAAACGGACCGATTATTTTACCATTTAAAATTCCTGTCCAATGGTTTATCTTGAAGCGATATTGAGATTTATCTTCTCTCATCAAATGTGGGTTTGCTACTTGCCACTCGTGTAAGTTATGCAGGTTCATGTACCCATCTTTCTTAAATGTGGTCTCATCTGACCATAAAGTTTTTTCAAAGAACCGTGGATCTTCCCTGTGTCTTTCTAACATTGTGCGACAAAAAGCAACTCGGGGCTCATAATCCCGGGGCAGAAGAGCTTGAACACGCTGTACGTGGTATAGATGGAGCACGTTTTTTTGCAAGATTCTATGGGCTGTACTTTTGGACACACCTGTTTTTAGTTCTATTGCACGCACTGAAGTACTCGGGTCTTCTTCGACAGCTCCTAGCACCACGTCTTCGTAAGGAAGGAAAGATCTTCCCTCACCGTGTGATTGGTTTGGTAGTTGGCCCTCTGAGAACAGTAAGCGGTGCACATTTGTGAACACTCGATGATCTGGATGACGAGCTGCATTCGGGTACCTCTCACAGTAAAGTCTCGCTGCAGCACTAGCGTTGCATCTGCATTCCCCATAAATGAGGTGCATGTTAGCATATTCTTGTACGGTGTACACGGCCATAGCGGCACTGCACAATCACACTATCAAAGATAGTCTAAGGAAAGCAAATGTTGTTGTGAAGAGCAATTAAACAGTCCAAATCCAAATCACAAGCGATCAACAGTCCAGTTCACGAATCCAAAATTAGTAACAGTACGAAATCAACAAGCACGAACATGTAAAGATGCGCAGTAAACGAAGGAGTACTGATCGGTATCAAAGTGTGCAATAGCAAGTAAGTGATGTGCTTCATCCATACCACATACAGCGTGTTCAACCTCTCCTGCCCCGGGATTATGAGCCCCGAGTTGCTTTTTGTCGCACAATGTTAGAAAGACACAGGAAAGATCCACAGTTCTTTGAAAAAATTTTATGGTCGGATGAGACCACATTTAAGAAAGATGGGTACATGAACCTGCATAGCTTACACGAGTGGTACGTAGCAAACCCACATTTGATGAGAGAAGATAAATCTCAATATCGCTTCAAGATAAACCATTGGACAGGAATTTTAAATGGTAAAATAATCGGTCCGTTTGAGTTCCCAGAGACTTTGACTGCTGAAGTTTATTTGGATTTTTTGAAAAATCATGTACAAAATTTATTGGTGGACGTGCCACTGAGTATTTACAGGGACATGTGGTTTCAGCATGATGGCTGCCCAGCGCACTATGCACTCTCAGTGAGAGAGTATCTCGATCAAAACTTTCCAGGCAGATGGATAAGGCGGTCTGGTACAATACCGTGGCCAGCCCGATCACCTGATTTGAATCCTTTAGATTTTTTTACTGGGAAACTGTAAAAGAAAAAGTGTATTTCAAGCCGATTCAAAATGTAGCTGAGCTACGGCAAAGACTATTGGAAGCAGCTGAGTTTGTTAATAACCGCGGATTCGCTCGTTTAATAACCCGGTCTTTTTTAAGAAGATGTCGAGCGTGTATTGCGGCTGTAGGAAAACAGTTTGATCATTTGCTGTAAAGGTAAATCATCATCATCAGCATTTTGACGCCCACTGCTGTGCAAACAGTTATCCTTAAGGGTCCTTGTGCGTTTTCATAGTCGCTGTTTAATTAGGAAATTTTGAAAAATTTTCATCAGTTTTTTTTCAAATAAAAATTGTGCATAAGTTAACGAGTAATCTTCTAAGTGTTATACCATTTTGGAATCGTTATTAAATGCGCCAACTTTTAAGGTTACTTGCCAAACTCTCGTAGTACATTTTTTTCCAGTACAGCCAGTTAAAGTTGAGCAAAGTTTTACTTCGGAATACTTGGTTGGGAAATAAGTGGCAATTTTTCCTGAACTAGAAAAGTTGGCAGTAAGGTTGAGACACCAATTTGAACATGCATTATTCATCATTACATTGTAAAAATAAAATCCAAAAAAAGTTAATATTTGTAGTAACAGGAGTTGACAGACTGCCGTAGGGTGTGAAATTTCTATATCTTTTTCAAAGACCTATAATTTTCAAAACACATACATAAAATTTTTTTAAATATTTTTTTGATAGCTGTTATGGCTTTGCCTATCACCCGGTTTCGGCTTGACGTCGACTTCTGGGACACCCTGTATAATATCCAAAAAACATAATCATATATCATTTTCGAAATTTGTCGTGATTCCTCGCCGGCATAAGAAGTGAAAACAAACTAAAAGCAGTATGTACTCACTGTATTCCTCGTTTTTCTTCTGCTGTCTGAGGCCTATGTCTAATCACTGAACAGTTCACCTTCAACTGAGCTAACTCCTTTGCAAAAATGGCCGCTTCCGTCAACTCACCCTTAGCAATAGAAGTCTCCAACCTTTTCAACAACCTGTTTATCTCGATCGTATCCGTATTCTTCGCACTACCACTCTGAGCGTTATTCTTAACGTTTATATTCTTCGGCATATTGAAAAACAAAGACAGCTCATCGTTCCTAGCCAAGTTCGCGTATATCCTTGCGGCAGATTTACTTTCAGAGTCAGTGTAGATGTCCTCGAAGTCCTTGGGTCGCATCAGTTCGTAGTTGTTTTTCCTAGCCTGGTCGCTGACCAAATTCGTGATTGTCGAAGGTGGGACTTGCACCTGCTTAACTACGCCGCTGGTTTGAGCGGCAGACGACACTTTTATCGGTTTCGGGTTTTCACTCTTCCGCACTTTGATATTTTCGTAGATGGTTTGAGTGGTGCCTATCAGTATTTCCGCTACCTTTTCCTCTTGCGTTTTCTCAGGAGCTAGCTCGATCTTTTCATAAGCTTCCTCTTTGGCATCACCGGGATTTTCCATGATTATACTCGCCCTATTCTGTTTCAACGCTATGTGAGACTTTCGGTTTGGCAAGGAATTCTTCATTTCGATGAGCATCTTCTTTAGTCGTTCTTTCTCTTCCTTTTTGTTATCGTCTTTCTGAGACGTATCCTCCTTTTCCGTTTTCTGAGCGTTGAAACTCGCCAAAGCGGAAAAGCCTATCTGAGTCTTGGATCTTTCGAAGTTCGCTTCAATTTTTTGAGGCGTTTCTTCTTTGTCTGGCTTTGACCTGGATGAAGCTAAAGCTGGAAAGCCAATCTGAGTCTTCGATCTTTCAAAGTTCGCGTCGATTTTTTCCGGAGGAGTTTTTTCCTTTCTCATTACCAAAGGACTTCCAGTTTTCGCCCCAGTCTTCTCTTTTTGGTGCACATCATCCTTTTGTAACTTTGCTAAAGCAGAAAAGCCTATCTGTGTTTTAGCTCTTTCGAAATTTGGCTCGAGCTTTTTGGGAGGCGTCTTTTCTTTCCTAGGCAGCAGTGGACTTCCGGGTTTGACACCTCCCGAGGAGAAATCGTCGAAATACGGTTTTATCGCAGAACACACGTGACAAATGATCCTCCAATATTCATTTTCCAAGTTGCATTTCGGACATTTCCAACTTTTCCTTTCAAACTTCGGCGTTTCAGGTTTCGCTTTGATAGCACTAGCACTTTCTGATTTCATTAGCGGTATATTCTTCTTATTATCTATTTCTTCTATCCTCCTTTTGTGTGATTCTAGTAATGTTTCTTGTCTTCTCCTCGTTTCGTCCAAGCTGATTTGTTTCCCAAACAACTTTTGATCTCTTTGGGAAGCTCCAAACACAGTCACTCTTGTTACATTCGTTATGGCGTTGAATTTAGCTATGAGATCTTTAGCTGAGCGACGTTTAGGTGACACCCAACTATCCGTGTTAGGTTTACTCATTTCTTTGGGTCTCATAAACTCAGGCATTTCACCTAGATCGTCCACACCATGTTTGTTTTTAACTATTTCCGAAGCTTCGCGATCCAGCTCGCTGATGTTTGTCAAGAATGACAGCCCGGATTTGCGTTTCTCTTCTTTCTTCTTATCGAACTTCGGTTCTTCGTAAGTGAGATCGAGTGTGGAGTTACGTTTTTCGATGACTTCGTATTTGTGTTCGGCTTTTTCTTTTTTGTTGGCAGCGGTGTTTCTTTTGTACCAAGGTCTAGGAGAGACGGGCGTTTCGACAACAACACTTGACCTTGGAGACGAGCTATTTTGGTCTGGAGTGGTTTTAGTTTCTTCTTTTGCTGGTTTCAAGATGCCGTGGTCTAATTTTAAGGAATCGTTAGACAAGACGTCGTTGGCCAATACCTTGATAACCTTTTCTGGAGGTACTGGTGCGAGTCTCTTCTTCCTCAACGTGTTAGTGCCGTCTTGCTTTCCGGGTGGTTGCGGCGCCCTGCGTTTGCCTTTGACGTGCACGTAGCTTCCGGCTTTTTTCACTTTTGATGATTCGCTGAAGGTTCTTCGGTGCATCTTGACCTCTTCGACCGGTTCGGTAGTTGGCCTCGTCATCAGAGGGAGACTCCGAGTATTTTCTTCTTCTTCTAAAGGCTTTGGTTTGAGTAAAGTGTCTCGATGGAAGAAGAGGTTGTACTTCTTGCGTAGAGTGAGGTTCTTGTCTGACTCACGACGCTTGTCTCGCTGTTTCAACCTCGCTCTGTAAGTGTCCGTCTCCGGACCGAGCACTATGCATTTTTCCGAGGTGCTCTTCTTGTAAGCGTTCGGTGGTACGAACGAAAACGAAGCTACCGTTCCCGAAGAGTGCGTCGAGTCGAGACTCTCGCAGCTGCTGGAAGAATGAGATGCTTGCAACTCATTCTCGATGGATTCTCTGGACGCGGACGGTTTGAACCACTTGAAAAAAGAGAAGAGGCCGCTGTTTCTGCGATTGCCACTCGCGGTTTTTGGATCGCAGCCAACACTTTGTCTGTTCGGGTCCGGTGGGGTGTTTGACGGGTGGTTCATACTTGTTCAACCCCAATCTAGTCGCGGACGCATGTCTGGCGTGTTACATCATGCGTCAGATTTAGACACGCCGCGTGTCGTTCGGACAATTGACCGACCAATCGCGGATTTGATGGCGGCACATTTAGCGAGCGCGGATCTCGACAAGATGGAGCGAAACTGAGCGAGAACGGTCGCCGTGTCAGGTGTATTTTGAGACAAGGCACATACTGAGTATGACGCGCGCGACGCCGGCAGCGGACGGACGTCGGCAGGCAGTGCCGTACGTACGGGCTGTCTGATTTGAATTCGGCGACGTTGTGACGAATTGACCTGCGCGATCGAATAGTTCGGAAGGTACTAGAAAAGACCTCGCATAGCCAAGTACGATTTTTTTGATAATTCTATTTTTCAATATGATCAATGCCCTTGCGCTATATCACCTCAAATCAACCTAAACCATTATTTATTCATACCAAAATCGTAAATAAAACGTACGAGGGTGGTCCCAGAAGTAACCGACCTAAAGAAGAAAACACAATTTAAAAAAAATGTATTTATTTTTCAACATAATCTCCTTTGATCTCTATACACTTTTCCCAGCGATGTTCAATAAGTTCGATACCCTTTTTATAATAAGAACCGTCTTGCTCCTCAGAATAGCCATTAACTGCCGACATCACTTCTTCATCGTTGGAAAATCTTTGACCACTGAGCCATTTTTTCAAGTTTGGAAACAGAACATGATCCGAGGGGGCTAAATCTGGTGAATAGGGTGCATGAGGTAGCAATTCAAACTTTAAATCGTTAATTTTGGCCATTGCAATAACGCATTTGTGCGCTGGTACATTGTCTAGATGAAACAACGCTTTCTTCTTAACCAAATGCGGCCATTTTTGCTTGATTTCATCGCTCAAATATTGCAATAAGTTCGCATAATACTCGCCGTTGATAGTTTTACCGTTTTCAAGATAGTCAATGCAAATTATCCCACGCGCATCCCACAAAACCGACGCCATAACCTTGCCTGCAGATGAAACGGTCTTCGCCTTCTTTGGAGCTTTCTCATGTCCAAATTTTCAGATAATATGCGATGAATCGCACTTTTTGGAATGTCTACTATGTCTGCTAGCTCGCGCACTTTCAGTCGACGATCATTTTTGTGAACTTTCTTCACCATTTCTGGAGTCGTCACCTTATTTGGTCGACCACTGCGATGCTCGTCTGTTGTTGTAAACGAAAGAGCAGACTCACCCAGAGTAGAATCCAGTTTAGCTTTTATATTGGTTGGGCTGAGGCCTCTGAAATAAAAGTATTGTACCACATAACGATGACCAATTTTCTCCATTTTCTCAAATTCACTGAAAACGTTCAGTATTGATGGCTGTCAAACAAATACTAAACAACAGTCTTCAAACTTGCCACATATGCTTTATAGGTTGCATACTTTCTAATACAATGATTTTTTTTCAAACAACTATCGCCATCTCTATGTCAGCTCGGGTACTTCTGGGACCACCCTTGTAGAATGTTACTGGTGAGACATCTTGGTATATAATATCTATATATATATAGAAATGCGCTCTCTTCGCATTTAAACATAGGACCAGTTTTATTCAAAACAACACAGTTAACAGGCACTACAACATCAGAATAGGTTTTGACTTAAGTATACCAGTCCACGCAACAGCCCAGTTTCAGAAATCACCACTCTATGCCTGTACAAAAGTTTACAATAAACTACCAATTGAGTTCCGCAGAAACACTAATATGTTGACATTAAAGAAACGTCTGAGAAGATATCTATCAGAAAAGTGTTACTACACCGTCGACGAATACCTAACTGCTTAATTTTATTTATTTATTAAGCTTAACGGAAAAGAAACAGTCTATTTAATGCTCCTCTTCTAGACATTTTAAGTGCTCAATTGTTTTTATTTATTTAAAATAGATTTTTTTTTCATGTTCGTTAGATGTCATTGAGAATTTGTTTGTATTTGTAATGACTATTTTATTTATTTATTTGTTTATTATGTATTATCTCAATTACTGTTTTAATTAACTACCTGTTCTTTTTTGCATATCGCATACTTATGTATTGTATATGTAATGTTGACAAGTCTTATGTCATATAGCTATTTATGACCAAAAGACAATAAAGACCATCTATCTATCTATATCAAATGACAGGCGACTTAGAATATACGGACAATCATATTGGTTGTAAATAACCTTGGATAAAAATATTATTCTTCTGTGGTCTAAATTTAGCATATCGTGCCTATTTAATTCTACATCTTGCGGAATATCTATTTCTGGTTAAATACGATCTATTCTGTATGATAGATATTTGAGAAATTTACGTTAAGCTTAAACGTTGTCGCACGTCCTTTAAAGATGAACCACGTGGAGGACGAGCAAAACCGCAAACACGCCTGAAAGGTCCACGATATCGTGTTGGACACTGATACACTATCTTGGAGGAATAAAAATCTTCAGTAACACCAAGCCTTGATCTTGTTCAACGTTTCGACTTGTCGAGTCATTTGGTAACGATACCTCTAGCAATACAATTATGTTACGCCGCTGCCTGAACGCTACGTATATGACCTCCGCCTCCGAGTTAATTTTAGTAGATTGATAGTTCGACTGCGTCCGGTTGTCAAATTATTCTTTAATTTTCTGTTTACAAAATAAAGGAAAAAGATGTGAAAGACGTGTTCATCCTATAGGCCGTTGGGCACCAAACAGACGGGAAGAACTTTACTTTTTCTCATTTTCGTGACGATAACACGTCTATTGCTTTCCAGCGCTTGATGTATTCGAATTCCCTATGGCGGACATAAGGTCGTGACTCCTTGTTTTTGAGAATGCAAATGCCTAATCTGGCCAAATTATGGTGTCTATGAAGGATTGATGGAGAAAATGCACATGCTTTTTAGTTTTAGAAACATGTTACAAAGAGTGAAGACATCATGTAGCATTCACTATTTTTCATAAATCGTACCACCTTCACGATTTGACTGACGACTTCAATTTGATTTGGAGCTACTATTTTTTCAAAAATTGTTCACAATGGCCACCTAGGTAGCTAATGACTTCCCAACTAGAACGCAGGGCTTCAACCTGCTCCTTATAGACTTTCTTAACCTCTTTTGCATTCTTCAACTACTGAATGCTTTTAGAAAATTTTAGAACACAATAATACGCGATTATTAATATTTACTCCTCATCTATTGAATATTCACGTAAATTTATTTACTGTTTTCCAAAACGGAACATTTTTAAATCTTTTGGGGAAAAAGGAACAGATAACATGAAAAAAGAAACCTGTATTATTCGCAATGTTTCTATTGTCATTAATTCAAACTAGTCAGTAGAGGTGGCGCCACTCTGAAACAGTATAACAGGTATTGCTATCTTCTGACAAAAAATTAAATGAACGCAACACATAATCCACGACATACGTTGCAATAGGAAAAGTCGAAATCGGTATCGTTTGAAATGACAAGACTACCAGTTCAGTTATTGCCCTAGAGATGACGCATATGTCTATAATCGCAGCTGCTGCCATCTACTGGTAGTAAGTTTAACCCAATCATCGAGCTACGCGCTACGTCATCATTTTAATAGGGGCGAAACGTAACTGGTCATTTGTGTTCGCACTGATGATATAGAAGATTTTTTTATAATATATGTGGATTTTAGCGATAAGAATGTTGTGAACGTTGTACGGGGTAAACAATATTTAACATCAAGCTTTGCCTCTTTTTACAACCTAAGCGGTGTTGGCCTATTGGGCGCCCATAATACTTTAGGATGACTGACTGACACCTGTGGTTAGCTGTTTTTTGTCTTGTCTCACTTCTCGTACTTTTTGTTCCTTTTTCAAGACTGGAGTGAAAAGCGTCCATGTACCTACCTTACCCACCTTCAACTAAAATCACTGACTTCAAAATTTGTTCTTTTCAGGGTCATTATTATAATATAGTTATTGATTTTACATTCAGCATTATTTTTTATTTGTCTTCAATTCTACCCGTATGGGTAGTTTAACCAAAATCTAGGAAGTACGAGATTGGATTTATAAGTATGATATATAACCCAAACACACGCAATGGCAACAAATTACTAGCAGGTGATTTCTTTTTCACACACTTCACAACACTATAGGTAGGTATTCGGATAATCATGTTTTAAGCGACTATACTGTTTTCCTGTCTACTGAATATCTACGTGGAATCGAGTTGTGGAATACATTCTTCTTACACGTTGTTTCACTTTCTGTTTCAAAGTCGCAAGTCCCATATTTTCAAATCCACTTCTGTGGAAAAATGAGGGAAATACACTATTCATACATACGCGCTACTTTTCAAACGTTTCATTTTAGAAATCAGAGAAGAAACCTGTATTATTTGCAATGGTAGGATTATAAGCCTTGTAAGCCGCTGTAGAGATGACGCAATATATTAGGTGCTGTCATCTCCTAGAGGAACGTTGAACTAGCAGCAATTAATCTACGCGGACCTCGGTTGGCCGCGTGGGTCAGAGTGTCGTGCTACTGATCAGCCGGCCGGCCGGGCCGCGAGTTCGAATCTCGCCTTCGCCATGGATGTTGTGTGTTTGTTTTAGGCAGCAGCGGTGGCCGCAGTAGTAGACTCTTCGGTCTCCTGATCAGCCGCCGCGCGCTGTGCGGGTTCGAGTCCCGTCCCAGGAGAAATGTTTCTCTTGGCCATGGATGTTGTGATTGTCCGTAGGTGGTAGATGGTCTCTGACTGTCGAACGCGGAGGTACCACCCGGCGGTTCTCGTAGGCGGAGCCAGAATGTGTGCATGTTGCATGCACACGTGTTCCCTCGCCAGAGTCCGTGTGGCGTCCCCCCTTTCCCATGTATCCCCCATAGCCCCACGGTACCCAATGGGTGCTTAGGCCTTAGGCCTTCGTGGTAGTTGGAGTATAAAAAAAAAAAAAAAAAAAAAAAGACATACGAGTTAAACGGATAAGAATAAACCTGTATCAATAATAATAATGGAGTGATTGTAAGCTTACGTTATTGAGCTAGAGATGGCGTCACAGATTTACACTCGCAGCTGCTGCCATCTGCTGGACAAGATTCGATTAAGCACAATCATCAAGCTACGCGCTACGTGATAATAAGAAAGAAACCTGTAACTTGGCGTATGAATTTTGAATTCTGGAGGATAATATCTATTAGATTTTTCCTTATGCGTCTTCTGGCCATCTTATGTGTTTCAGGCTTGCATACC